AAGTAAAGTAACCTTCATTCTCACTTTCCGATTTCTACAAAACAACAGTTGAGTTTTCCTACAGTCAAATTCTCTCCTATGAAAATTACCTGGTCCATAGGTTCTGCGCTCTCCAGGTTCTCGTCTTATTATTCGTCTTCCTCCTCCTCATCCTCTACCTGTTCTTCCTCTTCTGAAGTGGTGGAGTTTACTGGCTCCTCTTCATTTTCTAAAACAAAAGAGTTGGTTTCTTCCATCTCTTGCTGACTGCCTTAAGTTTGAATGTTGCTCAGTCACAATAAAAGAGACACTCATCCAATATTCTTACTTTTGTCATCCACAGACAAGTCAACTTCCCGGTAGGCACCAATTTCTTGGGGATTTTCGAATGAGTTCTTCAAAGAAAAGAATCAGTAAAGTTTCTTCTACTCTTAGTGACCAGCTTTACCTTATCTTCTTCTGTATCTGTTGAAAACCCACTGTGGTTACTATCCTTTCGGTGTTGGTTTTGCATGTCAAAAATTTCCGTCAAAGGATTCCAATTGCCCAATGTCTTTTATACTTCCATAGACAAATACTATTTATACAAAGTTTCTTGAAGGAAATTCTAATACTGAAAAATCAACTAGCTAGTTCAAAGTTCTTAGACGATGGCACCACCTAGATGCAATTTGTAGTATGTTGCTATTCCAATGACTTGAAGCAACTTGTTCTGCATAATGTGTCAAAACAGGAAAAGTACTTTCTCGAAAAAGTAGCAAAAGACACCATACTTGACCATTTTCTAACATAAGAAAAGCCCTATGTGAAATAAGGGAATGATAACTTGCCATACATAAACCAATACGACGAACAGCTTTACATATAATATCCTTCAGAATATCGGCAGGAATTGCTGCCAAAATCTCTTCCAAATGATTGAGAAATAACACCTAAATGAAATAGGATCATTTTACTTCATGAAGAGTATATTCATCTCTTACCTCCTTCGAACTGTTCGATATTGGCCAACAACCTAACAAGTAATCTAATACACGAGGTGCCAAACAAGGATTCTTTTCCAAGAACGCCATTATGCAAAAAAGCAAAGGTGGATAAAATGACTCCATATTCACAAGTTTATGCAATGGTAACAAACATCGCATAAGGAAATCTTCATGTTCTTTCTTAAGTGGAACAGCAAAACCACGAATGATTGAACAACAAAATTCCAACATCTCGGTTATACCTTGTGTGGACTCCTCTTCATCAAAAACAATGGACTGAATTCGAATACAAATAAATTTTCGAATGGTACGACGAAACTTGACTACCGATTTGTAGAACACATGAATAATAGAAAGAATGTAATCTCTTTCCCTCGAATCAGGAGAACCAAAGAGGTCTAACAGTTTTTTAAGCGAGTCCACTCTCCAGTAAGCAACTATAACACGTGAATCCCGGGAACTCTGGGACAATAAAACTTGTAAAAGCAATTCATATACAAGTTGATGAACAGACCAATTCGCGGATTCTAAATGAGAATTCCCTTTTGTATATTCTGCTTCTTCAATCCAACCATCTATCCAATCTATTTCTTTCCTATTCTTGGTTTTCAACTCGTATCGAGTCACAGATGAGAGTATCAAGTCATTGGCCAGTTGGGTCACACTTGCGAAAATTTCTTCGTTCACATTAGTATCATCTCTGCTTACATACTGTACCAAACTCCATAGAATGTTCTGTTGTTGCTTCTGAATCGACCGTTCTCCTCCTTCCGATGAGACTATTGCGTTTATACCCTGGCTTAGTTCACTTTGAAGCTTTCTACAATGAATGGCATTGTTCACAAAAGCATCATCATCCATAATGAACGTGGAAGTTTCCTTTGCAAAACTATGACGAGGCAGGAAAACTCCAGCTTCCGTATGAGGTAGCGTACCTTTTGTGAGTTCATGCTCATAATATGTCTGATCATCCCCTAAGGAGCCAACTTCAGACCTCTTTCTCTTCGACATGGTGACTAGGTCTCCCAATGCTGGAATCAAGCACAGTTATTGGTTCTCCGTAGAGTTGGGAAACGACAGCTAACCAGATGCATAGGATGAATAGCACATGACACGATGTCAACCCCCACTAGTATTGAATGGTACAAGTATTCCTTGTATAGTAAACGAGGTTGGGCTATCCAACAAGTATCGGAAAATGACGGAGCACTCCCCAACTTGACACCAGAGCCACTATACCTTTTTAAAACAAACGAAAGCACACTATGAGATAAAGAAGTTTGTATATGTTCCTGAATAAAGACCGTATGTCAAGTTTGAGGGAAAAATGACAATGTTCGACAAGTAAAATAGGAAAACAGCGCGCCAGATAGACCACACCGTCCTCTATTGGCAACGAGTCGAGAAGAGAGAGATCACGTGCTGCGTCATATTTCATTGGGTAAATTGATGGGGGAAGCCTTTGATGCCATCTCAATCGTCTCGATCACCTTGTAAATGTCCCAATCGGCAGGAGTTTGGTCGTTCCAAGATGAACAATATCAAGACTTGCTTCCATACAAGGATAAAAGATATCATGAAATAGCTTATGTACATAGCTTTCATAGCTACTTGAAAAACAAACAGCTTGCTTCATAGAATAGAAAACTCTTGTAAAAAGCAAAACGATAATATAAATAAGAAACAAAAGTTATCAACAAACAACTTGCATACTTTACTCAAGATATCATTAAATTTCTACGACTAGGACCCATTCGTTTATCCCAAGAAGGTTCCGTTCTATCCGCTCTTCCTCGAGTCACAGTTGAAGAAGGATCCTCTAAATCAACTGGAATTTGAATATTTTGACCTAAGACTTGTGTACGAATTATAAGTCCCTTCGTAGAGTCCACTATCTGCTCATATACACTTGGAGTCTTCACACCCATAATAACTCGACTAGCTTGACTATCAACCTTGGCATCTAAACGAGCGTTACGAATAAGATTCACTATCCAACGTTCTGCAGACTCTCGATCCATATTCAATTTCGCAGCTAACATATTTAAATCAATAACTTGGTGAATTCGACAATATATCTCAAAAACAAATAATCTCGCATTCTCTACAAACTCATCCAAAGTTCCAATCAAGAAAAAGTCGTGCTTCAATGTTGTCTCACATTTTTGCAATAAATCTTGTGCTCCTTCAAAATCATAATTAACATACAAACACTCCACAAATTCTGTAATAGGGTCGTGATACGCATGGCTCTCCTGTTGGACAATCTTCACAAGCTCCTTCAACATATGTCGACGTTTAGTATTGGTAATAACAGCACTACTTAAATAACGTAAAATATGCGGACAATTGGTTTGAATAGTGTTGAGATACTTGTCTTGGAAGAAAAGATCGATAATTCCATTTCTACCGGTAGGGTGATTAAAAAATACAAATAGACTCCAATGAATTAGCCAAGTGCGATGCTGTAGCTGCTGCAATGGATTCAAAGAAAATCTTCCTTGATTATCAATAGCATCTCTCAACTGCATCATATCTTCCAAAGCTGCATCCCATTCCTGCATCAAAATATCTGAAGCCAACTTTCCCCAAAGCGCCGACAAGTAACGTTCGCTATGTGTCTGTAATTGCAAGTAATTGGAAAGATACTTGCAAGTTGCTGCATAGTTGCCACAATCATATTGAAGTCGAGCGTAATCAAAAAGAGCTTCGAGGTCTTCCGTGGTAACCCCATAATGTTCTAGTAAGAAGTTTAGATGAAAGTTGCGTTCTTCTTTCAGTTTGTTAACTAATTCAGCGTCTTCTATTATTCTCAATATTCTATCGCACTCTAACGAGAGTGTCTTTAGAGCAAAAACGACCTTGTCACGTCTTTCCATCAGCTCTCGTGGAGGGTCGTTCCCTGTCAGTTGAAGATAAACATCAGCTGCGAAATCTATCATATTTGTCTTTTGTAGTAATTGATACTTTTCTTGTAATATGTCTTGTTCATCATATATCTAATATAAAGGCAAACCAATCAGCAACAACGTAATCCGCCGATATTTGGGTGAATAAGCCATACTTACCCCTTGAGCGTGTAAAAACTCTAAAAGTGGGAAAACCATATGTCTGTCCAAGTGTTCACCAATATACTTTGTCAAATCGTATTCCATAGTCTCAAAAAATATCACTTCAAGAAGGTCGGTTCACTAACTATACCAATCGGAAAGGCAGTAAAATTAGATTTAGTCGTACGGCCCTCAATGCCTTTATGGAAAGAAGCAGCCTTTTGTATTCTAATGTAGATAAATAAATGATATATGAAAATCTGTCTACTTTCTACATACGACATTTCTAGGAATATATAAAGAATAAATAAGCCATTTTATGGATCAAATAGTTTGGGAGTCATTTGATACTATGAACCGTTAGCCAAGTTGGAAAATTTTCATTTTTCATCATCATTGTGAGGGTTTGTCATGTTACAGCATGCTTCTCCCACTGCCCTTCCTTTGTCTTTTATAGGAAATTTTATTTACTTTTCGAACAGTTTGACTGGAAGTACTAAAATAAGTCGTAGAATTCCTATCGGTACCAAAGTACGGTGCTTCAACGTTCGTTCAAACCGCAATCCTTTGCTTATGACAGGAGTCCAAGAAAGGACAACCTCAAAGGAGTCAGACTATGGTGAGTATTCAATTCCTATGCATCGTTAGTAACCTCATCAAGATTGTTAGCACTCGTCAAAATAAAGCGAGCTTTGATATCCGTCTCCGATAAAAGTTGTCTTATCGATGTGGGCAAAGCTTTGGAAGATCTAGGAGTAGAAATTCTCTCTACCGGTGGATCTGCACGGAAGCTTCGTGAAAATGGACTTAAAGTAACAGATATTTCCGACTTTAGTGGTTTTCCAGAAATATTGGGTGGCCGAGTAAAAACTTTACACCCCGCCATACACGGTGGAATACTTATGAGAAGAGATGTCGCAACGGATGAAGAAGAAGCAAAAACACATCAAATTCATGAAATAGACCTTGTCATTGCAAACTTATATCCTTTCGAAGAAGCGTGTATGGAAAGCGACCTTTCTCATTGTATCGAACAAATAGATATAGGGGGAACAGTTCTTATTCGAGCAGCAGCTAAGAACCACCGTTGGGTTACTGTAGTTTCTGAAATCAGCCAGTATCCAGAATTATTATCGGAACTCTCAGAGTTTGATGGTTGCACTCGCTTAGACTTTAGAAAGAAACTTGCTGCCAGAGCTTTTGCTAGATGTGCTTCTTATGATGCTGTTATTGCTGAGCGATTCTTTCAAGAAACCCATGAAAATGAGTTACCTCCAGTACTCACAGTTACTGCAATGTTGCAACAGGAATTGCGCTATGGAGAAAATCCTCATCAAAAGGCTGCCTTTTACGTGAAGCAATGTCAGAAACGGCCTTTGCCAGGAGTGGCTTCTGCAGAACAGATTCAAGGAAAGGAATTAAGTTATAACAATATTGCGGATACCGATGCTGCATTTCAATTGGTTTGTGAGTTTGAAGAACCTGCAGTTGCTATTATCAAACACAGTAATCCTTGTGGAGCAGCCGTTGGAGTATCTGCAGAAGATGCATATTTAAAGGCACTATCTTGTGATAGCTTATCTGCTTTTGGAGGCATTGTGGCTTGTAATAGGACTATTGATCTTGCTGCTGCGGAAGCCATTACAAAGATATTCACCGAGGTTCTTATTGCACCTGATGCTACCACGGAAGCACTTTCAGTATTAAGTTGTAAGAAGAATTTACGTGTTCTATTGACTGGTTCTTTGATGGATATGAGAGAATCGATGCCTACATTTCGTTCGGTGAATGGTGGCATTCTATATCAGACCAGTGATAATGGACATATTGGAAAGGATGACCTTCAAGTAGTCACCAAACGTGTTCCTACACAAACAGAATTGGAAGATTTGCTCTTTGCTTGGAGAATATGTAAACATATCAAATCCAATGCCATAGTCTTGGCCAAGAATAAAGCCACTGTAGGAGTTGGTGCGGGTCAAATGAGTCGCGTCGATGCTTCTCATATTGCCATTTGGAAAGCAACAGAAGCTGCAAAAGCAACGGATGAAGCACACAGCAGAGCAGTGGGTTCTGTGTTGGCTTCAGATGCTTTCTTTCCATTCGAAGATGGATTGGTTATCGCCTGTGAAGCAGGAGTACAGGCAGTTATTCAACCAGGGGGTTCTAAACGTGATGAAGAAGTTATAGCTGCAGCGGATCGTTATGGTATTAGTATGGTATTTACTGGAATGAGACATTTTAGGCATTAGTAAAACGCAATGGTTAACTACTCCATTTCCTCATTCACTTTGAAATTGGATTTGTATACATATGGCACACGAGGACAATAATGACGATACAACTAGTGCTTATTCAAGAAGGTTCCCAGGAACTCCCATTCAATATAGTGAAAGCTTTCATCCTCAAATACAAGAATTGTTCGAGTCGGCTATGCAAATGGAAAGCAAGTCCCAGAAGTGTTTTGTGGGCTCTTGTATAAAGTCGGCTCCTTGTAAAGTCACTGCGGTAGTGGTGGACTTGCAAGTCATCCTATTTCAATGGGACAGTTGTTTGTCTAGGAAACGAAAAGAAGATAATAGTGATATCAGGTCCTATTATCTTTTGAGAAGTCGTGGTGGTGATGGAACCTACCACAGACTGAAGTTGCCTAGTTCAAAACACGGATATCGTCCGGAAACGGTTGTTACTTGTGGCGAATATTTGATAGCTTGTTCTTCCGAAGGACTACTCAGGTTGTGGAAAGTTATTGGAAAGCCAAAATTACAGTTTGAAGTTCACCTGGATATTATTGCTGAAGCTATTGCCGTAGAAGAGCAGAATTTTTCTTCAAGTGATATCGGAATCTATGTATTATCGGATTCCGGAGATATCATTCTTGTGTCTACCAATAAGAATACTGGAGTTAGGAGATGTTCTAAAGGCAGTTATGGGCGGCTATCCAAAGTGTTAGAAAATGCATTTCATGCAGTAACTTTTCTTCGTGACAGAGAGGAAGGTCAAGAGTGGCTAGAAAGTTCAAAAAGAGTAGCATCTAAAATATGGACCTTTTCAAAGAAAAAGTTTGTAATATCGTTATTTCAGTCACACCTGGAGAAATGGTTTGTATCTGAAAATGGCGAAATGTGCAGTTGTATGTGGTCCTTAGATGTGGAAATGTTAAAGAAACAACAAATATGGTATCATAATAAGGAGGTTATTTCTATCGTAGATGCGGATTCTTTTCAAGATAGATATATTGCTTGTCTGTTAGCCATATTTTGGGAAGAGCAGTCAATCCATTTCATTGTCCGTTATCGTATCGTTTTGATAGATACATTATCAGATGGTGTTCCCAGAAACTTTGCTTTTCAAGTATCAATTGACTTGGAAAGTGTTGTAGACAAAAAGATGTGGAAGAGAATTGTGAGTCCGCGACTGACTATTTCTGGTTTCTCTTCATATGTTTTATTTCCTTTTGACCGAAAAATTGTCATTTCCTCCTTAGCTTTGGATATGGATCAAGCACAAGTGCAACAAATAGATTCTTTTGCCAATTGGGGAGTGGATTCTAATCCTATTGGATTGATGGATGCTCTATCTTTTGTTGATATATTGGCTCCTACTGAGTGTATCCATTGGATAGACTCATTCATTGGCATTATTACGAAGAAGAATTGTATTTTTCGCTTTCCTGGTTTTTGTGCCGTACCATTGTCTTCAAGCCAATCCGAAATATCCAATGACAAATTGCACAGTGATGTAAAGATATTATGTATATCCTTTAGCCAATTTATTCATGGCTTTGAAAATGCTTCGAAATTGAGTGCTCAAAGTCTTTATCCTAGTGATATGGATCAGGTTGTTTTAACCTTTTTGACACTCTTTTTGGATATGGCTGGTGATGAATATAGTCCAATGGTTAGTGAAAGAATTTGTTACAAGGCTCTTCTCTTTCGCAAGTTTCTCGATTTCACTCTATTACCTATTTGGAAGGGAGGAGAGACCGCGACTATTTTTACTCGTCTATCTCGTACCGGAAAACAAAAGCTTTTTGAATATATCCAACGTGTCCTTATTATGGAACAACTGTATGAGTTGGAAAAGAGTTTTTATATCGATTCTGAAGAAATGAACAGTTCTAATGTGTTATCACAAGCACTCAAGGCTTTGCAAGAAGACATTTTGCCGAATTGGACACTTTATGATTGTCCTTCCATGCTAGAACAATTAGTGGAAACTTTACAAGTATTGATTATTCAATCCAAAGAGAAACTGGACTCCCTAGAAACTTTGGCAAATGAGATATCCTCTTCAGGAGATAGGATATGCAAAGTAGTTCTTTATCGTCGAAGTCTTTTACAACTTGCTCGAATTTTTGCGGTTATTTTTGATACTTGTCGAAGTTTTGTTCTTTCCATTTCTTCCAAGGTTCAACAACAGTGGCAGCAAAAAGTACCTTTGTGGCTACATATTTCTGATTGGGAAAAGGCACTGTATCCTTTAGTAGATTTCTTATTCACTGTGAAAGATGCTATGCAAGCAAAAGAAATGAATATAGATGTTGAACAATTGGTCATGCGTCTTGGAGAATTTATTATAGCCCTTCACAGTAATATGAAAAGTCATGTCCATGAACGAGACATTGTACACGATATAGCCACAAGATACTTGAACAAGACAATCTTTGAAGTGGCTATTTCCTATCGTCGTTATGAATCTGTCTTGTTATTTCTATTGAATAATAATGTTTCGTCTTGTTTTGATGACGATTCTTTGTTGACCCTGTTTCACACTATCTTTGATCGAGCATTGGAATGCAGTGCTGATGGTGATTCCTGTTGGAAGGACTTTGTAGAATTCTCATTCACTTGGTTGGAACAGCATGGTCGATTTTGTATCTTATTGAGTCGTTGTGAAAATGCAACTTATCGACAGTTGCTTTTCCGATATATTGAAAATGGGGGACATCCAAGACTTTATTTAAGATGGTTGTATTATTTTCAAGCCAAGGAATATCTTCATGCTGCCACTGATTTGTATACTTATTCTTGTCTATTATGGGAAAAGAACGAAAAGAATTCTTTGGTTAATTGTCATACCTTGTTTTCTTTTGCTTTGCTTTGTCTCAAGTTGTCTATGGTGAACGATGTGGATTGGAAAGAAGACTTGTATCGTCGATTGTATCTCATCAAAGCTCATAAAGAGCTTTCAGAAGATATTCAAAACCTATTGGATACGAAAGGGTTAGTAACTAGATATGTGGAAGAGTCTCCTATAGACTCGGAAAAACTCTATGAACGTTGTGGCATTGCTTTGGAGATAATTGAGAAGAGCCATTTATCATCTGAGGAAAGCACCCGATTATCCGATTATGTATGGAGTCGTAGTGTAGAAAGAGAGTTGTACCGTTGGGAGGCCATTTTGAAAAGTAGTTTGAATGATGAAATGAAACAAAAGCAGTTTTCGGAGTTGGCATTATTTCGACTTGTTGTTGACAGTGCAGGCACAACTTTGGATGAATGGAAAGAGCGAGTGCATCGTGTAAGAGAAGAAAATAAGCAGAATCAGCATCATTGGACAATGAATAGTTCTTTATTATCATTACTATCAACTGCCGTATATTTAGCTATTGGAAACCAAATCTCGAATGAGTGATTGTCCAACTAATTTGTTATTTGATGGATACTTTTCGCGCTTTTTTACAAGACAAAGGTTTATTCCGTATTCGTGAAGAACTTGTTTTCCAACTAGTTGAAAACCACACCGAAGAGCAAGTTATATTTATCCAACTTGTTATATTCTACCTCAAATTGTTATGGATAGTATGGACTCTTGGATAGCTCGCACTTTTGAAAGTTTGCTCAACCAAGATATTTCCACCATAGTAGTAAGTCTATAAAATACAGTTTTATTTTAAATAACAAACAGCTACTACAGAATGGAGGCACTTTGCCTTATCAACTAACCCTGATGGCAACTGGTGTAGTATATGGAAAGTATTTAGTACAATTGGAAGATATCATCGACATAGCAGCCGAAGAACCCAGAAAAGGAAAGTCCAACGGTACTTTGAAGTGTACTTTTTTTGATGGACAACAACAAGTATATGGTTTAGAGCTCACGTAAGTTGGTTGAGTGTTGTTTTCTTCGCACTGGGTGTTGAACATACAGGGATATGAAACACTGTTTATCTGTACGTACTCCTCCGGGAAGCAAGTTTCTTTTACATGATCCTATTGTTCATCGTGGAATTATATTGTTGACTAGAAATAACTGTCGTTATCTTGGAGGTGTTGTTGTGGAGGTACAAGAGAAAAGGGATAGTTTAATAAAAGATATCATGCAACAAGCAAAGTATCGAGTAGAAGGTTTCCAACAAACAAGTGGAGATAAAGAAGTGGATAGTAATCATGTTGATAACAACATGATTGCTATAGGCCAAGGAATATCCAATTGGCATAATAATAATGAAGAAGAAGAAGAAGAAGAGAATATTTGAATGCATTGTACTACGAGAATGGTTCATCATGTTCTGAAAAACATTTCTATATGAAGTATTCACAAGGAATGGATACGTATTATCTCATTTTTTTAAACCAGTTGAACTAGATACAATATATTGTATAGAAGATGCAAATCTTATTCATAATAAATAATTTTGAAAACTTCATTCTTTGAACTGTATTTTCATGAATGCTCAAAAGAGACAACAGGAAAGATTGGATGGATAAAGAATTGGAGGAATGCCGAGGCAATGGATGGATCGATGGCTATCCAAGTCCATAGAAAGACAAAAGTTACAAGAGACGATAGCTTTAGATGAACAGCACTCTGAAATCCTAGAAGACAGAAAGAGATGGAATAAACGAGCGTTGGAAGCTTTGAAAAATAATAAGCTCAGCGACACTTGGTTCTCGTTAGGTCGGGAAAGCTTTGCCTTGTTACCCAAAGAATTTGTACAAAGTTCACTAGTGGCTGAAGAACCAGAACTAGACCAACAAATTGAAAATATTTACAAGTATCTACCTGAGAAAAGAAAAAGATTGGAGTTGCTTGAAGAAGAAATATCCCGTTTGACAGAGGAAATAGTGCAGTCCTTGGAAAATCAAAAATGAAAAGAGGCTTTTCTTTGTAGAATATGCCGTTAAGATAACCTCAACATATCATCATCTTTATTTTCCGTCCTACTTCAAACTCGTTATTTCCAAATCAATTTCATTGACAATAACATCAACATCGGAATACGAAGATTGATTTTCATCTTGAAAGACAGATTCTTGGTTATCGTTTTGGTCAACATCATCATCCACTTCTTCTTGTCTATCGACTCGATGATGCTCAACTACTGGAAAAGAGGAAATCTCAACATTGTCCATTCTTTGTAAAACTAAATTCTTTTCATTTGGTAAATGGATTCTGCTATTACTTTCACCCATATCTTCAACAGGCACAATATCAACTGGAGTACTTTGATGTACTATCTTCCAAAGTTTTGAATGTGTTGTTCTATTCGACTCATCTTCTGAATGATCTCTCCTTGTTCTCTTCACTGCTCTTGGATCAATTTCTCCAACGAATATTTCCTTCTCACTAGTTGTTATCGAGATGTCATTCATAGATGAGCTTATTGGCAAAGTTTTACGTTCACTCGGGTGCATCAAACATTTTTTGCATCTAGATAAACTATTCCTTAAGAAACAAAGAGTCGGTATTTGTTCAATTCTTTCACAAAAGGTCAATAACCAACGATCCAACGCATTCCTTTTTTCTATGACTTGTTGATCTCGTTCCAGGCTGTAAAATATACTTTGATGATAAAGTTGAAACGTCTTTAATGCCCATAATAAACTCCCATATTCACCATCTTGTTGATATTTCGATTCTATTCTATGATGGACTCCTTCCATCACATCGTTTGTGAAATCCATTCTATCCACTTCCAGGTCACTTGGTTCAATTGCCTGTTTATACCAACGCACAACTTCACTTTGAATAAGAATGAAAAAAAGTAAAGTGTCTGAACTTTGACCTTGAAACAAATTGTGCTCGAAAAGAATAGAAAGCATCTGATAACCAAGCTTCTTTCCAATCCATAACTCATAAGTATGACAAATGTCCAACCATTGCAATCCAAAAGCCACGAACCTATCTGCGATAGGAAACAAGGCATCGTCGTACAATAAAACGCAGTCTGCGAAGAAACGAAACAATACATACAACAGTGCACAGATTCCATTTTCTAAACGCTTGTGATCGGATATACTCGATGGGTGTCGTTCTCGTAAAAAATGTAATATCTTCGAAAGGAAACAAGAGAATTCCGAAAAAAGACCACACAAGCCATCTGCTCTTAAACCAACAGGAATAGAAGCATGCTTCTGCAAACTGGTCAAGCTTTGCAACGAGAGTAACAAAGGAAGAATATCACTTAATACAGTGGAACTCTCGGAAGCACTCTCCACTATACTAGAAAGTTTTGATAACAACCGAATATTATCTTCCATACAGTTATAAAAAGATGTACTTGACGAAACACTACTGTGTTGTAAATATGAATATACCAGGGAATATAACAGGAACTCCGAACAGTTATTAATTAAGATACACTGTGACACCTTCTTGCTCCAGTCCGCCTTACGCTTTGCGGATATGTTGGGTTGACATAAAATTAAAAGACCTAGACATAATAGAAACTCGCTTGTTGCCTGCCTCTGTACCAGTGAATACTCTAAGAGTCTACAATATCGATCTATGTACTGCTCCACACTGTCTTCTTTATGAGGAGGATTCTGACAAACCCACTTTCCAAAAGAAACAAACGAATGTCTCAAACAATCTGTATCAGGACTGTTCTTTACAACTTGTTCCAGAGCAGTCATGCGGGAGTCAAAGCTAACGTTACAGTTAGCTTCCGATAGCATGGCCCCGAATCAATACTATCCCATGACAAGCAGAGGTAAGTATATCATGTGCGTCAAATCATTGTCGATTTTCGAACAAGATCTGTCTCTCTTCAATATAGCAAGCTAAATTTATAATTGCTAGAAGCAAAAGATATCCTGCAGAAACATCTTCTTCTTCGCTGTTGTCGACAAACAAGCTGTTATTATAAAGTGTTATGTTATCGTAATGAACAATTTAAAATTACCGTTCACTGTTTCTTGTAAAATTAAACAAAGAACAAATCCTAAAAGGCAACCATTCTATTAAGTACGGGTGAAACGATATAAAGAGGATTGTGGCATGAGAAAACTTTTCAAAACGAAATAAGTTCATCACGAGAACTAGAAAGACCTTTGAGAGAATTCTCGAAACAATTATTATACAGAAGAGAAATCGATGAAGAAACACAGGTATTGCTAAAAATGAAGCTGGGCTTATTTTTTTGACCAACTTATTGTGAAATTTCAAACCATGTTCAGAAAAAACGATTCAATGCCACCTTTAAAAAAGAGCATTTGAAGTTTCGACTCTTTTACTAAGAATCATCAGGATTTTTCAGACATATTATGCAAGTTTCGGCAATATCGAAAATGACCCTATCAAGCCCCGAAAACATAAATGAATGCCAGTGATATAAATAAGCTTTCGCATGTTAGCCCTTATAAATGGCAGAAGGTGTATTAAATTAACTTCAGCGACAGAACCATATCTCAATCCAAAAAACCTATGCAATTAAATTAATTTTGGCAAAAAAGTTGTATTATAGATTTGATTTTTCTAATCAACAGTTGACGCAATATTAATCTTTGGATATTAAATTTAATTTTAATTTTTGAATTAATAACATCTATTTTAATGGAATTGCACTGTTTCAAGGAATGACATCCACTGCTTTTTAGCGAAAAAAATTTTAAATGTCAAACCTTTTTGAAAACGGTTTGTTGTTAGAAGAGATGTCGATAGCGCTTTATTTTTATTTTTTGAAATTAGAAGACTGCACTGTTATTTAGCTGCTTTTACTTATAATTGAAGGTGTAATTGAGACATTGTTTAGCAACCTTTTTTTGTTTTCTTTGTTCCATTTTGTGACTTTTGGTTTTTAATTAAATACATTATATCAATCTCTCAGGGATGTTTTTATCCGACATTTGTGATCCCAAGCGTCTTCCTAGGAAGCACCAAAGTGAGCTTATAGAAGAAGAGCAGCAAGAGTCTGGTGAACCAGTGATAGGTCGTCGTCCTCCTATAGTGGATTCTATAGACTTTCTTTATATAGATGAAGAATATTTAGCGGTCAACAAGCCTGCCGATGTCCGCATGGATGGTGACTTTGATGTCACTGTTACAAAGCTTGTCTATCGTAAACTAGAGTCGGAAAAAGGAACTACTAGGAAACCGCGTTTTGTTCATCGTTTGGATTATGCTACTTCTGGCGTTCTTATTGCAGGTTTAATGGATCAAAGTGCTAGTTATCTAGCAAAGCTATTTCGTGAAAGGCTAGTGGAGAAGTTTTATCTTGCTCTAGTACATGGTTGGACACCTTGCAAGAAGTTTGTTATGGAAGAAAGGATAGCGAATCATCCTGTAGATGGGTTTATGATGACGGTCAGTGCGGATCGTGGAAAGAGTGCGAAAACAGAGTGCGTTCCGTTAAGTTTTGGTATTTATGGTGACCATTACTTAGTAACCAAAGTGTTATTGAAACCTTTTACTGGGAGGAGACATCAATTGAGAGTTCATATGAAGTATCGTGGGTTTCCGATTGTTGGAGATGCGACGTATGGAGTGGATAGTGTGTATGGACCGGATGACGTTCGAACACCTCCTAGGATGATGCTTCATGCTTGGAAGTTGAAGGTGCTGCGAGGTGGAGGTGAAGAGTTGTGGATCGAAGCACCGGATCCTTTCGAAAGTTGTTTTATGGAGTTGGCCAATGTGGTGTAGGAGAAAAGGGCGGTGAAGTGGAGACAGGCGGTATCCTATGAGCAACGCGTCGTTCAGGAGATGGAAGGAAAAAGACATACATACACTCGGGAGAAAGGAGAATACAGCAGTTGCCATTTTTTAGATCTCAAGTTGCCATCGAGTGAGGGCCTGTGATAAGATGGGTATGTTAACGCTTGTTAAAACCATATTTTTTCCGTTCATAAAACAGGTCAGCCTTGGCACTTCCCAAGTTGATTATTTTGGGGCAGCCATCTCTGTCTTTTTCCAAGATAGTACATTCCCTACAATAATAAGCATCCGATACTCCTACACCACCACAGATGACACAACGACCCTATCCCAACCCCCCCAAAAATATAGTAGCTTCATAAAGGAAACAAATACTTACCTGAAAAGAGCCGTAGTTGCACTCGTCACATATACGAACAGGTGTACAGGGACGAACATATGAGTCACAAATAACACATTTCCCGTCACCTGTCAAGAAGGAAGATAACAACAATCAACAGGAACAAAGAGGTTAAGACAATACGTACACTTTTCGCAAAGTCTTCCAACTGCAACTCCAGGTTGCTTTCGACACATAATCAGATCGGGATGATGTTTCGCCATATTCAAAACGGAAATCCATCGACACAAAGGCGGTTTCAAGAATGGAGATTTTTATTGATATTCAATTGATATGAAAAAATCCTATGTTTCAAAGAATAATTTCTTGAAGAAATTGGAAAAGATCCATGTTCTTAAAAGCTAATTGGACCAAATGTGTAATAATCCTTCAGCTGTTCCAGTATATATTTCATTTCGCTCGTCGTTGTAAAATATGGCAGAAACTTCATTCAATGCATTTTTGCCAGAAGAACCATCATCACAAATAGAAGAAAGATGTTGTCCTGTTAAAATAGATACAATACGGATAACGCCCTCCTTCTGGTTATCACCTCTTCTACCAAAGGCTAAAAGTAAGTCTTGACTACCTATAATATAAAGGCTGCTATTAGAACCATCCTGGTAAGAGTGAACATTTCCTTCAAAAGTAGACACCAAAGAACCGCTCAAGTTCCAAATATAGAATCTTCCTCTGCTCTCTGTCAATAACAATTCACTTTCATGAAGAGCTACAAAAGCTGTTGCATTGAGTGATTGTGCATTTTTCAGGGAGTTGACGTATCCAGTACGAATGTCCATAATATGCAATGTCTCATTCTCTTGTTTGATCAAAAGTTTGTCTCCAAACTGTTCGATGAACTCAATTTTCTTATTTCTATAGAGAGGAATTTTAGACTCTTTCAAACATTTGGCATTTTCTATGTCCAATATCCTAATAGGAAGATGACAGCCTATTCTCATATAAATGAGCATGATCATTCCTGGACTGATCTTGATTTCTTGCACTCTATCATCATGAATGATATGTTGCAGTTCATAGTTCTTCATATCCCACAGCTTGTAAACTGAATTTTGAGCTGAAAATGTCAATATCTTTCCATTCACTTCATCGAATTCCACAAAGCCAGGCCATCTCAAGCATTCAGACTCGAATAATAAGTATCCTTGTTCAGGCTTGCCATGAAGAATGTATTTCAGTGGTGTACTGTAACATTTAAGAGAACTAAAACTGTCTTGCTTCATCACAGAAACTGTTATGAGCGAACCATTCTTTCGATTCAAAAACAGACTTCGAATGATCTCGTCAGGTGACCTGTTTACACAGCATATCTTTTTAGAGTTTTCTATGATTGCGATACACACATCAGCAAGAAGTTTCAAACGCACAAGTGCCAAGAGATACCTCTAGAGTAGGCAAAACATACTCCTCCTTGGGTCAATACAAATAATAGATCAGAGCAACTACTTATTTCAACAATCTTTGACGCTGATTGTGAAAGTATACAATTGTGTTTGGGAAATCCGTTTTCGAAGATATCTATGGAATTCTAAAAGTTTTCAATCTCCACAATCCTATTCCATCCAAATCTGCACTTACTCTCAATCGAATGTTTCTAAACTTTTCGGGTGTCGAAGTTCCTCTAAATATATCTCTCACACCTGTATTGAGTTCACGTGTATGTAGTTTGAGTAGAAGGTTGCTTGTATGAGTTTTCTTCCTTCTTTTGACTCTTTCACCAGTTGTCGTGTGTTCAACATGTTTAGAGTCAGCCAAGGTTCTTTTTCTCAAATAAGTAGTAGCCATGAAGTGTCGATAACTGGTGACTCAATAATTTAATTTTCGTCTTTTGTGCTTTTTAGTGGATCGACACATAGACAGCAAAAAGAGGAAAAAAGGAAAAGCCAATGCAAAGCCAACTCATCTAGGAAGGGATCGTGTCTCCTTTGATGGGAATAACGGTCCCTTGTCTCGATTCCACGTGTCGTAAGGAAATGGAATGGCCATTTTTCCTCAAATGGACGCGATTGTATTGTGGCGGGGAAGAAATCAACGGTCCTCTATGATTCTTATGTTGAATCGACAAATAGGAAAGAAATCCATGACAAGTTGGGAATCAGAAACACTTTCCAAAATCATCCAGGAATCGCCAAAAATAGATACATTTGTGAATTGCCAAAAATAGAAATGATAGAGGCTCTCATCAACCACGACGTCATATATTTTTGTGGGTTGGAAACCTTTGCTAGTATACATGGCACTGGAGCTAAGCGTCGAGGAAGTGAAGAACGCTGCACTTTGTGTTTTACAAGAAGCCGAACAAAGGATAAAATCTCTTGAAGCTCTGGTTGTGACGACAAAGAGCCAATTGGATGAAGCAAAGGAACAGTTGTTTCGAATGAGACAAGTTGAAGTAGAAGTTGAGCAATGGAAGAAACGTGCAACTGGTTTAGAGAAACGCGTGTTAGAGCTCTCCGAAGAAAGGGAACAATTGTCAGGACAACTGAAAGAAAAAAATGCTTTGCAGAAAAACTGCAACTTATGTTTACCTATGAAACTAAAAATAATTGCGCCCATTTCGGTTGAAGTGTTGCCTGTTGTAAGGGAGACAGAAGAGGTATTTGTTGGAAGGAAAAAGGTTTCAACTGCAACTTTTAGCGTTGGCTATTATTGTTGTTTCTCCATTCCAAATAACGATTCGTGTATGGGAGATAACTTCAATAGTGTTCATAAAGCAACGAATGATGAGGAGTGCGGACAATGGAAACAGAAAAGATATTCATGTTCTTCCATCACAAGTGAATCTGATTCATTTGTTTGTCCAGATTCTTCCAGTGAAAATAGAATACATCGAAATTCAGAAGAACAACCAGATCGTCTCACAAGTGTTTCGCAGTCTCCTACTTTACAGAGATCGAATATGTATGACAATATTTCACAGACAATCGATATTTTCTCTTTTTATTCAGTGCACTCATCTCTGATGATAGCTGTTGGCAAATTGATTCTGCAACAAGTTGAAAAGCATACCTTTTGTTGGAAAGGAATGGAAGATTTGTCCATGGAAGATTTGAACAAGTTCAACTCGGTTGTGAATCATATGATTCCTTGTTGGGATATTTCCCAGTTGGTCAGATATGAACTTTATAGTGGCAAGTGGATTCCATGTTTTAAAAATATATGGAGACAGATTGTAATGCAATTTGATGACCAACGAAAAATAATAGAAAGTGAACATTTCTTGTTCTTTGGAATGACATTGTTTTGTTGTTTCTTTAATTGGAAAATGGAAAGATCGGTTAAGACAGAAGAATCCGAAATTCACTGTTATTTAGATGAAAGTCTTCATGAAGACCGTATCGATGACAACGTAAAGAGGAATGTGAGGTCGAAACTACCTAATGCAACACACAGCAGTTTTCAACCAAACATGGAACATTTTTTGACAATTCGTCGAGCCATGGAGAAAATTATACATTTGCTTATTCTTACAAATGACAAAGCAGTCAAAAAATGTCATTATTGGAAGGAGCAAGCACAATATCATGAGAAAAAGGCTTCATTGTTTCAAAGTGAGTTGTCACAATGGAAGTTACGTGTTTTAGAATGAAGGATAAGCTTTTACTATGGAAAGATAGTTTCGTTGAGTTGAAAGAAGTAGTCAATCTAAAACAAATGAGAGATGACCTTTCGAAAGAGCTTGATGGATTCAAGAGCTTCATGAAGAATTTGCAAGAGATGTATCATTCTGATATGATGAGTCGTGGGTATCAAGGAAAGTCAATCAAACAACTTCTTCATGACAGGATAAAGGCATTGAGTCTAGAGATTGAAAAATTGGAGCATGAAAGAACGAAATGGACGGAAGAACGGAACAAGACTGACGCCAAAGTTCAGCAAATGCAACTTCAAACTGAGGATTGGAAAACGAAAGTGGAAAGGTTGCAAGATTTACTGATAAGAAATGAAAACATGAGAATGCAATTGGAAAGAAAGATAGTGAATGCGGAAGAACAAGGACGTAGAGCAAAGGCAGAGTATGAAAAGTTGACGGAAACAAAAGAATTGCAAATATTTAACTCTCAAAAGACTATAAATGAGCTGCGTATACAATTGGAACGAGTCGAGCAGCATTTGGTAGAAACTCGTAAACGAGAATATCTATTAGAAACTCAAGTTGACACGTTACAACGAGCTTTAGAGTCGACAAAAGATGAGCTAGTAGTAGAACTTGTTGATACAAAGATAAAACTTGGTAAGTCTTTGATTCTAGTCATATTATAATATATTGAAATGGTTGTGATTCGTGTAGCTCAATCATACGAAGAACTGGAAACATTGCAATCACGAAAGAGAGGCATTTCTTGAGCGATGCAAACCTACGAACGATATTCATGGATTGGATAGCATTTGTTAGTTGTTTCTATTGGGTTTCAAGTAAAGCAACAACGTGTACTTTTCCTAAGAATCGCCTGTTTATTCTGAAAACGACTGTGAACACTCCGAAGAAAATCTCTAGGGAACCGAGTAAAACTTGTACGGAAAGAATATGTCGACAGGTTACTACTTTGAAGCAGCGAGCTCGCGAGTCATATGATCGACTCCCTCTTGTTTGTAATACGACTAACATAATAACGGCACAAGGAATAGAGAGTGATCACATTCATCCTTCAAGACTGTTCGTTGGTGAAAGTAAAAAGTCCATTTCAAAACTTAACAAGGAAATTTCACGACTATGTGACTCTGGAGACTTTCTTGTGGCTGTGAAAATATTGGAAGGGTTGGAAGTGAGTAATGTTCAACCAGATAGTTCAACATATCACTGTATGATTCGTTCCCTTACCAAAAGAGGAGAGGAAAAATTGGCGCGTCATTGCTTGACGCTTATGTTAGAAAAAGGGTTGCTTCCTTGCACCGAAAGCGTGAATTTGTTGATGAAGCAGTACTTTATTCAATCACCGAGAGCTTTGGAGAAGGCTTCTTCGTTGTTTCGAAGGATGAAAGAGTTGCAAGTTCCTTTGGACGCTTATACTTATAACAGTTTGTTGCACGTTTATGCGTTGAATGGACAAGTTACTTTAATGGAACAGTTATTTGAGGATATGAACAGGCAAGAGCGTCTAGTGGATTGGAACACATTGAGTATTATGTTGAAGGGATATTGTAAGGCAGGTGATGTTCAGAAGCTAGTTGTTTTCCTATCGGAAGCAGCAAAGAACCCCAAGTTGGAAGGTCAACTCAATATTGGAGTCTATAACTGTTATGTGGATAGTCTTTTACAGTTGGGTCAAATGAATACAGCTGAAAAGATTTTAGAACACATATTTGCTCATGAAGCTATTTATCAACCAACCATATATACCTATAATACACTGTTGAAGTTACAGAGAGAACGCCAAGATGATATACGTGCTATGCAAATTCTGGATGATATGAAAGAGAAAGGAGTTGTACCAGATATCTATTCGTTTTGTATTGTAGCGGACTGTCTATGTCGTAAAGGAAAGATGAAGGAAGCGATGTTGTTGAGACAAAGAATGGAGCACATTTCAAGAGAAAGTCGAACAGTTTATTACAATATTCTGTTGAAAGGTTGCAAAATGTTAAAAGAGAGTGCACTAGAAATGGGATGGTCTATTCTGGATAAAATGTCTCAAGATCAAATATTGCCCGATTCGATCTCCTTTGTGACAATGTTAGAGGTTTGCAACGAAGTTAAAGACATTGACAGCGCTAGGATGATGGTCCGAAGTATGATGAATTCTAAGAAAAAGATTTCGATAGAAGCTATTAACACTGGTTTATCTGTTTTTTGTAAAATGAAGACAGCCATAGAAGAATCCTTTCAGTTACTGAAATGGGCTAAAGAAAATGGCATTGAACCTGATACTATATCGTACAATATTCTGCTTGATCATGCGTTTCGGTTGAGAGACTGGGAACGAGGTGAGAAAATTTTCAAAGAGTTACAAACTCAAGGCCTTAAACCTGATGCAACTACGTACAATTATCTTATTCGTGCGTACTCCAATTCCAATCAATATGCAAAAGTAGTCGCTACTTTTAAAGAAATGAACAAGAGAAATTTTATTCCAAATGAGCAATCCTGTAGTAGTTTGGTTCGCGTATTTCATATCCAAGGTAATGATGCAGCAGCTCTACAAGTCTTAAATCTGATGGAAAGACATTATTCTCCTCGTAATGATCCTTCCATATTGGCATTTGTTCGTGCCTATATCTCAATGGGTCGTTTACAAGATGCCCTGGGAATGAAAAGAATGCTGTCACGGAAAACTGGGCGACTTTGGAAAACGATAGTCACAATTCTAATGGATGCATTTGCGTCTATCGGGGATCTTCGGGTCGTCGAAGATCTGCTAGACGAAATGCGTGGTTTTCAGAATGATAACATTTTGGACCCGATCCATACCGGTATTTATATCAAGGCCTTGTGCAACGCGTGTGAACATGAAAAAGCTTTTCAAGTGTTGAAGAAAGATAGTCGTCACGACATTATTTGGTACAATACTTTGTTGCATTCATTAGCTAAACTAGGTGAAATGGATAAATTGTCCCAAGTTCTTTATTATATGCAAGTAAGTAGTATGGGTTGAAAATGGATCACTCAACTATTGCGTAGGAACAAGGTATTGCTCACGACGAACATACCCATTATGCTATAAGACCAGTCATGCAGAAATTTGCTACTTTGTTGAGTGAACATCACCGTACAAATAGTGCCAATCCGCCATGAGATCTGAAATCACTACCAATAATTGTTCATCAACATTTGGAAAGAAAAAAGATGATTTGCGCCATTTTTTGGGCTTTATTTTGGCACCAAAAATAAAAAGTCGAGTTTGAAGTTTGAGAATGAAACCTCGTGGAAGTGACCATCTGTACTCTACTTCGTTGGAGAGTATACGACATGCCAAGTCCTCTTTGATTGTTCACAATAACCAATCCTCTTTATGCTATCAAAAAGAAGAGCAGTCGATGAATCCCGATACGAACATGCTCGATGAAGCAACAAGTTGGGATGGTCATCACAGGAAACGAAACTTTTATTTTGTCCTGCAACCTGTGCGTAAACGAATGGAAGCCACAGCCCCATGTTACTCTTTAGAGTCATCAAGTTACGCATCTGTGGCAGCCACACATTCTTTTCTACAAAGAACAAAACCAAACAGGGACCTTACCAGTTTTGTGAAAAAGAGACTGGAATATCCTTTGGAAGATAGTAGTAGTAGTACACTGGAGAATCGAGGAATGGACTGGAAACAATATCTAACGCAGTTTGAATATACTCGATTATATGAACCACAAAAAACACTATCCTCCTCCTCATTTCCTTTGAAACTTCCAACCCAAAATCCCACAAATGCTATTCTTCTTTATTATGGTTTGATACAACTTTTCTATCCACTTTATGGACATTCATCTTCTTCATCTCGTACAATAGTTGCTAATAGAGAACCTCCAAAAACAATGTATTCATTGGAATCTATTTTTGGCAAGTAATTATTCTCAACCATCTCCTTGTAACGTTGAAAATGGGATGACTTGCAGTCTCTTTGCAATACTACGACCACATAAATAGCCAGTTGTCCATGCTGCTTGTACTAGAGAGGAAAAAAATATTCAGAATATTCCAACTATCAACAGATTTCATACTCACAATTGAAACCTCCTGTCAATCCATCGATATCTAAAACCTCTCCAGCAAAGTATAGTTGAGGCACACATTTAATTTCCATACTATCAAAATGAACTTGTTTTCTACATACTCCACCACAAGTTACAAATTCCTCTTTAAAGATACCTTTTCCTTGAATCTCGAAAAGACTTGATTTTAAAGCATTTGACAAAGCATCAAGTTGAGCTTTGGAAAGGTCTTTCCATAAATATGCTTCATTATTAAGCGTTTGAACAACAATATTTCGCCACAAGTTTTTAGAAAGTCTTCCGTCTTTATCTCTAAATGGACAAACAGTAGTGACTTGTTTTGTTTTCCAATAAAGCTTCTTTTCCATGAGAATAGAATTGACTTGTTCGACATGGATATCAGGTAACCAATCAATCGATAATTGTGCTTCATAATGAACAGCAGCAAGTTCTCGAGCATTCCAAGCAGATAATCTCAACACAGCAGGACCCGATAAACCCCAATGAGTGATCAACAAAGGTCCACGTTGAATAAAGCTACTTTTTGGTAACGATGATGAACGACGACCATCGATTCCCATTATCTTCAAACCAACATCTTGCACCGTTGTTCCTGATAATCCTTGTAAACGAACATCATCGATACAAAACTACATGGAGAGATACTTTTCAACCCCATATCGTACAAAAAAAATTTCATTGCTTACAGTAAATAAACTTGGACAAGGTGAGTGAATGGTATGTCCCCAAGAAGAAAGCCAACGATAAGTCGCTCTATGGGAACCCGTACTAACCAAAAGATATTGACTTGATAACAATTCCTTTCCATGAACAAGAAAAAGTCCATTCTCATTTCTTTCTATATTCGCTATTGGATATTGTACACGAATTTCCACGTTGTATAAAAGCAATGCTCGTTGAATACATTGGATAATAGTTTGACTATCGTTGGAAACTGGAAATACTCGTCCGTCCTTTTCCGTTTTCAACTTCACACCGTTTTGTTTCAACCTTGGCAAGTTATATGGAGTCATATATAGGAGACTCTATGAATAATGGTTCACTTACCATTCTTTCATTTGCAAGGACCCAAAACGAGTTAGTGGACCTATCAATTCCTTCCCACCTCTTGGATAGTGTTGAGCAAACACTTTAGGATCCCATTCCCCATTAGTAACGTTGCATCTACCACCGCCACTGATTCGAACTTTTTCAAGAATTCGAGGAGCTCTTTCTACTATCAATATACGAGGCACTGTTGGATACGTTGCTTCACATAACTGAACAGCAGCAAAACAACCAGCAGGTCCACCACCAACGATAATCAAGTCATATCGTTGTATTATTGCATATATACGACTACAACGTGGACAACAACGATCAACTTGGAGTCTTATTCGTTGAGTCCTCAGACCATTCCATCCTCTTCCAATTATCCACATTCTCCTTTCTTTGGTTATAAGGAAAGTTGGAAAAGGAATGCAAGTTGAATTGTTACAACTCTTATTATAGAAGTTTCTGTTCTTCAAAACTATGTTTAAGAAGCAATTTACTATTCAATCCAATCACCTTTTAAAGTCTTCTGATCGTCGTCGTTTACGCACAGAACTTAAAGAATGTTTCCCTTTGCTAGGAGATGAAGATTGGGAAAGGATCTTACCACACAAAGTTGGAGAAGTCATCGTATTGAAACTTTCCAACAAAGCCACTGTATATTGCTTTCAGTGTAATACAGAAAATGAGGCTTTGGAGTTCTCTTCAGGTGGTGGTAAATGGGGACAACCTTTATTTGTTTTTGTTCCAGAAGAAGGAGGTTGGTTTCCAACTGTTTATACTTTATGGAAAGTACCCCATTTATTACCTTGTTTTGAAACGCACTCACAAGTCAGTCGTTTTCTATTGGGAGCAGCTGATTTGATGCTTCCTGGTGTTTATCCAACGGATAACGATGGCAGCTTTACGAATGTTCAGTTTGGACAACGAAGGAGCGTTATTGTGAGAGGAAATCCAATGCCTTTTGCTGTTGGTGTTTGTTGTTGTTCATCAGTGGATATAAAGAACAAGGGATTGAAAGGAAGAGCATTGAAGCTCGTTCACTATTATGGAGATGGTATTTGGTCACTTGGAGATCGTTCCAAACCCAACCAAGGTTTTACACTCGAACAAATTGATTCCGTTGACAATCTGAATGAAGATAACAATAATGTACAGTTAATAACACAACAACAGTCCAATGTGGAAGAAGAGGAGTATATAGCACAAACAACTAGTCAACTGTCTATAGAAGAAGATGGTGGTTTAGAACATTCCAATGAGGTAGATATGGATGCTTTATTGGATCGTTGTTTCTTACAAGCTGCAAAATGTTCGATTGAAGACCGACAATTGCCAATGGAAGCCAGTAAAATGTTCAATGAGTTTATATTACCTGCGAGACCAGCTCATACGGTGATTGATTGGAAGAAAAGTTCACATAAGAAATTGGGAGCTTTTATGAAGAGCCTCTCTAAACGTAAATTGTGTAAATTGAAGGAAGGAAAAGGACAATTACAAGTATTGACTATCAACCGCAATCATGAAATGTATCAATCCTTTGTTCCTTATTATGATGATAGTAGTAAAGAGAAGCAGTCGAATCTAGAAGACGATGGCTCTTCTCATGATGATGTAGTATCACATAATGGCATTCCACAAGTTTCAGAAATGTGGAAACCTCATCAACATATGAAGCATTTTCTGGAATGTTTGCAAAAGAATGAAAATGCATTATATTCTAGAGAAGAAATAAGAGAAGCTTTGCAACAATATGTACAACACAAATGGCCACAAAAGAAAGAGTCATCGGAGAACGGTGAGATTGTATTGGACGATGTTTTGCGAGATGCACTATTCAAAGGAAATACCAAAGGACTGATGGAAGATATTCCTTCAACTATGGATTGGAAAGAAGTGGAACTCATGTTGTTATCGAGAATGCAACCTTATCATGTTTTGTATAAACCTGGAGAAGAACCGATGATACGTAAAGGTGCAGTGAAGCCCATAGCCATTATTGTGGAAGATAGACAAGGAGGTAGAAAACATGTAACACGTATTCAAGGTATAGAAACATTTGGTATTGAACCTGAAGACTTTGCACAAAAGGCACAAATAGCATTTGCTTGTGCTTCTAGTGTACACCCTTTGCCAGGAAAACAAAACCATCTAGTAGAAGTACAATGTCAAGGAAATGTAACAAGTGATGTGACTAAATGGTTATTACAAAAGTTTGGTATTCCATCGACTTGGATTCAAGTTCAAGACAAACGAAAGAAAAAGTAAAATCTTAAAGTATGTTTCATAATCTTTATGAAGACTTACCAGCACCCAAGTCTTCTTCTTCTTCTAGAAATACAGCTCCAACGAATGAACAGTTTGCAGTTAAAGTCTCCCAAAACCAAACAGAAAGTGATGTTCCTCCTATAGAAGAACAGATAGTAAAACCCAAAAAGGAAACCACACCATCTTCTCGATGGTCAACTGCAGCTGTAAGGATGTTGCAACCTCCACCAAGTGTTTTAGTAAAGCGCCAAAATGTTAAAGTTTCTAAACCTGTTGTAAAAGAAACCAAAATAGTAGTCTCTGAAGAAGAAAATGAGAAAGACTCTGAGCACTCGATAGGGGATAACAAACCACCGAAAGAAGAGGAAGGGGAGGAAGATTTCAAAGCACAGCAACTGGAAGCAGTTGTAGCTACTGGAAGAAGTGCGTATATTGTGGACGAGTATGATCCTCATAGACCGAATGATTTTGAAACGTGCTTGCAAGAAAGAGAATGGAGAAAGGCGCAACAAGTCGTCAAGTCAAGTCTTGGTTGAGAAAGTACTTATTATAACTGTTTTGTTATTGTTTGGGAATACAAATAAAACTATCTTTGTACAAAAGTGGTTGATATTTTATAAATATGAGTTTTATGTCAATAGCCATTATGAAATGCTGGGCAAAGTAAGAAAAGAAGAGTAATGATGAGAGAAAGAAAGCGCCATGAATAACAACTTTACTTTTCGCTCCAGTGTATTCAAGTTACCCGAAAAGTTTTTGCCACCTACAAAGAGAAGAAAGGTTCAACTTTATAAGGCTTCGTTGCTTGAACCTTTACCTGAAAATGGTATCGTACATACCAACAACACTTCGGTGGACACTAGTTCTACAAGGAACATACAAGACGAGCCTGTTTTGAACAATTGTAACTCTTATTGTGACGCGAGTTCTTCTCCTCCTTCAATACCACAAAGTACAGATTCGAAGTTATTTTCAATGGAAGTCAGTAGTCGAGAGAGTGAAGTCTCACCACCACAGTCTAGTCACACGACTTCTTTACAAGGAAGCTCACAAGACAAAAACGAAGATAATTGTATGGGAAAGCCATATATGAACGATAAGGAAAGGCGCCCAAACTCTCCTTATGAAAAGTCTGTTTCGGAGAATGTCTTGAAGGACGAAGTAGTGGAGTCGGATACCTCCTCCGGTGAGATTCCTCCAGGAAAACTGGAAACTATGGAAATAGTCAATCACAACCCTGAAGACTTGAACGAAGAAGTAAGTTTTCAGCTACAAAATTTATTTCACGCCGGAGTTGTATTTCCTGATGACTTTGACGAGAGAGCTTTTCAATTTCTGTCAGGGTTACCACCAAAGAGTGCTATCGAGGCTTTGACAGACCTTTCAGAGCGTAATTTTTCCAATGTTAAGAAACGCAAAGCTTTCGTAATGAGCGTACTTCGTCAACATGCTCCTGATGATGACACTCGTTGGAGCTCACCACAAAAGCAACAACAGTCAACACATGAAACTAAGGTACCTATTATAGTTCCACCTTCTGCGTTGGCTCATCTTCCTTCACGAGTGGCAGATAGTTTACAACTAGTATTTGCTTCTGGTGTTTGTCATCCTTCCAAATTTGATGATCTTGCTATGGAAGTGTTGGTTAGTTTAGAAGAAAATGATGCCGTTCAAGCATTGAAAGAATTTGCCAACGTTGATCCTTCTACTGTAAGGAATCCTTCTGCATTTTGGATGGGAATAGCTAGACGATATCAAATAAGAGCGAAGAAAGCCTCCATCCATCCCCATTCATCCACAGCTGTTCAAAGCAATGAAAACTTGATGGGATCTCATTCTCGATTAAGGTCAGTTGGAGACCGGTATAGACAACAGACGGATCACAATTTTGTTTCATCTGGAAGATCATCTCAAAGTGGTTTTTCTTCGAGTCTTGAGAGATTCGAGACAAATAGGAAGAGAATACATCACGAAGATAGTCATAAAATGGTTACCGAATATATTGAAGAATTGACGAGGAGAAATATCTTAGCGCCTGGAGCACTTGATGAAAAGGTTGTAGATTCTTTGAAGCGGATACCACAAGATGATGCACTTACAGTATTACGTGACCTTGAACATCTTGATTATCGAAGAATTAGAAATATATCTGCTTTTGTTACAGGATTAATACGCAAAGTTACCAGCAATGACCATTTTAATCAACGTTTGACGATAACAAATCCAAACAACTTGGTGGATGATTTGGAGCCACGAGTAAAACAACGATATCTTTCCTTGTTTTCAAAAGGTTCGGTGAATGAGAACAAAGGAGGATTGGATGATAGGGCATTAGAAGCTTTATCAAATTTAAGGCCGGAGCTATCTTTACAAGTCTTGGATGAATTAAGCAAAGTGGATATGGATCATTCACGAAATATTTCCATGATAGCAATGGGAATTATGAAGAAAGTTACTCAAAGAGAAAATCATGAAAGAAATGTAAGAAGTTTTAAATATTAATATCATCTACGAAATCATTTAAAACACAAGTAAATAAAAATATTTTTGTAAACTATGAACGATCGTATTGTATGTATGATTGCGTCTCCCATTTATGGAAACAGGATCCAATGATGATAATAGAAAAGCATCAAGTCATTCTGTGACGAGTCCAAAAATGTTTTCGCTGAAATCATTTGGTATGGAAGGCAATAAGAACTTTTAGGATTTTGAAACAAACAGGTGACTTCCGTATCATTCCAATGCAGAACAGGAAAACCATTTTGTAGAGCTAGCGAAAAGTGATGGGAACTGTTGGTTATACATATGACCAATCGATTGTCATGTATGAGTGATAGATTCCTTACGAAACGTAACGAGGCTCTTTCAGACTTCATTATTAACAAAAGCGGGATACTTCTAGTGAGTTGTCGAATGACTCTTTCAAGAACAAATAGAGGCCATTTTTTCATAGAATTTCGTGGAAAATGATATTGGGTCTGTAAGATGATTCTAATCGCCTTTGTTTTGACCAAATCTGTATAGAAAGGAGAAAGCGAGGGCATTGGAACTGGTTTCCGACGCCATAGACGAATCCACCCAATATAGTTTGAAATATTATATTCAAGAAGCGAATATTCAGATTGTAATAAGTTGATGCCATTCCAAGGTGGCATAAATTTGGAAAAAAGTATGCGATTATATTGTACCTCAAGTTCAGGTAAGCAATCAGCTCCTAAGAGGCAGGATTGATACCTTAATCGCAATGTTTCTTCATGAGGTATATGTACAAGGCTATCCGACTGTATCCGTTCCATGTATAAATAACTCTTCGCTCTCTCCAATAAAGAGTCATCCTCCCAGCCATATGAATGAATTCGTTCATCAAAACTTGATAACAGTTTGTCTTGCTTTGAAGAGTCAGAGTTCTGTACTTACCCACCAATTTGAAAAAACACCTGTCTCGGCATATAGAAGATACCATGGAGACTTCGCTCTGAAGCAATAGAAGCAGAATAAAAAACATGTTCGTGCGGTGGATGTCTTACAAGGAAAGATCGATCGACCCATGTATCGCAGTCTAACTTGAGAATCCAATCTTCTGTTGCAAAAGAAACACCCAAGTTATAGGCCTGAGCAAGATTCCAGTTGCTTCCATTTTCTACTCGCACAACAATAACCTGAACGTTGCTCGACGTTTGGTGAAGAGAGTTCAGTACAAAACTGTAAAGGGAATTGCTAGAGGACCAGTCCACCAACACAATCTGACGAATACCATATAACGATAGCCACGAGTTGAATACTTGCTTGAGTTGTAGCAAACGTTCTTTGCAAGCAGCTACAACTGTAGCTGTGGGAAACTCCACTGGAGACACCTTTTTCTCGTTTCCATTGATACCATGCACAAAAGGATTTGCAGTTGACACTGCGAAAGAAACTTGAGAATGAACAATCTTCGCCAAACTATTTCTAGAGTATAGAAAATTTGAACTTTTTGATACAACTTCTTCTTCACTAGCGAAATAAAGCTTTACATAGTTTTGAAATAATAATAACCAAATACAAGTACGCGCCAAATTCAATGGCATTTTTTTTCTCTTGTCGTCTCCGTGGTCTTGTACATTAGTGAATGATTATTTATCGTCGTCTGCTGATTTATCATTTCATTGCTCAACTTGTTTTCTAGGTTGCTTCATATGATATTTCAGAGATTTCCTAATGGAGCATTTTAAAAACAAATGCACTAAATATACACAAAGATTCCATACAAAAGGTCCTTTTCCATTTTATCATTATTGATGGCCCTTTTCGCATTGTCGAGTGTGGTGTAGAAAATTATCGCTTCCATCGTACCACCACACAGTGAACTGGTTGTACGTCATGAACTCTCCCAAAATGACTTTAATCAACAAAGGCATAGCACTCAAGTTGTTGAAACGAGTAGATGTTCTTTCCGAATCCCAATCTCTCGCTTTAGATATAGGTGGTTCCTTGGCAAAAATTATATACTTCCAACCTGACGGAGCTAATCGAAGAAAGGAAAGAACGGACGGGATTCCGAAACTATGTATTGACTACTTGGACCCTAAGAGAGAAGGTTCTTCAATATCAGTTCGAGTACCAGAGCTGAATGGAACTCTGCACTTCTTTTGTTTTGAAACTCGAAATATTGAAGATTGTATTAAATTTATATCAGAACATTACAGACAGAATGGCAAAGAGAAAAGAAGAGTTAGAGCAACAGGTGGAGGAAGTTATAAATATGACAAGTTATTTAGCGAAGTGGGTGTGGAATTGACCAAGTTGGATGAGATGTGTTGTACTGTGGCTGGTCTTACTTTTCTCCTGACGCACTTTGACCACGAAGTATTTTCTTTCTTGTATCCTGATGGAACTTTGCCACCACCAGGGCTTCCTGAGTCTGCTCCAGCGTTGGCGGAGTGCAGAAGATTTGTAGATGCCCGTCCCGATCCATTTCCTTATCTTTTAGTTCATATTGGTAGTGGTGTGAGTATAGTTAAAGTGACAGGTCATGGAAAGTTTGAGCGAGTGAGTGGTTCTACTATTGGTGGAGGCACTTTTTGGGGTCTTTGTCGGTTGCTTACCAATTGTAAAACTTTTGATGAAATAATTGAATTGACAAAAGAAGGCAACAATGAAAGAGTAGATATGTTAGTTGGTGATATCTACGGAGGAGATTATTCAAAAGTTGGCTTAGGAGCTGGTGTTATTGCTTCTTCATTTGGTAAAGTTACAATGAGGAAGGAACCTCCTCCTACATTTTCCAACTTGCGAAAGGCTTGGAGAAGAGTTGTTTGTGGAACGTTTTGGTTATGGTGTGACTTTATGTTAAATATTCCTATTTTGGGTCATTTTCTTCGTTATTTGGGGTTAGAGAAGCATTTACGTTCGAGAATAGCAAATATTCATTTTGGTAAAATCTTCAGAGCGGAAGATGTTGCACTTTCTTTGTTACGTATGATTTCATATAATATTGGACAGATTGGATATTTAAATGCGAAAAGGTTTGAGTTTGTTCTTTTTTTGTTCAATGATCTAAACCCATCTTTTATTTAGATATGATTTGCCAAAGATATATTTTGGAGGCAACTTTATTCGGGATCACCCTTATACAATTGCTTCGATATCTTATGCTGTTCATTTTTGGTCTCATGGTCAGACGCAAGTAAGTATTGAGAAAGAATTTGATAAGGCCATGAATGAAAGCTCATTTAGGCATTGTTTCTATTACATGATGGATATTTAGGAGCATTAGGAGCTTTTTTAGGTGGTGAATCGACTATATCGGAAAATTCCTATTCCGAAATGTAATAAAGTGTTTCATATGGACAAGAACAAAATCATTTGCTTACGAAACATTGCGAGGATTTACTTTCGTAAACTATTGGAAATGCAAACAAAACAACACAAAACAAATGCTTCTTTTAGGATGCCTTTTAAGGAAATGATATTGCCCCATAACAAGGAAAGGTGATAGTCTTTCCTCTTCTTTTCTTAAGAAAGAGTTGGAAAGTCGGTGGGATCCGAAATACTTGGAGTTGATATTCGACTTTCACGAAAACCACCTCGACCTCCTCCTCTTCCGCCTCTGCTTGATGCTCCTCTTGAAGAAAATCCACGACGAGAAGGACCATTAGAATAACCTCTACTATCGAAGGGTCGAGAACTAAAACCTCCCCTTCGTCTACTATCCTTGCTATCTTCTAAAAGTTCTTGAACTGTTCCATCTTCACTTTTCACTTCACGTCGAAAGTTGCCTGTAGTCCCTCTAGGACCCGAACCTCTTCCTACTCTTCTACTACCACGACCTCTTCCACGTCTTGGAGGTTCACTGAAGAACTCCTTCGTCATATCTACTGTCTTATTCTTAGCATCCTTTTGTCTATTATTTGCGGCATTTTGCTGCAAATTCTTTTGCCCTATTTCCGATAAAGTTGGATCATCTTCATCTTCTCTCCTCCAAGGCTTCAAACTGTCATCCAAAGTATTTGTCTCCTTAGCTTTGGCAGGTTTGTTTCCCAACAAGCTGGCAAGTTGTAACTTTTTCTCTGCTTGCCTAGCTAAATATTCATCTAGTGTCAAAGTCTCTTTTGGTTCTTCTTCAACTTTTCCAGATGTTGTAGTACCAGTAATAGTCTCTTGTTCGGTCTCTTCACCTTCTACCTCATCAACTATATTTTCTTCTACTGATCTTACAGCTTCATCGTCCTTAAGTCCAGACCTAAACGCAGTATTCACACCTTGGCTCAACTTTCTTGCTTCTTCTTCTGGATTCCCAAACACATATCTGCCACCAGCACCACCTTTGGATATCTCCTTTCCACGTCCTGTTCCAGAATGACGATCAAACTCTCTTCCATGCTTTTTGACTACTTGCACATGATGCCTCTCCAATTTGTGTGGCGAGTGTTTTTCTTTGTCCTAAAGGGTGTGCTCAATAGGAAACACAACGTAAAGAAAAACTTCGTTCGTTACCTCTTCTTCTGCCAAGGTTGTGTCTTCTTCTGCTACTGGCAACGAATCCACTTGTGGTATCTTTACTTTAGAAGTTGTTGTTTTAGTAGATGCCGAGGAGGTTTTGGTTTTGTCTTGAGTGGAGGCCTTTCGAACAACTGCTTCCGTGGCATCTTCTGCGTCGTCAGACAATAAAGCATACAAGTTGGACTTGACAGAAGTGGACATCGGAGTTGTATGTTCTACAGCCAACGTATCTATTCAATATTATTTACAGATATTTCTTCAAGTGGTTTGGAAACATTGGCACAAAACGATCTTTTTTCCCAATAGTCCAATGCAACTAAAGATGGACGACGTTGACAAACCTAAAATCATCATTTCTATTATTATGTTTATTCTGCTTGAAAAAGCAGAGAAAACATAAACATTTCCTAACAAGTATTAAATTTCTACTCCTTCTAATACATCACCAGTTCTATCCTATACATCCAAGCTTAGATATTCCTCCAAGTCTGTCAATCGAGAAAGAGAGCAAAACTTACCAAATGAACATATACATCTGTTCCATATCCATCCATCGATACCAACTGTAAATTGCCACCAAAGTATTGTGCATATAACTTGGAAAGTGGAAGTCCAAAACCTAAACCTGCCATAGGTCCATCCACTGACTGTCGTTGTACTAAACGATCCCATTCCCCTCCCAAGTTTCCTCCTCCTTGTTCTTCCTCTCTGAGACGATTAACAGTGGAAAATCCATAACGAAAAATACTGGATAAGATGTCCAATGCAATGCCGCCTCCTTGATCGCTAATTCGAATGGTGACTTGCTTAGGACCTTCTGTCAACAATACTTCAATAGGTGGCATGTTATCTTTAGATAATAACAAGCCATTTTTATGATGATTTTGTGACAAGTGTCTTTCTACAACCGCTCTCATGGAATTCTTTAACAATTCCAACAATATATAATGAAGATGATAAGGAATATAAGGAATAGTAGATACTGAGCCTCGAATCTGTACAGGCACTTGAACTCCATACTGTCGAAAACAAATACGACTACACTCTTGATAGGCAATATCCAGACACTGTTGTGGTGAGCAATGAGTATTGATAACTCCAACAAAGCCTGGACGACTTTCATGCAACATAACATGTTGTTCAGCAATCATACGTCGACCAATACGTGATATAAGCATTTGGTCTACAAAAGAGTCTAAATCCAAGTGTTCTCTTTGAGAAGCTCTTAATAACGCCAAGCGAAGTCCGTGTGCTAATAACTGTGGTTACATATATAGTCAATCCTATGAAATATTCAAAAATAGCAATTACCTCCACAACGTTGGCACTTTCGTCTACTAAATGCTTCAAAAGTACAGTAAATTCCTTTTCATCTTGCAAGTCTTGTATCTTACGGAAATTACGAACAGATTCGAAGGCTTCTACATATACATCGTATATCCGCTTGATAGGACCACATACTACATAATAAGGTAAGGATCTCAAGTCTATAATACGATGAGCCAATCGAACTGGAAGCTCTTGATGCACAAAACGTGCACTTTGGATGAGTTTTTGTTCATTCAACTGTTTGCCAAACTGGATGAGTTGGTTGATGGTATGCTTTTTGGGTTCTTTCTTGGCATAACGTGCTACAGCGTTGTCATGAACAGTTAAATAGTCTGTCGTTCCATAACTCAAGCTACGATAAGACAACCACTGTATATACTTCCAACTACTTCTAGTCGACCACATATGGAAAACCAAAATCACTTTATGATTTTCTTCTCATTTCATATTCATCGATCGATCATGGAGAGGATGTCCTTTTCTTTCTCTCATCGCTATGCTTACTTATTGTTTCATAAAGTGTCCAATAACTTGAGTTGTGTACATAAGAAACTTTGTTATCAAAACCATTCCCATCCAACCATTTTATATCAACCAAGAGTATTGTTAAATATTCGTAGTTGTATTCATATGTCACAAAGTCAACAGAGTTATATGTTACCCACAAAAACGCCTTCTTGGGCCAAGTTGACTATTGCGTTGGGAAGTCTAATTACAATATACAGTTTCTATGAATATTTTTCTAGTGGAGGAGCTGTATCAGGTTCTGCCTTAGGTTTTGTTTACGGACTACCCATTCTTTTATTAGGATTGGCTCTTCAATATGCAGAGTTAGCTCCTACACCTTTGAAAACGAGCGATGAAGCGAAAGAGAAACGTGAATATTTGGCTACAGATGTACAAAAAAAGTTGATAAGAGATGTGACTCGCTATCGTTATGGAAATCAAGTTCATTTGGAACAAGTATGGAAAGCATTGGGATTGGTTTCTCGTGGACAGTCTCGTCCTATATTGAAACAAGTATTGGAAAGAATAGATGAGACAAGTAGTCGATATGAATTGTGTTTATTATTATACGCTGTTGGCAGTCAAGTTTCGTTTTGGGAACAAAAACTGGAAAAGATGAATCGTTTCTTTGGACCGAACATTGTTTGTCGTATAGAACCAGTAGAAGAGGATCAGTTTTGGTTGGTGTTGAGGTCATTGCAAGGTTGAATGAGTAACAAAGTGATAGTCGATATTGATAAAGATTGGGATATGGAATAGATATATTTTATATTTGTATGATATTGAATACTTGTTATCCTATGATGGCATATACATATATATATATAATTCATAATTATCTAAAAATGGTAAAGGAGAATTATTCTAAAAGTTCGGATGAGGAGATCTAGTCCAAAGAACCGTCCAGTTGCCTTTCAAAACGTACCACTTTTATCAGCACAAGGAATATTTGTTGCTGCCTCACGTCTTGCTATATGTCAATCTTGTCCAGGATGGAAAGGACATCGTAGGTATACATTTCAAGTAGGCACTTTTTGCAAAAGTTCAGACAACTCTTACAACTCAGCTTTTATTATTCTTTAGTGGGTAACAACAAGTCCATTCTTATCGAGCAATTGTTATGTAAGAAGAACGAGGGTGGAAAGATATGGCAAGTTCGAAACTTTAGCGTCTTTGGAAGAGGAAAGAAAGACAGAAGAAGGGGTCAGTAACCTGGAACAGTCCCACGCGATTGAGAATACGGCAGAAACCCCACTGCAACCCATTTCTGTCACAGAAGAAGCAGCAGAAACTGAAGAATCTTCTCCAAAGAAATCCCAAGTCAACAAAGGTCGTAAAAGTGAAACAGGATCTAGGTTTCGAGTGTTGTTTGATGAGATTGAAGTGGGTCAAGAATATGTGGGCAAAGTGAGGAAAGTAACGAATTATGGAGCTTTTGTCGATATTGGTTGTTTTACAGACGGTTGGTTATTATCTTGTATAATATTATGACTGGCTTTTGATAGTGATATGTCTCTGTTATATTTTAGGACTTTTGCACGTTTCTCAAATGAGTGATACGTTTGTGAACGATCCCACGGATATCGTCAAAGTAGGAGATGAAGTTAAAGTTCGGGTAGTTAATAAAAAACCGGAGAGAAAGGAATTCTCTCTTTCCATTCGACCTCCAAGAGTTGTAAAGAAAAGAGAAGAACAACAAGTGGCTACGCCAATGAAGGAAATGGATAGTAAGAACAACACGGATGATAATGAATATGCCAAAGTTCGTGGGCGTTCTTCAGTTTCCAGACTACAGAGGATGGGAATTTCAATGGACGTCGAAAGTGCCGATGACTCTTCCAATCCAACGGCAAGAGTTGCTTCAAATGTACGAAAATCTCGTATGTCTTCAACAAAGGGTTCCTCTTCCATGAAAGCGTCTTTTAGGAAGTTGGCAAGAGAAACAGATGAGCAAAAATTTATCAAGGGAACGGTAGTTTCAGTAACAGAATTTGGTGCATTTGTCGATTTCGGAGGACCTTCAGATGGTCTTATTCATATATCAGAAGTGACAGAGGATTGGTTAGAAAAGGATGATTCGGGAAGCAGAAAAATCAAAGTGTCGGTCGGAGATGAAGTTCAAGTTCGTGTTATCAATGTTGATGTCAATCGTAGTAGAGTTTCTTTGTCCATGAAACCTTTTGCAATGTCTGCCAAGAAGCAGTTACAGGAAGATTTGGCTGCTGCCAATGAGAATCAACCAGAATTTGAAAGTATGTTGGCTTTGGCTTTGCGAAAAGCTTTACAAGAGAAGGAAGCGGAATTGGCAACGCAATCTCGCCATTGAGATGCGCTTTGTGGTTTTAAATAAACCATCAATTCTTGATCTTTTTATTTTGTATCGTTTGGTCTAATGAACAACAACATGTCATATTCTAAAGCAGTATTTTGTATTGGTTGCTAGGAAGAATTTTAAAACATATCTGATTCATCCAAGCAAAATGACTCCGTCATATACCAAAAGGAAATATCTGATTGTTCATCTTGGAATGGACTAGTTGGCCAGAAGAACAACTCCTCAGAACTATCCATAGTGTTTGACTGTGCCAACTCCATATTAGACTCTACAGTTGTAATGGCATCAGAACAAGCAGCTGCCATAGCTATTTGAACTTGTTTAGATACAAATTTTCCATGTAGACGAAACCTTCTTTGGGCCAACTTTTGTCTTTCAATATAGCGCACCTTTGAAGAGTTGCTGGTCTTGTATTTCTTGTTGCGATATCTTTGAAACCGAATCTTACGATAATGATCTTTGTTTAGCATTACTGGATAAAATAATTCCGGTTTTGGAAGAAAGTTAAGATATTTAGGAGCTTCTGTCATGTTGAGGTCTTTATAGTTTTGTAGCTTAGTAGTCTTGTCATTAGAAACCGTGCTTTTAAACAACTCATTGAGAGTAGCAGCAGTGAAAGGTTCTGTTTGTTTGGAATCAGACGGAGGAAGACAAAATAGCCCATTTCCATCGATAGCTTGGTATATTTCAAGTAAACATGGTGAATCAAGTGGTTTGTTTTCTACAACTCTCTCGATACATGGTTCGTATCCAATAAAAGTCAATGACATTAGCTGGTTATCACAAAGTTGAAGCCAGAGGGGCAAAAGAACTAGAAACAAAAAGGGGTAGATTAATGAATCTTCAACTTTTTTGACCACAAGCGAATTTGCAATTCAGATACATTTTTCGACGTCCAAAAAGGTAGATTTTGATTGGCGGATCATTCGAGGATTGGCCAAAATATCGAAACTTAGCTAACACGTATGACCAAAATAGCAAAACTAAGCGAAAAAATATGACAAGCGTGGCAAATTGTAAGCAGAAATATTGTCAATCTAGCCACACCATCACCCACCATCACACCAGCTGCATATACACCATGTACCCAGTATGACACCAGCTTCATATCGACTTGAGAGGCTAGTAGGTTTCTTTCCGGTTTTAGGTGTCTAGTAATAGACCGTTGAGTTGTAACTGCTTGAAAACTGAAACCCCTAGTGTTACTGGTTCAACTTGTTTTAGAAAGTCTCGTTGAAGCAAAGCCTTGGAAAACTTCTTTGGGGACTTTTTCAAGAAAGAACTGGATAATATTTTGGTAATAGTATGATTGGAAAGACACTAGGAAGATAGTTGTGGGGTAGCAGCAGAATTTCTCCCTTCCTTCACAAAACGACAGAAGAAACTTTCCACCTTCTTTGTTGATAGTCGTATACAGTTATTAAGATTGCATGTGTTCAACCAAAACCCAAATATCCAAATGCATACTTGTCTAGTTGGATATTACATGTATTGTTTTATATATTGCGAACCCGTAATTCTTTTCATCATTCATTGTTCAATGATTATATACACTTTTGACTACTATTGGACAGTGGGTTACACACTAGGATATTTGTTTTCCTAAGTAATAAATGTGATATTAAGAATATTTCTTCTTTGTTCAGTAAAGATTGCTTTGACGGAATAGCTAAACATGTTTATAGAGAGCCCCTTGCGGTTGAATTCATGCTTTTTTTAACAAAACAAAAGAATCTCCTCAGTTTTATCTATTCAGGTAGTCTTTGCTTGTACAACTCTCTCTCTCTCTATTCTTCAACTAGAACTACAAAATCACAAGTCATCCCAAGACAAGTACGCAAGCCTCTGCCTTCCTTTCCCATTTGAGTATTCATTTTATTTTCACACGTCAACAGAACAACTACTGAATGAATATTCACATTGTTTTCCAAACATGTTGCTACTTTGCCAAAAACTTTTCAAATTTATTTTCATGCAAACTCAAAGAAACAAAGAAAAACAACCATGCATTCACTTGTAACCAAACTCAAGGTTCATTTCCTCTTTGGCGAGGCCGAAAATCTCAGAGAAATGGAATTTCGAATATTGTTCAAGTTTCTTCTTGCTAATCCTACCATGCCATCGTTGAACAGTTCTCTCACATCTTCTAATAACAATCCTTTGGTTTCAGGCAAAAAAATGAAATGAAAGATAAGAAATAGAAGAGATACTCCTACATAGAAATAAAAGGTCCCTTGTAAAGTAAGTGATGAAACTTGTCTCGAAAAGGAAGTGGTCGATGATGCTGCAGACCCCAAAAGAAGAAAAGCTCCCCACGCCATTCCATAATTGCGGACGTGGAGCTCATAAATCTCGCCATTCAAGACCCACGCGACTGGAGATATACCCATTTGGAACCCAAAATAGAAAATGAGCATACCAATGAGGAATCCTGCAGCACGATGATGCACATTGTCTACATAAATGCAAGAGCCTGCAATCAATTCTCCAATCATGAATATCGGAAAGCTAATGAGCAACATTTTTCGTCTACCGTACTTATCCAACCAATAATACGCAGGTAAAGTCCAACAAAAACTCCAAAATCCAATAGGCATTTGTACATAATCAGAAGTCTTGTCTGTTAGACCCAAGGAACTGAGAAGAATGGCCATGTAATATCCAACTGAGGTGGCTCCATTCCATTGTTGCGACAATGACAATACTCCTCCAACAATAAATGTTGCTCTAATTCTAGGATTTGTAGTGATTTCTTTCATCGCTTGAGTAAAACTTATTCGATTGGCCAGTTCCACTTGCAATCTTTGACACATGTCTCGATAATCTTGTTCTGAAACGAGCGTTTCTCTTCTAAATCTTCTCCAACATTTTCTTGCTTCTTCTGGCTTACCTTTGAGCATAAGATATCTTGGGCTTTCAGGTAAGAAGAATAGACCGACAAGTTGTACTGCAGGGCCAATAAAACCAGATCCCAGTATATATCTCCAAGAACCAGGATGAACATTAATAAATATGGCAGTCACTACCCAAGCTAAGAAAGTTCCAAGAGCTTGAAGAGAGTTGAAAATATTCAGATGACCTCCTCGATGTGAACGAGGAACAACTTCGGAGATGTAGATAGGAATGGTCATGGCTTCTGTTCCAATTCCAACTCCCATAATAAGCCTTCCCGCCAACAACTGTCCCCATGTCTTTGTCGATGTGGCAATAACAACTCCGATAATATATGTAACGGATGAAATCAAAAGAACAGTCCTCCTTCCTACCACAAAGCTAATTGGAGTTGCCCTATTGTAACATATAAGTGAGCTCTTTTCTACAATATATTACAATTCTTACAGAGCACTTCCTAAAACCGAACCCCATGTAGCTCCTGAAGATATCCATGACCAATGATCACTCGAAATATGGAGGTCGGGAATAACGTAAAGAGATGCACCTCCTGTAAGTCCCAAATCCATTCCCATCATAGTAGAACCCCAACATGCTATAAATAGGAAAAACTGTAAAGTCCTTGTGACTCCTTCATCTTGGTCAGTCACTTGTTCTGTTTGGTTCTTTGCATCTGCAGTTTCCAAGTCATCCTTCAAAGAAGAAATATTCTCAAACTGTTCCTGGTTTGCTTCTTCAATTTTTTCTTTAACAGCTTCAGACTCAACTGGGTTGATAATCATTGTTGAGAACGATAAAAATTCCAATAAACGAAATAATGAATGATTCTATCTACCCTATTTAAAAGAATGGGGGAGATAATGTCGCTTAGCCCTGTCGCGCTTGGAAAACCATTTGTGGAAATGTTGCCTTTCGTTTTCCACTGGACAACCTTGGCGACATGTTGAAGCAGAAACTAACCACAATTGTCCATAAAATTGTAGCCTTATTACACAACTCGTCAAATGGACAACATCAAAGATGGATAATAACTCTTCATTTGATTGATTGATCACAAGAATAGATTTTATGACTTGCTTTCCATGACGTTTCTATTGGACAACGCTTTGAAGAGGAAGAAGAAGGCGGAAATAGACTTGTAATATTAAATACTTGTCTCACTGAAATTGATTTGGTTATGAGTGTTCAAAGACTATATTTGAACCACAACTGGAGTGTATACTCTGAACCCAATAAGACTTTGACAACGCACCAAGAAGCAATAGTCAAGTATGTTGCCAACCTACCAGCTTGTGTCCACTCGATCCTTTTAGAAAATGGGGTTATAGCTGATCCCTTCTATGGAGAGAATGAAAAGCTCCTTCAGTGGATACCTGAGCATACTTGGTCCTTTGCTCGTCGTATTCCTTCCAACGTGTACCAAACTTGTCCAAGCGTTCGATATTTGTTGATTTTCGACTGCATTGATACCGTTGCAGACATTTTTCTGGATGGAAAGGAACTAGGTCGTGTTGAGAATATGTTTTATAAGCACGAATTTGATATTACATCATTTTCAACTTCTTCTCATGATATGGAGTTGAAAGTGACATTTCCACCAATCATGGACTACATTAAGAAAAGAGAAAAGTCGCATCCTTATCGAGAGTGGAACGATCCTGTGGGTGGAGCAAGTAGAGTTCGCAAGGCACAATATTCATTTGGATGGGACTGGTAAGTTGACATGGAAAATTTTTGGCAAACTGATGATAGGCATGGTCCATTACAGGGGTCCACGATTTCCTACTTGTGGAATCATTGGTAACGTATACATACTTTGTATTCCAAATTGTAGAATTGTAGATTGGAGAATATCACAACGATATGAATCGTTGGAAAGGGTAGTATTGAATATAAATGCTGAAGTGGAATTTGTTTCACAAAAGCCCGTAAATGTTCGTTTCGATGTTTCTTACGCTGGCAAATTGATTGGCAGTTGCTCGTTGGAGAAGTCAGATACTTGCGTTTATAGAGGACAATTTCTTATCCAAGATGCTAAGCTTTGGTGGCCAAATGGTTATGGAACACAACATCTTTATCAAGTATCCTTATCAGCGTTCTCCGAGAATGAACAAATTGCACTTGACTGCTTGACAGAGATCATCGGTTTGCGTCAAATTTTATTGGATACTTCGAAGACAGAAGATGGATACAGATTCCAGTTTTATATAAACGGCCGACCCATCTTTTGTAAAGGTGCTAGTTGTATTCCATTTCATAGTTTTTTGGATCAAGTTACTACAGAAGATTATCGCAAAGTTCTGGGTTCAGCAAAGATGGTAGGAATGAATATGATAAGAGTTTGGGGAGGTGGTATATATGAGAAGGATGTATTTTACAATCTTTGTGATGAATATGGTTTACTTGTTTGGCAAGATTTTATGTTTGCTTGTGCTTTGTATCCAGGAGATGCAGAATTCTTACAAAGTGTGGAACAGGAAGCAAAGTATCAAGTCACTCGATTAAGAAACCATCCTTGTTTGGCAATATGGTGTGGTAATAATGAATTGGAGCAGAATCCTGAAGACATTTTACAAAATGAAACTACCCGGGCCAATTATTTACGTCTGTTTTATGAATTGTTGCCTCAGATTGTTTCAACTTATGATGGACAGACTCCTTATGTCCCTTCTTCTCCTCATCATCCTGAGGGTTTTGAAAAGCTCTACAATGCCAACCTTTTAGGTGGTGATACTCATTTTTGGGATGTTTGGCATAAGAAGGCTCCTGTAGAGAATTATCTCAAGCATCGAACTAGATTCTGTTCCGAGGTAATTTGGACGTTGTTTACTAGAGATGTTTTTATGTTAAAGATATGCTAGTTCGGAATGCAGTCGCTTTGTTCGATAGAAACATGTCGTTTATTTGCATCAGAATCGGAGATGAATATGTCCAATTCAGTATGATGAGTGTCAATCAGCAAAAACAAACCAGGGAACGAAATCATGTTGCATTACATTTTTCAGTTGTTCCCATTTCCAAATTCATACAAAAGTTTGTCCTATCTTTCACAACTTAACCAAGCACTATGTATGAAATGTGGAGTCGAGCATTTTCGTCGACAAATGCCATTCACTATGGGTTCGCTCTATTGGCAACTAAATGATTGCTGGCCAGTAACAAGTTGGAGTTCCATCGAATTTGGTGGTCGTTGGAAAGCTCTTCATTATTTCGCTAAAAGATTTTTTTCTCCTTTACTAATAAGTGTTGTATCGTTAGGTGAAGAAACTATCAATGTTGCCAATCAACTTGTGACTCATCGGAGTCAGTTTGATATTTTTGTTACTTACGATGGACAACTCCCAGTTATTCCTGTATGTATCTGTTGGAAATTGTATCATGTACAACGAAATGTTTGTCTTATGGAAGGAACAAAAGTAAGACAGTTTGCTTTTCTATTGCGTTGATTCACCTTTTGGAAATACAAGGAATATGAAATTCAAAGAGATACTTCTGTACGGGTGCATTCTTTTGATTTTTCAAAACAAGTTGCTGAATTTTCTGTTTCCAATTTGATTCTACATGTTCGAGCAACACAACAAGAAAAGAATGGAGAAGGCCTTGTTTCTGAAAACACCGTTTGGTTCACCGCTCCTCGCTTTTATCATTTGACACTTGGTTCTAAGTGTATTCAGTATTCTCTTACCAAAGTATCTTTTAAGAGATGGAGATTGAATCTTCATTCCCATACATTCCAACCGGTAATAGCTCTTCTCTTAACCTAAAAACCTCTCAAGTGATACTGGATTAGTTTGTTTGTTTGACAGATGACAACTTGGAATGGCAAGATAATTTTTTCGATTTGTTCCCTGATCAAGAACGTCAACTATATGTCCGATGCAAAGGTAAAAGTCATCATGAATGGCAAATCTGATTGATTTCTTTTTGTATAGATAATGAGAAGTTTCCAGAAATTTCCTTGATTTCATTAGGAGATGCCATATTCCATTAAAAAGATTTATTATGTTTGTATGAAATGGTAGTTTTCTTTGATAAAGAGTATGTGTGTGAATGCTACATGTTTATACGAGTGTTCATGATTGAGACACAAACACAGTGAAGTCCATCCTAATGAGATTATTTTGACAATGAATTCGCAAATATATGTATCATAATCATTATCCCTGGAATAGCTCGTTGGCATTGAAATCAGTTTTATGACATTTAGAATGGATTCTACATGTCAGTTGGCTTTCTCATTTGACACAATTTGATGTCGAACGATATTTGTTGGTCAAGGTTCTATATCATTTTGGATAATCATAACAAAACTTATTGGGCCGATCAATTGATATATGCACTTAAGAATATTTTCTATCTTTCAATATTTGGAATAGTTGCTCATTTTGATTCTTTAACTCTTCTATGTTGGCTTCTAGGGACTGCAACTTTGATTGAATCGATTCTATAACTGCTGTACAATGATGGATATTTGTCAGATGATGAAAGTTGGTACTGGAAGAACCGACCTTTTTTGCCATTTCTGTAATCAACTCTGGTCCCATAGCATGAACACCTCGTGATCCAATCCGAAGGATAAAATGAAGAAACAAGAAACATGGATCTGCTACTTGTTGTTGTTCAACCAAAGCTCGATTGGATGTACCAAAGTTTGAACTAGTTAAAGAAGAAGAGTCTTCCTTGGAATCTTTGCCTATAGGCAGCTTTGGTGAAATGTGATTCAATTGTCTCTTTGTTTCAAAAAACGCAACTCTGACGTTCCTATTTTCACTTCTACAACTCCATGAGATATCTTTCTGACATGATTCCGTATTACCATCAGATATTTGTTCCAAATGTTGCTGGAATTCAATTCCATTATCCATCGATTCCTTTTCAATAGGTATACATTCTGGATGACATTCCAACTGATATTTCTTTTCTTCCAATTTTCGATATCTATTTTTAAACTTGGAACGTTCTTCATCTTCTAAAGCAATGACTCCTTGAGAGTCTAACTCCAGTATTTTTGTCAAGTATTCCATGGCCCTACTAATCCTTTGTATCTCTGGATAAGGCCATCTGGAAATGCCATGAGCTCTACAAGAACTCTTTATTACTGTTAAACAAGTTCCTAGTTGCTTCGAAGCTTCCCGCATCGGTTTATGAAATAGAGGTCTCAACTTACAAAGAGGAATGATAGTCCTATTCTTCTTTGGCATTACCAAACCTTGCAATGAGTAGTAAGTAGGATATAAACTACACCAAAAAACAAGTACAGAAAAAACAATTTTGGAACTCCTATGTGCACTCAAAGGGTTGTTCAAAGCAAGACTTGGTGATCGACTCCTAAAAGGATATCGCGATTTCTAGTGAGACCTGTTGCATAGTCAACTTATTCCATTGGCCAAGTTGTTCAAAGAAGAAGCCAAGCCATTTCATTCGCTTTGTCTCATAGACAAGTCGCAGAAGAGTGAAGAATGGAAGAGCAAAAGCCCTTTGTGGGATTTCATCGTTGATGAGGATCAGATTTGGCATTTTGGGAACGGCTCATATTGCCAATAGAGTAGCAGATGCTATAGAAAGTTCTGGACATCAAGTTTATGCCATCGCAAGTAGAGACTTGGAAAGGTGTGTTATGAGTTGTTATTCTTATCCTGTTCAACTGAACGAGTCGAGTAGAGCAAAGCAGTGGGTTTCTGGACGAACCTCGAACAAGGATGATATCATTTGTTATGGTTCATATGACCAACTCATCGAAGATGACCAAGTACAAGCTGTGTACATTCCTTTACCTAGCAGCTTAGCAGATTGTTGGGCACAACGTAAGACAAAGCACTATTTGATAAGGCTGAATACGAACTATTTCTAGGTGCTGCGAATAGTGGAAAACACATATTGGTTGATAAACCGTTCTCTTCAGCTGAAAATGTTCTGCAAATCACGCAACTCTGTCGCCGGAACAATTTAGCCTTTTTGGATGGAACTCAGTTTGTTCACGGTCCACGCTTAAAGGAAATGCAGAATATGATACAAAGTGGTGCGATTGGAAGGTTACGCAAAGTTAATGCGGCTTTTACAGCTTGGATTGTGGATTCCACCAATATAAGATATGATCCTTCTTTAGAACCTGCTGGTTGTGTGGGAGATGTTGGTAAGCTTCACCCTTTTTATTGAATGATGTAAGGAAAGTTGATCTTCTCTGTTCAGGTTGGTATGTGGTCCGATTCATTCTTTCTTTTGTTGGATATGATCGTAAAGTTATTTCGGTATATGCCGTTGGCAACGAAACGGATCATGGAGCGATGGACGATTGTTGTGGAGTTGTACAATTTGAAGACAACATCACTGCTCACTTTGATTGTGGATTTACAAGTGGTTATAGACAGTGGGGTGAATGTTTGGGCACTTTGGGAATGTTCAGAGTGGATCGTTTTCAAGGAGCTCCTATACCTAATTCAAGCGAACAGAAAGATCCCAATTTACACTTTCAGTTTCGTCAAGTAGGAGAAGAAAGAAATGGTCGCATTGAACGAGTAGAAAAGGAAACCAAAGATATTTGGGTCCCAAGTGTTGGAAAACCACAAAGCGTATTACTGATTGAGCAATTTGTCACTTTGATAGAAAAACAAGACAAGGAAGAACGAGAGAAATGGGCAAAGGAAGCCTGGAAAACACAATTGCTAGTTGATGCTATTTATCAATCAGCCAAAACCAAACAAACCATTTTGCTGTTATGAAACAAAAAGAGAAATATTTGACTTTCTCAATTATTTTTATTGGTTAGTGTGAAATGCATTTACCAACTATTGAAATGCAAAACTAGATGTAGAGAATCCCTGTCCTTGTAATAGACATAAAGGTGAAAGTTGAAGTTTCTGAAAAGGTACACTATCCGGGTCAAAGTAATAACCTTGTGTTTTTCCTGTGATTCGATTCATACAAATATAATAAAATCCAGCAATCGTCAATCCACAGTTGTGAGGGACGTTTACGAAATATCGTTCCTTCCAACGCATAAATACATATTCCAACTGATGCAATGCTACTTCTCTCGCTCTGTTTCTTTCAAACATTCTTTCAAATGGTCTAAAAGCTGAGAACTTTGACCAGTGTCTCAAGTCATCTTCCTCTGTTGCGTCCCAACAGCCTGTGCGAAAGCCATAATGAATGTTGTCTACAACTTGACCTTCCCAAAAGGTTATCACTGGATAATCAAACCTTGGAACATCTATGGCTTCCATACTGCCACAAATGTAGCCTTTCTCTGGTTCATAGTTCTGAATCTCCTAACCTCGCACTATTTTGAAATGAAACCTCACAAGTGACGATGGGAAGCTTACCACATTCACTGTCCAATAGTCCAAGTCCTTCACCAACTTCCAAGAGTTCTGTACACCTTGAAATCTTTGTCCTGCTTCTAATAACGAACAAAAGATGGGTTTAGGTGAATAAACACTTCGCAAACTATTGGCAGGCATAATATCAACAACAAAAGAGAAGACAAATGAAATGGGAAATAAAAAGTAAACATTGCTTAAAAATGATTTCATAACGATAGTTCAATGCCAAATAACATTCAAAGTTTATCGAGAGCTTGTCAACATAAAATATCTTTGGCTCAAGCAGTGTTGGATACTACAGCAGCTTTGAAGGAATTGATCGAAAATGCACTAGACGCAGGCGCAACTCAAATAGACGTTTGTATAAAAGGTCCAAGTGCTTTGGATCTCTTACAAGTGATGGATAATGGAAGTGGAATAGAGGCGAGGGATTTTCCATTTGTGTGTAAGCCCTCGTATACTTCAAAGTTAAGTTCATTCGAGGAACTTGGAGATGTGAGAACTTTAGGATTTCGAGGAGAAGCTTTGGCTTCTTTGTGTCTACTTGGCCACTTAAAGCTGATTACCAAAACAGCTGAAGCTAGAACTGGTAGTTGTATAAGCTTTGATCATATGGGTAATGTGATAGAGATAGAAACGGCGGCTAGAGAACGTGGAACGACAGTAATGGTAACCGATTTATTTGAATCCTTTCCTGTTCGCAGAGAAAGTCAAAAAAAAGCAACAAAACGAGAAATAACAAGAATTGTTGATTTGATACAACGATTTGCACTTATTTCTAACGGCGTTCGATTTGCTTTGTCAATAGATGGCAAACGAATTCTTAAGACTCAAGGTCATGGAAGCCTACTAGACAGTATTGCTCAGTTGTTTTCTACTATGACAGTTGCTTCATTGATTCCTGTGGATACCTATCAAATGCAAGATTTCGACAAAGCTCGTATCACTGGATTTGTATCTAAACCTGAAAAGACTTGTGCTCGTTCAGCAGCTGACCGTCAATACATATTCTTCCGCAATCGACCTATCGAATTGCGTAAACTTTGTAGTTTGGCAACCAGAATATATCAAAAGCAAGTTGGTCAGCACAGTTTTCCACTTTTATTCCTTCATATAGAATTGGAGGATGGAACCTTCGATATCAACATTGCTACTGATAAACGTCAATTGTTTATACATGATGCCGACAGGTTACTTGAAGCATGTACTGCTTATTTTTGTGAACTTTGGAAAGTGAAAGAATACATTTCTATTCCAGAATGCTCCAATCAAAGAGGGATCCAGAATGAGTTAAAGGGAAACTTAGATCATAAACAGACAATTGTATCGGATAATCTTATACAACATTTGGAAATTGACCGATTTCATAGAATGTCTCAGGACTCTACTACGAGTTGCACTGAAAATTTTGTTAGAAATGAACAACAAACAAAGCCCATTGAGGATAATAATAGAGATGATCAAAATAACCAAACCTCAAAATCAGTCATTACTACAAACGAAACAAGCATCTTGGACATGTATTCATGGAAACCTTTGGCGGTCAAACGTCAGAGTGGAAAAAGTTTATTACAATATGCAAAAAGAAAGCGCAGGGAATCAGTCGATGCTTGTAATGCAGACACAGTCGGTAACATTCCAAAGAATCAGTTGCCATCAGAAGAAGTGCCATTGAGTAAGACCCAAATCGACGAAATAAATAGCGATACTGAAGTTCAACCAATACAAATGTCTTCTAGTGTAGAAACCAGAAACCGCGTATCTTTTCTTCATACTCTTTTTGCTTTGAAAGATGAAAATCATGGTCAAGAACCAAACGATCACGATGCAGAAATGGAATTGCGTCAAGTTTTGCACAAGGATGATTTTCTTTCTATGCAAATCATTGGCCAATTCAATCAAGGCTTCATCATTGCCAAGTGGTGTGGACATTTGTTCATCGTGGATCAACATGCTGCAGATGAACGATACAATTTCGAATATTTACATAAGGACCAAGGCGAGTTACCTTGTCAACCACTGATTCAACCACTTACAATGCATTTGTCTGCTGAAGAAGAATGGCTACTGATCAATCACCTGGATTGGATAGAGCCATGGGGTTTCCGCTTTTCAGTGGATATGGACAAGATGCCTGGCAATAGAATATCGTTGTTGCAAGTGCCATTTCATGAGAAGACGACTTTTGGAACAGACGATGTACTTGAAATGATTCATCAGTTACGAAATCGAGAAGCAATTAGCAAACAGCGTAGGTATCCTTTTATCGGAATGTTTTTAAGCTAATCTCACAAAAATTATTTTAAGACATTCGATTTCCTAGATTGGAAGCTGCCTTTGCTTCTCAAGCTTGTCGCATGTCAATTATGATAGGAACTCCATTAGATAGGTTGCAAATGTCAAGAATTGTAAGCAAATTGGCATCTTTGAAGGATCCTTGGCGTTGTCCTCATGGAAGACCTACTATACGTCACTTGTTTACCATTGCAAACAATCGATGATATCTTGATATGCATCATTCCACTGTTGACAACTATGTCGTTGAAAGAATATTGGACAATGAAAATTTTGGCAATGCCATTCTTGAATAGTGTTGCGGCGAGTGCAGCAGTCACACACACTTTGCATTCGCTTCAACTTGCGTTGCTGTCGATTCCAACGTTGAAATAAGATGAAACTAGACCAGGAAGGATGATTTTTACATGAAGGACACAAAGGCCATTCTTTTGGGTCGTATAAATTTTGTCCACATAAACTGCAAACGTAATAATGATAATAATGATACAGTCCTCCAACGGGATACCGAGTCTGTAACAAATTCCTACAAGAGTTGGAATGATTTAGATTATTCTTTCTGGGTACCATTAACCATGACAATAATGTTGATGGTCTCCTCATTTGTTGGTACCATTGGTTGATGTCTACTCCAAGGCAGTCGAAAAAACGTTGCAAAGCAGGTATCATTTGTTTGATGATGTAGTAGGTTACATGTAATACAGCATGTCCGTTCTCTTGTAAAGACAAAAATTCCTCAGGAGAACATACACAATCTTGCAAGGTTCTGGGTTTCTCCATCCAATAGGCAATAAGGAAAGGTATTCTTTCTCCATATAATGGAATGGCACGAGAGTCATGGAAAACTCTCCTAGAAGCCACTACAGCAGCTGGCGGAAGCATAGCTTGAGAGCTTGCTTCCATTTGTGCTCGATAACTACCCCAACGAACTTCCATATAAAAGATAAAATCCATCCAATGAAAATTGCCTCGATGCATACGACTCCACTTCTTTAATAAATATTCTTTCACTTTAGATATTTTTCTAGTCTCAAACAATAATCGCAGACTTCTTTCTATCAGCTTTTGTACCGCGGCACAGGAGTCTCTGCGGATGGTTTCAATACCTTTCGCATCCAATACAGGCCTCTGTTGTTCCAACGACTCGAAAGCATAGCCCACATAACGTTTCTTTACCAACAAAATACATGGCATATATACTTTTTCCAACACCAATCGCATAGGATAAGGAAATTGACCAGAAATATGCTCGCTGATTTCCTTGCCTAGCTTCCAACCTTGTCGCCAATCCATTTCAGGAATAAAAACAAAGAGAGAATCCGTATCACCTCGAATTTGTTATAAGTATTCGTCCAAGTCAATTGTGCAAACTTACCATATACCGTATGTGCTCGAACTTGTTGCCAACCTCTTTCTATCTCTTCCATACTACGTTTCATTGCTTGTCTACCATGTTGTACGATAGCATCTGCCAAACCTGAACATGGCATACGTCCAGAAAAAGCTGCACTAGTATAGCCATAAGTCACATTAGCAATTAATTTAAGGGCAAACTGTTGGGCATTCAAGATTTTCCACAGTCGATCTTTGTATTCACCTTGATAGTGTTCAGCAATCCATTTCATAGATGATTTGATCATTAGGCGAGTAGATAAGATTTCCTGTAATAATCGAGGTAGCATTCCTTTACGTATCTTGGAGGTTACAAAGCATTCCCCATTAGGAGCAACATAATAATCATTGCAATATCGTTCATATAATGCCCCAGAAGAAAGCTCACTGTCATTCGTGACAGATAATAGACTTGGAGGCTCAAAAGATTCCAGTACACCCATTCGACAAGAACCAAAGTGACTAATCTGGGAAAAACCACGGACATTACCAAACATGGTAGAAAAACACATGTTATGTGCAATGATGATGGAAGGATACAGACTCTGAAAATCCATAACAATTACTGGGTCTTGATAAAAATTAGTAACAGGTTCCATTACCAAAGGCAAGCATTCCATAGCTGGTTGACTTAAAAGCTGTTCTCTGGAAGCGCTCAAAAGTAAATAACCATTGGCATGTGCCAATCTTGCTAGCATACTTTCTACACGAAATTGAGAACCACGTGTTATCACACTGCGAAAATCAATACCAAAGATACGAGCCAACTCTGAGGTCTGAGAAACCCAATCTAACTCTTCCAAGAAATGAAAGTTATCCGCAGCCTTTTGTAAGCAATATTCATACGCAATATGTATATGCTGTGTCTTCTGAAGAAATGATCCGAGGACCCAGGGTTCATAAGCAGGAATGCGTTTTTTCAATAGAGCCGCTGACGCACCTTCGTAATCATAGTAAGGCAGTTTCACTTGGACTCGTAAAATGTTCCAAATACCAAACACATATCTTCCAGTTATCTTTATATGACAGCCTAACCTCTTCATGTAAGTATCGGCACGACTTGCGTCTGGAATTGGACAGTTGTCTTGGTTGACGCTTTCTTCTTCTTCATCTTCAACCGCTTCGTCATTGTTCCAGGTATTTATATTTGGCTTCGTCTCCTTCCAACGAGATATCCATCTTGTAAAGGCCCAACCTAAATGATGTCCACGTTCAATCAGATAGCCTAATGATGAACGATGAATATCATATCCAAATATCATATCAATATCATAATATCGTATCCAATGTGCAACTTTGTAAAACAATTCTTCTTCATTAGAGACCATTTGAATAGAAATGTCATCAGATATTAGATACGGATACTGAGTCGAAACCGGATCTTCCGCCAAAAGAATCACATGAAAAATATCTTGATAAGTTGGCCCTAGATGAAGTTTTGCTCTTTCATCATGAATAACCATACAAACAATATGAACTGCATCTATGGCTGGATCAGGCAGCTTTCCCTCTCTTGCTTCCGTAATAACTTCTAAAGACATTAATGTTAAACCTTGACTCTGATGTGGTAGGAGTTCGTCATCTTGTTGATAACTATGACCGACTGAAGATTCTCTTCTGGAAGACATATTATATTCGGTTTCCACAGCGAATCCTGGAGAGAAGAAAAAAGAATCATTGAGGCCAAGGCTTCTTCTATGAAGAGTCTTTGATTGATCATATTTTTGTGACTGTGCAGGTGTTGTGATGCCGTCCATTTCATCATATCTCGGAGAAGAAGGTCGAACTGCATGTGATTCGGGTGGGTTATCCACATCTTCATCTTCACTGGACGAAAAATCATCCTTTCTTGCAATATTGGTGATACTCTTAGCATTTTCTTCGCTACCTTTGAAAGAGTTTGCAGCAAATCTTGTGTTTAATCTCCCGTAACTATCCATAACAACTTGAGGAACATAATTATACAATGGTCTGTTCATCGAAGCTGCATTCAAATCTTCCACTGTAGGAGGAGAATCGCATGGAGTGATCCAAACGATACCATTACTATTTCGTCGTTGACTGGGAAGACTTTGATTTCCTCCGTTTGCATCAGAATGTACTTCCATTGATGTTGTTATAGAAGCGGATGATGTATCATTAGTCTCTAATTGTTCGTTAACAACTGAATTCAAATAATTGGTTCGTTGGGACGATGTATTCAGGTCATTCTCACATTCAGGATGGATAATATCATCATCATTTTTCACAACATTGAAAGAGCCTTCATTATTCTGATTGGACAAAACACAAGGTCCTTCTGTGTGCGTCATTTCCTTTACAAACCTTTCCATAGTTGGAGTACAATTGAAATCTTGCGACATTTCTTGCTTAATATCTTGTTCCAACAATTGTGAACTCTGCAAAATGTCGTTCCATAAACACTCAGTGCTGCGGTCGTCTTTGAAAAATCCAACATAAGGATCGGCAATTCTATCTTCTACATCATGTCCTTGCTTCGTTCTCTCCTCGACTACGTCAGAATGGTCAACAACAACCTTGGACTCCGCTAAATTAGTATCTCCAATGTCCAAACCTAAATTTGTATTCACAACATTGTCATGCATTGTTATTCTATTACAATGTTTCCTTTGTTCCTGTTCCAGTCGGCGTAAAAATACTTCCCTTAAATGAGCTTCCGAATAACTCAAATTCACCTTACATTTGTCCTTCAAGTCTCCTCCATTAGAATAACTTTCCATTCCTAGTAGACTTCTTCTTCTTCCATCTTCTTCCCAGAGACCACGAAGACTAGGAACCAACCTATCTTCTTCACTGGCAGCTTCCAAAGATGGAATCTCCTTGCAGTCTTCCGGATTAAGAATGTCTGTTGCGTTCACATCCAACTCTAGATCACAGTATGACTTTCTTTCAAGTGGAGATAAACAATGCGAATGGGACAATTCTTCACAATATTCTGATAAAAATAGTCTTTGGCTAAGAGGAATATTCAGCAGATCTCTCTGACTATTCAAATAATCTGTGAGTGACGTATTTGCTTCCATATTGCTCATATAAGACAGGCGTCTAAATGGAATCTCATTCATTCTCCAAGGAAACGTATCACTGCGCGGGAGAGGAAGTCTGAATCGTGGATTAGACAGTCGAATAAAATTCATCCCATAAAGATTATAATCTATCATAAACTGTGACAAATAAGATATATGCGACTCATGTGGTTGTAATATCAAATCTCTAGCGGGAAACCTAAAACACAAGTCTGCCAACTTGCGAATATTTCCAGGTACAAAAGTATATATCTTAACGAAAAAGCAAGAATGAGCATGAAAACCATAGAACGGTATTCTTTCTACAATTTCGGTAGCAGCAATGATTTTCTGTGCATTAGTAGAACTGATACTGGAGGAAAGCGAGTGTTCTAAAAATTCTACCAGCTGAGTTGTGAAAGCTTGTGCCTCTCCAAGATTTCTGAAATGTTTAGGGGGCAACTGTACATAGAAATAAGGCAAGACATTGTGAATGTGAAGACAGCATTTTTGTCCACTCAACGTACTTCCAAAAATGCGGATGACGGGTTGGCGGGCTATGCGTTTGCCTTGTGAAGGAGTTGCTCCCTGGTCATCATAATAATAGTCGATATATACAAGTCTTATTCTCAACCACTCCTCCAGTTTTCTTTAGTAGGAACAGCAGAAACACTAAAAATAACTTACTTCTAATTTTCCTCTAGACATATAAAAAGCGACTGACTACATGTTACGAAAGTTTTTTTAAAGAACTTTGTACTTTTCTAATTGGCATCGACAAAGTAAAAAATTCATTTGCGCCAAAAAATGAACAAAGGATTATCATTTGGCGTTATTTCACTGTCAAAAAGTTTTCTCAAACATCACTGTTTAAAATATTCAACTCCTGCCACCTACAAATGTATAAACAAAGTGAAAAAGCAATCTACTTGTCAACAATCGAGTATCTCTTTACCTTCTCCAGACGTGGTACGTTGTAACCATTTGAAGAGCACTAGTTCCTTGATTGGATATGTGGTTATTTTTTGTTCTACGTTTTATAAAGTTCCTCAGATTGCTAGAATTATCACAAAGAAAAGTTCTAAAGGTATCAGTTTAAGTATGTACGTATTGGAGAGTATCGGTATTTATTTCTCTCTTTGTTACTGTATTCAAGCAAAGTTTCCTTGGGAGACTTTTGCAGAGAGTATTTGTATATTTGTTCAAAATATAATTATAACATTATTCTTATACAAATATACGGAAAGAAAGGATGGGCGTAACCGTAACTTGGTTTATGCTTTAATCCCGTTGATGGGAGCTTCGTTACTTTGCATAAGGTTACCTATACATTGGTTGCAATTGTTACAGGTGTGCTCCAGTCCGTTGATGAACATAAGTAAGATACCTCAGATACTTCGGAATGAACGTAATCAATCTACTGGAGAACTTTCTCCTATTACTTTGAGTTTCCAATTGGCTGGGAATGTAGCTCGTGTATTTACCACCATAGTTCAGTTAAGAAATCGATGGTTTCTGACTTCCATTTCCATTTCACTTATTTTGAATGCAATACTTGGCTTGCAGTATATACGATATCGTTTTAGTATAACCAAGTCAACGTACTTTCCGGATGACCACTTTGGAAATAGCTGAGTTAAACAAGTTTGAAGAAATTGAAGAGCAGATGACTAGTCGTTTTGACAAGTCTTCCATCTTCTATAGTTGTTCAACTCATCATTTCATTCATTTACCTAGTTGGCAAAGATTATAATTGACATGTCTACAATATATGAGTCCAAGTATTTGCCACAAGTCAAAACCTGTCTTATCGGAAATAAGCATATAAAATATCATCCATCATTTCTCCTCGACCAACTCTACAGATATCGGAAACAAAACATCGAAACATTCCTTTAGAAACGGCTTCAGGTGTCTGTGAGTACAAATTCACATATTCTAATAACATCGACTCGAAAGCTTTTCTCATTTCAACAGTGAATTTGGTAGGTTGACTGGACTCTACTGCTTGTTGTATCCAAATGGGTAATGAGGACTGTAGATGGAACAATGCTACCCATTGACAAAAAGATAAAAGTAAGTTGCATAGATAACGTATCAAACGAGAAGGTATTCCTCCACCAACAGCATAAACGATTCCTTGTAATAACACTGGTACGAAACTAGTAAATTTCTCAGCCAATGAGAATTGAGAAAATTCTCTTTGAATCCAAGATTCGAATAACTGAGACCAAAAACGGAGACTAGACATACAGGCATTCGCATCTGATAAATAAAATCCCAATAGTAAAATAGGAAATATTTGTTCTGACCAAGATAACAAAATTGTTGGATAATATAAGACTAGATTTTCAGATAATCTACAACATTCAGCTATCAAATCTTGCCGTTCACAAGCACTTGATAAAGAATATGTTGATATACATTGATTACAAGTATTCCAAATTCCTGATACTACTTGTAATATGCATTCTTGAGAGCCCGTTGCATGAGGATCCAACAAAGGAATCAGCTGAATACAGCCATGAATCCAACAAGCTTCACCATCACTTTTCGCAAATATACTTTGAAGAATATTTAAAATTTGAATAACTGCATTTTGGTCTGCAAAATAGGTCGATGGAATATACGAATCAACTTTGTTACATTCCAGACCTTGAACAAATATTCTGCACAATTCCGGAGCAATCAGTTCATGAGAAGCAAAGTGATGACCTAAGAGCACAAAACTCTCCAACCTTTCAAATATGACTCGATAACTAATACGAGTCTCGTCAAGTCCATGAAAGACTGCCGAAATCACACTTAATACCTCCACAACCTTCCTTGGATCCTCTGAAAAACTAGATTGAGAATATAAAGACTGCATGGCTGTTTCTAAATAATCCAAATAGGGTTGCAAGATAACACATACAGAACGGAATCGTTCTTCTTCACTCTCCATACTGGCTATCATTCTAGCCAAGGATTCCATGGTCGGTTTGTAAACTGAAAGATTGCTATGAAGGAAATCTACTGCTTTAAACAGAGCTTCGGCGTAAGGCAATAACTTTTTGGGAGAGGAAAAGGACCATGTTCTTAATAAAATAGAGGCTTCTCTTGGAACTACTTTCAAACATAAGGGCAAAATATTCATAATAGGTTGGAATAAGATACGTTCCAGTGAATCTTCCAGTAAAACTGTAGAAAACGCAGTAAACAACCTCAAAGTGGCGATTTTCAAGTAGTTGGGAGAATTTTCATATAACAATTGCAAACCAAATTGAAATACAGTAGTCGTCGACTGAACTAGAATAGCTTGATGTACCTTAGGATGCATATCTGATTGAGAACTCGTCTTTTTCTCTGTATTTTCCATACAAGCTGAAGCAGCACAAGTTAATACAAAGAATGCCGATTCGAGACTTAAAGAGGATTGCGAAGGTGTCCAATAATCGTCAAAAAAATGGATGATACGACTAACGTCTCCTACTGCCTTGGCAAGTTCCATGATAGCTTCAAATGCAGCATCTCTCAGCTGTTGAAATTCTTCGATAGAAGAGTCCCCATCTGGATTGTCAACTGAAGCATTATTTATAGCTAACAGAAGGGTTTCATCGGAAGCAGTACAAATATAAATAAAATGCTAAAGACGTTAATGGTCATTGCCAAGCATACAGCTTAAACAGCTTCAATTACTTACTTGAAAACACTCTTGAAAGAAAACATAAAGTTGCTCAATATTACAATGTGACCCTATTTGACCATTCAGTTTAAGATGATAAAAACTGTTGGCAAAATATGAAACTCCTTCCAATGCAGCCAGAGTTGCATTATGCACTCCACTTTGCAGTCCAAACATCAATAAATCACATAGTTCTAATATTGCTGCAACTTTGTTTGTTTCCTCAGATTCTGAGGCAAAATATTGAAAGCTATCTTGTCTGACAAGCAAATCTATGTTGGCTTCTACAATGGAAACTGCGACTTCCAAAGCTGCATGTACCATAGAAACGTACTCGGAGTTTGTATGTCGCTTTCGTGCAGCTGTTTTTTTTTGGTAAAAGACTCATTCAATCATTTGAACTCTAAGAAAGCATTCATTGTTTTACTTACCCTTTAATATTGAGAGCAGAGATGAACATGTTTGTAATATCGAACTTGTTGGTATACCGCCCCTATCAGTAAAGAAGTTTCAAGTTATTCTCAATAATCGAAACATCAAAACTTTACAAGTACCGGCCAACATCATCAGCAAGTGCATCAGCAACTTCACATATCAACTCAGAATCTTCAAAAATGCTGCATAGAATATCTGCCGTACTGCCTCTCGTTCTATATACATTCCAACTCTTTAAACAACGAATACAATCTTTTTTTAATGAATAACTACTCATAGGAAACCTCAACTCGCTATTAGAATGATTATCCTCCAGACTTTCACGATAAAGTTCCGAAGATACTTCGCTGACAACTTTAGAAGCCTTGCTCCTTAACCAAGCTCTTCGTTCTGCGTCTTCTCCACTTCCATAAGAAGGGATATTTTCCACTTCTTCAAGGAATATTAAGTACAAAAGAGGTGTTATGTGTTGTTCTTTACCCAACTCTACAAAGGTATTCCACCAGTATTCCAACTTGTCTTCCACATCAACATCGTTACCCAAAGAGAAGAGAAGAATGGAACAACTCGCAGCTTTGCAACATTTTTCAATGGAAGAATGGTTCAATTTCTTGCAACAACTTTCTTTCAACAACTGCTTTGTCAACTCTATTGTTTGTTGTCTTTGCTGCTTATCGAAGGAATCATAACTGGTTCTTATACAGTCCTCCAACATAGTCCCTGCAAACTGAAACATAAAGGATAGCAATTGATTGTCAAAAGACCGTATGGAAGTGAGCCAAGCCTCGTTACTCAGAAACTGACAGAACAAGAGAAGGTGAGTGGGTTGTTGTCGAACACTTCTCAAAAACTCGTCTGCTTCTCTGTAGTCTGAAGGTGATGCTGTTGGTTCACATAAAATAGAAAGTGCCTTTACAATATTGTTTAAAATATTGTCTTCTTCCATGTTGGATCGAAACGCTTTCTACTATGTACAATTGAAACTCGATTTGTCAACAAAATCGAAAATGCATGAATAGAGAGCTATTACAATTTCTTTCATTTGATAAAAACAAATTTAGCTATTCAAATTATGGACTGCTTCTCATTCGTGAAGCTTCTCCATCCACCACAATAGCATCCAACGATTCCTTGAGAGCAGGTTGTGCTTTCTGTTGTCTTTCCAAATATCTTTCATATAAGCGCAAACGGATTCTTTCAAATGACTGCATAACCACTTCCTTCGATATTGTTTCAGGATCCTGAATGGATTGAATATTATGCTCTCTATTTGGCTGGGGAGTATTCACAGTATGACCTACTGCCATAAATAACGGTAGTGTCTGAGGGGAAGAGTTATTGTTTCCAGAGATTACTCTTACGGAATGGAGCTGCTGTGTGGAACTTGAGCTATTACGTCCATGATCGGACAAGCGAACTGTCTCATTACAAAGAGGACAACGGGTTCCATAACTTAGCCAATGAGTGATACAATGTACATGAAAGGCGTGTCCGCAAGGAAGCAATCTCAAATGACTATCCTTTTCCACCACTTCTAAACAAACTGCACAAACACCATCAGGTAATATATGCTGTCCTAAAAAGTAGAATTTTAAACGCTTTGCTCTCACTTGTGTTGTTTCGGTGTCACTATTTCTGTCAGAGTCTGCGAACCAACTGGTAGCCTTGTAACTATCGTCGTGATCATTTCCCTTATCTTCCAGAGACAATTCTTCCTTAGTTGCAATTGGAGAAGGAGGTTCTAACAAAGTTTTTTCTTCTACTTGTGTTGGAGTGAGAACTTCTTCATCTTCTTCCCAGAATAAAAGAGGTGTTTCTAGAGGACCTTTGTATATTATTTCGGGACAGTAAATTTCCACTTCATAAGCAGATAATCCCTTTTCTTTTCTTCGAGCTGCTCTACTCAGTGTTCTTCTTCTACGTGTTCTCGTGGTTGCTGAAGGGTCTAAGAAGCCTCTCAACCCTCTTCTTCTTCGGATGTGGTTATTGATAGAACAGCCTACTCCCGTAAGTATCATAGCCGCAATGGAAACACAAAAGCACGCGAGTATAATCTCTGCAGGAGACGCATTTGCAGACATAGAAATACAAAAAGTTTATTCCCTAATACAATGAACCACACCAATCCTCCCCAACAAAAAGAGAATATAAAACAATTATTTACAACTTCATTTTACCAATGCATTCTAAAAGATCCTTCTCTAGGCAACTTTGTCTGTCTCCTTATAAACTCCAAAGGAATCCTATCAGGGTCTTCTATAATAGCCATTTCAACTACTTCACCACCAATAACCTTGCAGATGATGAAAGATTGTTAAAAGAGTTTTCAAAGTTCCCACTACCTGTTGTCCAGGAAAGACTCTAATATATAATATTCCACCATTTCGACGTCGTATATCTAATAGATAAGACTCAAGATCTACACAGGCCTTTTCTTATCATGTTGGAAACAGAACAAGAATTGTGCCATAATACTCACTTTAGTAACGTCGAAAACTAAAGTACAAGGATTCAATGCTGTCAATTCATTCCTCTTCTTCGAGGATAAACCGATATCTTCAATCAACTCTAAACGAATACCCATTCCTTGTAAGAAACATGCCCGATAATGTTCCTATGATTAAAAATATCAGATAATGATCTGCGTTTTGTGAAAAAATACAATGACAACCTTGGTAATAAATTTTTCGATAAGAATAAAGCCAAGAATACCATAAAATGCTAAAGATTCTTCTATATCAGTCACATAAATACTATTAAAAATATTAAAATGCATCATTCTTGAATAAAAGACTCTTGCCTTATATGATGAAGACCCACACAATTGGAAGAATAGTTACATATCGGAGGCATGTATATCATCTTGTATCTCATGAAACCTCTCCAACGTCTAATGCTCTGCTCAAAAAAAAAGAGAAAAGCAAACACTTTCAACATACATACTCAGGATAGGATTGACATTCAAAACCTAAAATGGAATAAAATCCCATCTCATGAGGAAACGCTTTGACGTAGATAGCGCCTTGGTTTGATAAATTACTACTAAGAATTGACTGTATTAAGGTTCTTCCTATTCCTTGACCTAATCCATACTATATATTTACATAGAATTATCAACAAAATACTAAAAACGCACCTCGAAACTCTGGCAAAACAGCCACTCTATCAATTTCAACGTTGCTGCCTCGGAAAATATATCGTCCAGCAGCAACTACTTGTTTATTTTTTCGACCTATTAAACAAATTGTACAGCTTGCAAAATCTAATTCATCCGGGATGGTCAAAGATAAAGATTCCAGCTCAGGCTCTGAGTCAATTACAGTTTTCCATATCTTCAAGGCTGCCTCCCACTCTAAATGGTCTTTTATTCTAGCAACTTCAACGGGTGAATAATTTTTAAGAGTCTGATAGTGTTGGCTATTCTCGTCGATAAGAAAAAAATAGGGCTTTCTTTCAATAACTTCACCACAACACTTTACAGAAACGAAGGGTGACAAAACAGTGTTGTTTTTGAATAATTTCGCTTTTTTACAAGTATGAGTTTTAGCTTTCGAGAAAACTGGAAAATAAGACGACAAGTAAACACTAGTCAACACAAAGCAACATGATAAGACTTTATCCATGTTATCTCAATCCAAAAAATGATTTGTAACTATTCTGTCATAAATAGAAGTTGACAATAACAAGATTTTGAATCAATATCAAATATTAGAGTTGAAATATCCAAATTCATGGAACTTTACTATTCTTCCAGAAACATACAAGTTATATCATTTCCGAAATAGAAGAACGAAAACAACATTCTAAAATGTCCGTATCAAATGCTACTCAATGTGAATTGGATGAGTGAAAATTATTGAGTCCATTTGTTTATTCCTTTGTACAAAGTCAAAAATTCTTTTCTTCACAAAGTTGTGCAATTTTTCTAGCAAGATGATGCATCGGTAATCCCATTACATTGAAATAACAACCGTGAATACTCTAATTACCAACCTTAAATCTATCTAACTTTGACAAGGCTCTACACTTTACCTTTACAAAAGAACCACCTATACCTTGTATACCATAGGCACCAGACTTATCCATAGGCTCGCCTGTCTTAACATATGCAAGGATTTCTAAAGAACTAATTCTTGCCATTTCTACCCTATTCAATAACTTGTAGTCGTTTATATGTAAACCAAACATTCATCATACTCAGTGGTTTCACTAAAAGTAATCAAACTCCAGTTGCTTTTACAACTTTTCCAATATAAACAAACGCCGCTATGAACCAGATGTTTTCTACCACTCAGAAGTTGTAGCATTTCAACTGCAGAGGCTTCTGACTCTGGTTTTTCAAGTACTTGGCCGTCTATTTCAACCTACCAATATCATCGATAATGCCAGTATTCACGACAACATAAAGGACTCACCACAGTATCTGCACCAATAACGAGATCAATATCTGAATCCTGCTTTCTTTCTGTACACAAACGTTCCAAAATATCCAAGGCCTTGTTCTTTGCGTTTTCTACCGAATATACAGTTGGACTAGAATACCTTAGGGGATCAAAGTTCTCCGGAAAAGAAGATGGAAACACTTCAAAAGGCAACTTAAGCAGCCTTAGTATTTCCTGTCTTCTGGGTGAACGACTAGCCAATATGATACGTTTGTTTTCTAGTCTTGGAAGATACTGTATAAGCATCTCTTGACAGCTAATTTGGGAACAATTGTTCACTTATCCATAAGAATATCAGGAATTATAAAATTTTGCTTGAAAGTGTTGATATCTCATAAAGAAGCCCGTTTGCTAAACTATCTACAAGTGGATGCCCTCCTAAGAGTACTTTTAGAGCTTGCTCAGTTCAATTACAATATTTTATCTATGCTGTCATGAAGAAAGAATTCCTATATTTTTGAAAGGAGTCTTGTAAGCTTTTAAAAATTACAACTGAAAGAAACCGGAAGAATCAAGCATTTGAAGGAAGAACTTTTAAAAATCCTAAAACTTTGTGGTCGAGTAAACGTTCTCCCGTGTCCACATTCACAGTAAGATGTCCTCAAAGATAATGACATGCGGTCATTGTTATACATTTGTTCCAAAATAGTTTATCTTGGTATGATGTTAAGTATCTCAGGAACTTGGAATGATGTTCGTTCTCGACTAAATTATTTATCCAAGTTGACAGCCTAGATCAAATTACTGGTACATTGACCATAATGAGAAGATAACTGTCATGAGAACAAGATAATTACAGTGATTTTGACAAATTAGAGCAAACTCTAATTTTAGTTTTTCTTAGACACGTTCTCAAAGTACAGATTTTCCTCCATTCCTTTTATTTTTATGTACAGAAGAGTCTAAGAAAGCTCTAGAGTAAAACTTGGAGGACATGACCGACCAAGAGAAGTCTACATTACCCTCTCAGGGATATTCCATCTTTCGACATTCTCTGGAAACAAATCCAAATAACTTTGTCCAAGTAAACAGAAAGCTTGTGAAATTTTTTGGTTCTACAGCATTACTCCGTGAACGTGCCAGAAGATCCTGGCTTACAGAAATTGGGCTTGTACCAATAAAGACATTCCTCTGAAGGTGTTGAAAGGAACTTTATATATCAACTTCTATCTTGAAGTACCTGATACAGTTGCACAATTTGTTGTAGCCACTGAGGCAAATTTTTAATCCACCAAAGCATCTTAGGAATATTGTATTTGTGTCACTATCATTTGTATAGAGTTTTCTTCTCTGAGACAGACAGAGTTTCACAAAAAACAAGTTTTCCATCGATAGGAATAAAGGACTTTAGAACTGGTCATTCTTCGAAAATGTTTTATTTGTTTCTTTATTAAAATTATTTGAATTTTGAAGAAAATATACTTCTACAAAGGCTTGATAGTTGTTACAAGCTTTATAGCCAAACAAACTTGGCCGCCGAGATCATTTCTCTCAAGTGGATCCGTCCCCCCATGCGGGAGGAGAAATTCACTCGGCAAATCAAATTAAAGATTAAAACAGATAAAATCATCTTGGGCCAATTGTCCTTGAGACATACGCCGGGAAATCCCTCCACTCTATCCAAAATTGTCCTATAAAATAACAGCGAAAATAATTATGATTGAAACCACAAATTGCATTTGACGCGAGATTAACGGACTTGTTGTTATGAAGGTTTCTAGTGAGATTCAACCGAGTTCCAGCAAAGTTCAAAATGAGAGTACTGCACCGTATAAATATGTGGACGACTTGGAGGGTTTATCGACAGAAATACCACAAGGAGAAACTGAGTTTCAATATGAGAAAGAAAAGGAACCTTCTGGAGCTGAGTTGGAGGATGTTTTTGAGCCACCAAGGAGAACTCATTGGGTAATGACTACGTTTCTTATGATCAGTTACCTGGTAGGAGTTGGAGTGCTTTCTCTTCCATCGGCCTTTGTTTCACTTGGTTGGGTTCCGGGAGTATTGTTGTTGACTGGCATTGTTTTTATCACAACTGTAACTGGTTTATATATGTGGAAACTGCACTTGAAATATCCGCATATACGCAGCTATGGCGCTATGTATTATCACTTTTTCGGACGTGCTGGTCAGATTATCGGAGGTACCCTTACTTATCTTATGTTCTTTGGTATTATGACTGCAGATTTTCTTACTGCAGCACTCTCTTGGAAGAGTTTGTTCCAGGGACATCATGTTTGTGTTACAGTTTGGTTTGTAATACCGTTTGTCGTTGCTCTAGTGGTTGGACAGTTACGAAGTCTCCATGGTATTTCTTGGGTAGCTTTTGTTGGTGCCTTGTGTATATTCCTTCCGATAGTAATGACATGTAGCAAAGTACCTGAGCTGTCAGTAGGTGCTCATGCATACACTACAATTGCCGGGAACAGTTTTGTCAATGGTGTTATTGCAATGACAGATATTGTCTTTGCCTTTGCAGGACATTTGATTTTTTATGAATTTATGGCTGAAATGAAAAATGTTCATGATTTTCCAAAAGCACTTATCGTATCGCAGTTGGTTGGTTTCGTGTTTTGCATGTTTACAGCAGCATTTGTTTATGTCTACTTGGGAAATACGAGTATTTTACAAAGTCCAGTAACTTTGAGTCTTCCTCATGATACATTACGTGATGCCATTAATGTTATCTTAATCATTCACGTCACAGCTCCGAGTGTTATGGGAGGAAACGTTCTAACTCGAGCAGTTCAACGCTGGTTGCAATGTTGGGGTCGACGAAGATTTGAAGACACTTCCTTTCCACAACGCGTTTCATTCTTCTTTTGGTCTCTTCTGGTTTATGGAGCAGGTTTCCTTGTTGCCTGTGCTATTCCATTCTTTAATGAATTGATTGGACTTCTTGCAGCATTGGTTGGTTCCAGTAATAGTTTTGGAATGCCTGCTATCATGTATTTGATTCAATTTCGGAAAACGACAAGTTGGTGGAATTGGATATTGGCACTTTCATGTATTGCCATTGGATACACATTACTTGGCATAGGAAGTTATGCTGGAGTTTATACGATTATTCAAGCAGTTGGAGACCATGGAACTCCATTTTCTTGTGACAGGGTAATTTAAGTGGGTTGTTATGACACATGAAGAAGAATATGTGTTGCGAAATAAATCCAAAACATTGAAATTTTCAGTCCTTTTTGAAGTCACTTTCTTTGTCATTGTCAAACCCAATCGGAACCTAAAACGACATACCCAGTAGTTCAGTTATTCATCAGTTGAAACATTGTGTTGTTCCTATCATATTACCTCGAGTCCAACTCTTCGTGCACTTTGTTCTATTCTTTGGCGTTCGTTATTTTCCACTCCTATATTGTTGGCTTTCAACACCTCCTATATTGTAAGTTAATTGTTGCCTTTGGAAATATACAAAGGCATACTTGATATTCTTGTACTGCTTTCACCAAAGTTTTCCAGTCCTTCACTAAGTGACAGAACGTCTCACTTGACACCGAAGAACCAAACTCCAGTCCTCGAGCACCATCTTCGACTTGTCCCTCACAAACTTTTCTTAAAAACTGGGTTTCTTCTCTTACATTCTTGTCAAAAGACAAATATCTCACAACTTTTGTCAAGGCCTGAAATAACTCGTTGCTTTCCTTCATCTTGTTAACAAGAATCCATAAAATAGTGTGATGACAAATAAGTATATTGAAACATTATGAGTGAGTCTCTTAGTAAAAAGAAGATTCCTATTGTATTCACTAACAGAAGAAATACATCATGATCTTATTACATCGTATTTCTTTTTCTTGGTTTTGAATAGCTTGTGTATGCCACAAGGATGTCTCTCTTGTTTTTGTCATTGTTTACTACTGCCACTCAACACTGCAACTGTTATCGTCGACAAGTAAAAAACCACAGTGCGGTAGTAATACACAAAAATAGACTGCTTTTCAAGAAAAGTTTCTATTCTCATCCTCTTGTAGTTTCTGCACCGCTTTCTCATTTCTATGGAAACTTGCCATCGAGTCACGTTAACCACACATATCGAGGTTGGTCAATGTGTCAACAACAACAGCAAATAGAAATACAGAAAACCTTCAAAACTAACGGTGGTTGGATGTTTGAAGTTGAAGTAAACGACAGTCGACAACTTTCTAGGTATCGCATCTCGTGAAATGTTTCAACACGCTGAACCCATTTATAAAGGCACACGGTATTATTAGGGAAGGGTTTGTTTGAAGAACTTGTAGCTGAACATACTGATAAAACACCTGAAACAGTCATCATAACTGTTTTCAATTACTTGATTGTAAGTTGTTTTTGAGTAGGTGGGACAATTGACTGAGTGTATATATATATATATATATATTGTATTAGGAACGTAAAGTTGTGTTGAAAAATACACAAGGAGTATTTGACTCTTCACAGTTTCCAATCAACTATTTCTCAGTGAGACAAGTAAGTTTGCTTTATTCTGTACACTAGTTCATTCTTGTCAACGTTTCCTATACTAGTTGTTCTACTTTTATCCAGATTGTAAAGAATATCTAAAACAGAGCCTCGATGGAACTAGAATAAAGTTTCCTTCCTAGAAGTTGTCTTACTCATCGTTTTTATCTTGGTTCATCCATTGCATAATGGCATGCAAACCATATAATAATTCTGCTTGTTTTCTTGCTTCCATACTTAATAATACAATATGTACCTTTTCTTCAGGTCTTAAAGCAAGTCCCATTCTTTCATAGTCATTCCTAGAGATAGTTTCTGGTTTACAAGTAACCTAAAAAGGGTGAACAATTCATCTCCAACCACTTAAAAACAGTTGTTACCTTTTTAATAAAGGACTTGAGGGACTGTTTCAATATCAGGTTGACCAAACGATAATCATAGTCATCATGCATTATTCCAAAAAGACGATGTACATAAACCCAAATGGCCTAAATAAAACAATATTTTACTCAGTCCATTACAGAAACAAATATTCCAATTTGTTACTTACCCTTCGAAAGATAGAAGTATCCACATTTGTGTTCATTCCTATACTATTATCCGTCAACTGGTAGATTGTTTCAAACTGCGTATCCAACAACGATGCCAATTCTCCATCTTCATAGAAAGCATTGATCAGCGCATATCCATGATCTGACCAATTATACTCATGAATACGAAAAATTTTATAAGTTTTGGAATTGACATCAAAGTCTTCATGCTTTAGTGGATAATCCGTAAAACCTGCCATTCTGAGAGAGATTAATATCATCTTCAATAGAATTCTCCATCGTTACCTGCTATACTTGGTTTCCAATGCTTCTGTACGTGTTCCAAATAACGTTCGTTCATTATGATCTATGCTGCCAGACTTGGCAAATAGTTGATCACCAGTTTCAGAGTAATTTGCATCGTCTTGTAAATGAATGGCTCTCTTTAGTTTTTCTACCAATTGACGAGTAGCTTCCACTTCTGACTGGGGTGTTTGTAAACTATCCTATTTCAGGATATAATAAACTCTACACTTGGATAGAATAAGGTTCGTCTTACTGGACTCTCATGAGATGGGTTGCATACGTTGTTACAACTGATCTCTATCAGACTATCTTGTTCCCGTGTCAATTGAATACGTATAAGAGAGTCTCTACTATCCATATCAATATCTGGACAAAGTCCACATCCTTCAATAAAACCTGCCAATGAATGGAAATGACTCAATATCTTAGAGTAAGTAGATTGGGTAAGCAAAGTATATCCCAAATAGAGGAAAAGACTTACAAGAATTGCCAAGACACATTCACTGAGAGACCATGAAACTTGACCCAAAGTTGATATAAGTCGCTGTAAGTGTTCTCTCTTCAATAGCCACGGTTGATGAGCCAAGATGGCATTCAATTCGCGAAGAACCAAAAGTTTAGGTGGAACATTTTCGTCTGACTCGAGCCAACGAATATCACCTCCATGAAGTAAAAACTCAGTTTCCTGCATATGGCAAATATAACTGCCGACAGTGAGTGGCTATTATCAAAACTACGTCGATAACTTACGAACAACGCAATCGAGCACCTGCCATGACACCCAAGTAGTTACGCCAAGTTTCCGGAAGTGGTCCTGGTCGTCTCATAATAGCACGATAACTTTGAATGTATGCTTCCAAATAACTAGGAAAGAAAGCCATCACTCTGACCACAGTCGATATGCGTCCAGTAAATAGAAAGTTGTCAGTGAACAGACGCAAAGTAACAATATTCGCATTTCGTACAGTTGGCAACTGTTCGTTGGGTATGAAACGCGAAAAAATGGGTCTTCTTAGGCGTTGGTATTCCTTTATCACTGAATAAACTGGTGACTCTATGGATAAAGTGGTTTCAGCTCGTTCTATTAAACGGGCAAAGGCTTCACGAACATCAGGAAATGGGACTTCAGAAGCAAATCTTATAATTGTTGCTATATGAGCTACAAATAGTTGTCCTTGATCGGAACCTTGTAACGAATTTTCCAGTTGACATAGTATCCTGTCAAGTGCTTGCTTCCTAGCAGTTTCATCCTCAATCACGTTTAGAATGAGTTATCATTCATATATCTTCATAAAACATACTCACTTGCGTAAGAAGTGTATGAAAAAAGCGAAGTGTATAGTCCAAAGAACCCTTTGGAAACCGAGGACTTGTATGCATAAACACAAAGAAATAGGCAATGGGAAAAAGTTGCTGTCAAGTTAGTGTTGTCATGACAAATGTCACTCTCTGTTATATGAAAGCTGTTCTTATTTTATCTAGTCTTCGTAATAACGCAATTCAACGAGATTATTTTCTGGATCTCTTATGTATATCTGCAAAAGAGCAAGTTTAGAGACAGATAAGCAATGAAAAGTACTTACCGAAGTTCCGTTCCCTTTGGCTCCAAAAAGAACTTTGGATCCTGATTCTGGATGAATATTATGTTGTGCAAGTTTCTTGACGAGATAGTCCCAGTCTACTTTTGCAAGAGTAATACAAAAGTGGTTTACATTCAAAGTCGTAGAGTCTCTAACTACAGTGTTTTCTCCTTTCCAAAGTTTTGCTGGGAATAAGTCAATAATAGTTTCGTCATTTAAACGAACAGAAGGAAAAGGAACTTTGCCTTGTCTCCATTCTGTGAGGCGAACACAAGGAAATTCCAACAAGTCCGAATAAAAACGCAATAAAACTTCGACGTCAAAAGCGTTTATCACAATATGATCAAATGTCGCTTTCATTGAAAGAGTTGAATGCTTACAACATTTATTTGCTTTCCAGATAGGATTGCTTGTTGAACTTTTTATTCCATTTTGAAAATAGAAGAGAAAGAGCATTCACAAATTGAAATAACTGGAGTTTCAACTTTGTTTCTATATAACATCATTATAACATTTTCGCAATATTTTCTTCACTTACCAACGTCCCCTAAAGTTCCTTGACTCCGTTGTCTGCGTTTATCTTTAAACAAGTACCAACCCCAACCTTGACCATAACCCACACCAACGATTCCAATACCAACACCACAACCTAAGAAAGAACGAGGTGTCTGTACGCCATACTTTCGAACCTGCTCAAACTCCCAACCAAGTCCAATCCCACAACCAAAGCCAACACCAGTGCCTACACCAAGTGGTGGTAGCTGAGGCAACTTGGCTTTAACGTAGTCGACACAGTCAACAAGTTTCTTGGGAAATCCAGTTAATTGGGAAGGTTTTTCCAAAGCAATCATATTGAAAACAAAAGTGTACATATGGAAACGTTATTAGCAACCTAATTCTGCTAACTTTTCTAAAACAAATATTGCCACTCTAATGTAAACGATAACGAAGTATCTTTTCGGCTTCACACTGCGAACCAGAAAAATGATAAGAAATGGCAATATCCAAGTCTCGGGGATTCTTTTGATTAGGACGACTTGCCAAAGTTCCGTAAATTGTTTCTCCGGTACAAATCACCAATTCCTATACAATCTAGAACCTCATTTCTTTGCAAATACTCTAAAGCATACTCTATCCAAATAGAAAACAGCCTGCTTCCAATGTGTTGTCCTGGATTGCGGTCCAGTGGAGAAGCCTAGTGGTTTATGACAGTGATTGAAGAATATATCAAAATGAGCAACAAAGGCATGAATAAAATCATTTCTTTCAGCCTTCAATATAAAAGGAACCTTTGAATGCAAATAAGAAATTCAAGACGAAATCTCTGTTACTCACAGCAAAAGAAAGATCTTCCTTTTTTACACTCGTCACATCAACGGAAAGTACAGGAACAGTTGGACAAACAATCTTGCCAAATGATGAGAATATCACAAAAACTTGAAATTCTTATTTACCTGCTGAACTCCAACATTATCTATAAGTGGTTCCGTTAATGCCAAACGTTTTATGCAACTCATATCAAAACCTAAACAATAAGTTTGGTGTGAGAATTGCTCCCTTAAAAACAATTCTACTATACTTGCCATATACATTGTCCCAAAAATCTATCTTCTCAGCTCGATATTCGGCGTCCTCAATGGCTGATAAATACAATACTGCTCTATCTGGGAATATAAGTCCTCCTTTCTTTAAATATTTATCCCGAGCAAAAATAACAGTTTCCAACATTGACTCATATAATAAGAAATATCCCTATAAAGTATATACGGTTCAAAATCAGTTATTGATCGTCTTCATTTCTTCGCTAGATTTACCATCCATTCAGAAATAATAATATCCACCTCCTCCACAGGCAGCTTAGCATCTTCCATTTTATCCTTAATCATAACTATACGATTTTCAAAGTTATTTGCTTTTATGATGAGTTTTGCTTGTTCAACTATTTCTGAACATTCAACTCCTATAACCTGGAAGCAAAGTGAGTGAGTACATCCAACCCAAATAAGTTACAAATAAACATACAAGACGTGCACCTGCTTTTGCAGCAAACATGGAAAGAACCCCAGTGCCACAACCAACATCCAATACTACCTAAACCCCAAAGGTCACCCAAACTGACGACTGTAGGAAACTAAATCAAGAACCTTTCCTTCGAATAGATGCTTATTTTGTAAAATAGCTTTCATATAAGTGCGCGTTCTCACTTCATCTTTAAGCATTTCTTCGTGAATACCAAAATGTGCGTAAGAGTTGAAATAATAATCGGCAGAAGTTAAATCATAATCAAAGTCTTCGATAACTCCTTATGTACAACTCTTTTCAAAACGCTGACCATAAATAAATATAAAGCAAAGCAACCATACCAGGAATACTTCCTTCAGGTAGTAATAACTCTAAAGGTTCAGGTTCCATATTTAGACGTATACCACACGACCCTGGAATGGCTAAACGGCAACGACAGCAATTGCTGAAAGATAAATTTATTTTACAAACACGCAACTACACATGTAACCAAGTGAAAGGACTCTCTCTCTCTTTTTTCATATACCGTGCTTGGAGCGACAAACAGCAATAAGGCATAGGAAATAGACCAGTTTCTCCTTAAGTTGGTGTTCACAAAACACCAGTTTGACTGAAACCCTTAGTTAAGCCGAAGCTTTGTTCTTTGGATTCTCGGGGGCATCTTTCCAACTTTCAGCACATCGCTAAAAACAGCAACACTTAGATTACTTGTAACTACCTAAATCAACAAGAAGTACCTTAAACGCTTCCTGGTGTGAAAGGTTGGGGTTTTGTTGCTTAATAACGGGAAGCATTTTCTTCATATATTCGTTGTAGGGGGATACTGCACGTTTCGCGGCGGGCTTCTCTTCTTTATTTGCGGCCTTGGGCATATTAAACTTGGGTGACGATAGAATACTTTTTACAAAAGTTAAATAAATTTCCGACGACCAGAGTAGCTTATACATACCTTAAACTATACGAGGACAGTTAAAACTGAAATAAGAAGAAACAATTAAGAGAAAAAGGGTTCTGGACAAATAGGCGCCTTATATGATGGTCTGGAAGTGGGATGTGAGCGGGCTGGGGACTTCGAGTTCAAATCAACCATGGAGGGCTCCCAATCCCTCATATGATTGGTACAAGTCTCTTTAGGGGAAAGAAAATCCAGCATCACTCAATGCTCAAATTTTTCCTCCAACTAAAGCAGGCCCGCCAATTACATTGTTTCCTGTGCTGTTTGGATTGATTCCTGTTGGAGATATTGTTTCTTGTAAAGATTCATTTACACAGATAGGAAAATGAGTCCTAAACAGGAAGCTTTGCATACGCTTAAAGGAGGCTATGCGAAGGCTGTACTCGATAGTATTGTTGCTCTCAAGGAGAGGAATGGTTCTTCCCCACAGGCCATCATGAAATATATCAAGGCGCATAATCCACAACTTTCTGAACACAAGCTAAAACTTCAGGTAAAACTAGCGTTACGACGTTTATTAAAACAGAATCTCGTGGAAAAGGTATCTCAGTTTCGAACTCTTATTACGAAGAACTTCCTGAGAAATCTCTAGGTGAAAGCTTCATACAAGGTCATCGACAAAAACCATAGCGTTAAAAGAAAAACGAAAGAAGCGAAACCTAAGCGAGTTGCGAAAACTGTCCAAAAGAAAAATGCGAGCCAAACCAAAACGAGAACTACGAAAGCCAAAGTTCCTAATGAGAAAAAAGAGAAAGCTGTGGAACCCCCAAAGGCACCTCTTAAGAGCGAGACTACAGAGACCAAATCCTTGAGGCACGGTAGCAGTTCAGAAGGAAAGAAATCCACTAAAATACCTAGGAAAACTGAAAGAAGAGCTGTCCCAAAAACCACCACTTCTTCAAGTGTGGAGAAAACGATAACCAAAAAGAATACGACTTCGTCCAATAAAGGGAAGTTAGGAAGAGCAGCTGATACGAACAAGTCCAAACCCAATCAGAAAGTGGCAGTTTCAAAGAGCAAAACGTCGGTCACAGCGAGCTCCAAGAAGAGCACACGTGGTACACGCAAAGCATAGCCTAATGGAATGTTTGATACTTTTGGATAATATGATGTTTGTGTGAATATAAAGGAATTAAAGCGAAATTGAATAATATTTGCTAGATTTGCCTATAATTGTTGAATAAATATTTTTGTACGCTATTTCTATTTGTATTGATTTTGAACAACCTTTTTTATGTTTTCATTTGGTGTAGTTACCGCCAGTGGGAGTGTTCAGCTACAACTTGAATAATAACTTGTATTGAATTATTTCCACTGGTTGAGAAGATAAGCCAATTCTGGCATTAGATATTTATAATATGTTTCACAATCGTGGTGGTAATCTCAGTAACAGTAGTAAGGAACAGCGTTTTCGACTCTTGTACAATTTATGAATGGGCCCGCTTTTTCAAAATTTGAATTGCAAAAAATGATGATTAGCCGTAACAACAATACGACGTGTGTATACTTTCTTTTTCGTTGCAGTTATACATTGGCAACAGCTGTAGTATCTATTTGGATTGTACAAAACTCCATAGACTTGAATTCTATTCGTTCAGTTTTTCCCTTTTACCAACAAATATTTATCGAAAGTTGTGCAAACTTTACGAAACATTTACTTTAGAGCACTTTCGAACAAAGAATACACTATAAGAAGAAGAAATTTTTACGTTATAAGCTTCTCTTGTCAAGAAGATGGACAGGGTTTGAAACTTCATAGCTTAAGTGAACTAACTTCACAAAATCCCCATAGACCCAAGAGAAATGAACAAGAGTTAAACTTTAAAAAGCAGTCCAGATTGCAGGAAAGGGAGAAATATGCAAAGGAGCTCAATTCTGATAAACTACAACAGTTGGAGCAAGAACTCACAACTCTCAAGGCACAAATACAGCAGTTTCGTGCTTTACAGACTAGAGAAGAGTTTCAACCCAGAAATGATACGCAACTAAACTTTTGGCAAAGTGAGGAGTAAATTAAGATTGACTATGAAACTTTTAAGCATCTTCTGGTTGCTGTTGAGTTACGCAATGTATTCCTCCTCCTCCTAAGATGATCTCTCGCGCTGCGACTTGTCGAATTTGTCTCTCTGGTACAATGGACTGGAAAATCTTTCTTGCCTCGGAATCCCACGGTTCTCCAAAAGATGGCATAATTAAAACATTATTTGCAAAATAAAAATTAACATAAGAAGCCACCAAACGCTCATTTACTTTTCGATCAACTGCCTGTGATGTGGAAATAACTCCAGAAGCTTCTAATTCTGTTCGATAGAAAGGTCCTGGTACAGGCAACTTGTGGATAGATAGACTTCTTCCCTTTGCATCTCGACTAGTTTCGAGGATCTGAAAGGCTCGAAGTGATCTTTCATATTGTGGATCTTCCTTATCCTCAGTCCAATGTATCACCACCTTACCAGGACCTACAAAGACACACAAGTTATCCACGTGGCCGTTTGTGTCGTGGTCTCCATAAACTCCAAGTGGAAGCCAAATAATCTTTTCAACTCCTAAATACAATTTCAATTCCTTCTCTATCATGTCTCGACTCCAATTTGGATTTCGATTGGAATGGAGCACACACTCTTCTGTAGCTAAAAGTGTACCTTGGCCATCGGTAGACACTGCACCACCTTCCAAAACCAAGTTGGACACATATCTTTTAAAACGTTCCAATTCCAATATTTTCCAAGCAATCATAGCGTCTTTATCCCAATTCACATAACATCCTTCTTTAACTCCACCCCAAGCGTTGAATACAAAGTCAACGCCACATAATTGACACGAGGACTCTCCTGTTCGAGAGACTATGAAAATTGGGCCAGTATCTCGCAACCAACAGTCATCGGTTGACATTTCGATCACTCTTACATTATGGTTATCTTTGAAACGTTCTCGAACTTGTGTCCAGCTATTAGCAGAAACAATAACAGTTACTGGTTCAAACTCTGCAATAGTACGAATGACCTGGACAGTTTTTTCGATCAAACAACATAAAAATAGAATTTCCAGTACCTCTTCAAAAGTATTTTGTGCAGGGACCGCATTGTCACGCCAGTTATCTAACCTTTCTGGCCAACCTATCCAAGTTTGCTTATGACGTTCCCATTCAGCAGGAAAACGAAACCCACTCGGAACGTCAACGGCCATTTCGTTGATTTGTTGAAAATGAGAAAACAGACTATTACTGTGTTGGACCCAGAAGACGAACTAAAGGAGCACTGGGATAATGAGCTTCTTAGCAATAAGAATAGTTATTATTCGCTCCATGATTCGGAGCACCGTGAAACACCAGTTCCTAAGAGATTGAGAATGCGTCCAGCAATAACAGTGCAAGGCTCTAAATATCAAGGAAGAGTGATAGACAGAAGCTCATTGGCTGAGGAAGATAACAGTTTGGTTGGCACTGAAGACGCAGAAGAGAAGGAGGATTCTCTCTTTGAGTTTGAAGAAAAGAAGGAAAGCGACCAAGATTCTGTGGAGGCTTCTGTTGAACAATCATCAGTGAGTAGCGGTCAAGGAATTTTGAGAATTACTTCCGAAACACAAGAACAACTCTCAAAAGGACAAGCTATTATAGAACAAAAGGTATGTATCCGGCTTCTGTTGATTGTATTACAACTTGTTTCCATTCTGTTGATGAGCGCCAAAGAAAGTTGTCATGTTAGACTTCTGAAAAGTCATGATTGACTTGGCTCTTCTGAAAAGTTAGCAAACTCTTGTTTTCTTCTCAGTCTTCCTAATTATGATCGACTAAATCGGTCCTTCTAGTCTTTGTATGACGATATATTGAAGCTAAGAATTGCCATGCAACGTCTTTTAACCATTGCGAATTGTTTTCCAGATGAGCAAGGTCGCTTAATTTTGAAGCAAATCGACCCATTAGGAACCGAAAAGAAGTTTTCAGCCACTACTCGATCGATATTTAAAATGACTACAGCAATGATGAATATTCAAGAATTATTATTTATCAATTCCTCAAACCTGACTTTTAAGAAAGAAGGAGATTATCTTTCTGGAAGAAGAAAAAAAAGAAGAATATAACTAGGACAGCATCAGAAGATTCATCTTCAGATGTTACTGTGGAAATAGACCGATTATGGAGAAAGCTGAAGAGGCGCAATAGTGAGTTGAATTCTTTCAAGCAAAAGGTATTGGATTTCTGGGATAAGAAAGTACGAGAAGCGACTGGCACAATATATGACCAAACAAGCAAGTTCAAAGTTATCAACCAATCTGTATCTAATCAAATTCAAGGAGTAAGTTTAATCGAGCACTTTGAGTATTCATATTCCTATCGAGGATTTTAGGTTCTTTCTAATCGTGAACGTCTTTTTCGTCGAGCACATACTCGCAGAGACTCTAACCGTTCTTTACTTTGTTTATTATCATCAGAAAATAATGGCGTCGATCCTGAAATCTACGATGATGGAGATTTTTATCAGTTATTACTGAAAGAGGTAAGAATCGTGTTGAAAAGACCAAGAAACGATATGGATGTTTGAAAGGTTGTGAATGACATGTCCAAAGTGAGTAAAAGAGAAGATATCAAAAGTGCATCACAGTTGAAAAGAAATCGACAAAGAAAGCAGTAAGTATTTTATAGGCTCTTCATTTGAAGATGTACTAAACAAATGTTTTGCAGGTATTTAGATAGGCGAGAGAGTAAAGGACGAAGACTTAAGTATACTGTCCATGACAAATTGGTTGGATTCCTTGCTCCCATTCCAATGGAACAATCAGAGACAAGAAACCAACTTTTGAAATCCCTCTTTGGTAGTAAACACAACTAAAAATAAAAGTTCGATAAAAGACAATGACGAACAACTATTTATGTTAGAAATGACAAGATAAACAGAAAATAGGTGAAGATTCCCAGAACACATCATTCTGAGATTATTTTTTCATAAACTGCAAGGCTCCTAAACAGAAAAAGTCAGTTCCAAAGAGGATAACAGATAAAAAGTAAACTTTCCAACACTGTCACCAGTTTCATTGAATATCTTTAAATTTCGTCGATAAACCTCGTCATATTGCCCGAACAGAGTCAATTTCGACTTTTCTGAAGGTACTGCCTTGAGGCTTTCTATTGTAGCCTTCGAAACATTACGTCGCTTCTCCAGTTCTTTGGCTCTACTTGAAGCAGATAATGCTCTCCATTCACCAAAGGCAGCATCTGCGACGTTAGAAACTGTAAAGTCCAATAAACTTGGGTCTAAAACTCTAAAACTCCCTCATGAAAACAGTATCAAGCAAAAAGTAGGGTAACCTACGTAGGAGTAGTGACACGACCCTCGAGAAACTCAAATCTTGAAAACGTTCCAGGAACGATATGTCCCTCAGACTTATCAGTAGTTATCGAATACGGACTATAAGTCATCAAGATTCTTTTTGAAGCGTTGACACAAGGAAAGCAGGGTTGTACAGAAAAAAAGGTTTCTACAGAACTTGGCTGAGATCCTATTGAACAAATAGTTGGTGAGTATAAACAACAAAAGCTATCAATTGAATCCGTTCCAGTACGCACCTAACCATCTACAGTTCGCAACGCTAGTGAAGGCTAACATATTTTTTGTTTCAAGAATCAACGAGATTGTCAAGGAGCTGAGGAACAATCCAATTTCATCAAATCTCTCAAGTGGGGGAGGATGTGAAAGACTCTGAGCCTCACAAATGAAGTGTCCATTTCCTAAAAGTACAGCTTCTTGAATCGTTTATACACTTCGAGTTCAACTGGACAGCAAGTGTTGTTCGAGTTACATATTCCCAAAACAGGACAGATAGGGATATATCTCAATAACAAGCTGGCTTTTGGTTTGTGACAATGGAATCCGAAGAAGCAACTATTGAATTATTCATTTCAGAGACTCCAAAGCCCTATTCTTTACTAAACAAAAACTCTAGAGAGTTTCACCTAAACAGATTATTATACTAGGCTTCCACTGAAGATCAGTTCCAAATGCCAAAAAGACGTTTCGGTTTCTATTTAAATGCTTCTGCCCAATTTTTGTAAATGACTGGCAAGCAACTGTTGAAAGTGATTGGATAAAGAACTTTGTATAACACCTTTTAAACTCTCGTTGTTTGCTACCACTTCAGTAAAGTTATTTACGAGCATCTTCATGAATATGTTAGGAATGATTCATGGAATAGAACAAAAACATACTTGGTCAGGTTCTGGGACTTTGTTCATTTGAATATTTTCTCTATTTCCAACCAAAGCCAACTGTGAGAATTGTATATCATATTCTCTCGATCCTTCCATTTCGTGGTTGCCGCCTTGAGTTGGATTTTCTTGATAACCTTCAAAGCACAAAACCTTTTATGTTCCACTGTGGTTCCATGTTAATAGTATCCTACCTTCTAACAAAGACAATACAGTTGACAACACCGAGAGCCATAAGTTGGGAAGTTCTATCAATGTAGGACATGAAAGATACAACGCAAGCCCTGTGGCACAAATTTTACGGTCCTTTGGATTTGCTTCTTGGACGACATTTGGTAACCAAACCTGCAATAGAGTCGGTAAAGCCAAGTTCCATATTAAATAGGGAATGACTTACATGTTCAAATACTTGAACAAAAAGACCATCCTGGATACGATTTAACAAAGAAACAACAATCTCGCTTCCATATTTGATGGAAAGAAATGAAATAAAAACAATAAAAGCCCTCGTAAACCTAATTGTCCGACCCTTTTGTAACCGAACCAACATAATTTGAACAATCTCAGGTAAAAATGGTTCCAATTGCGACATATCACAAGTTTCCACAATACTTTCTATCAGAGACATTCCGTAGTAATCATGAACCTATTTCAATACAACATAACGTTACTAACAGTATGCAAATAAACGTTTCAACTGATGTATCACCTTGCTGGCAACCAGATTTTGAAAAACTCCCAAAATAGGAGTCAACTGATTATTTGCCATTATATGATTCATAGACTTTCTCAAAAAAGCTAGAAACAGAAACATGAATCTCACTACTGAGAGAGAGAGATAAATTTTTTACAAAAGTTACTTACCCTGTAAAAGACGAACCATTCCAGGAATATATCCATTTCGATTCCACAAGGATGGAGTAAAAAGCACGGGTAATAAAGATTGATATGATGAAGGCAATTCCTCGTACTCTCCATGAAGTTCAGCAAGTTGTGCCAGAACTTGGAAAATATAGGGAACAAATTCGGCAATGTCTGCAGTCAGAACAGACTATTTCCAAAACTCAATGCTCTTCATACAAACAATTTCGCTCGTTAAAAATTACCTGAAAGAATGGAAATAATTTTGTTTCCAATAGAGGAAGATGACTCGATGGATTTTCGGTACAAACGTATCGAGTCAGTCCGGCAATACATTCAAAACAATAATGAATAAAATTAGGGTTGCCAGGATTCTGAGATATCATTTCTAATGTCTAAAAATGCAAGTCTCCAACAATTTCCACCCAAAAACAAACTATTCATACCTTCACAATACCATTTAAAAGCGTTTCCAAAAATGGTGCCATGTCTGTTCCAAAAAATATAATCACTCTCATAAGGCACTTCACTGTGTATTCGTTTTGTGACGAAACATTCATCATTAAGGATAGCAAACGATGAACCAAAGCTGAAACAAACTCAGCAAGGTTCTCCTTCTTCACTTTCCATTCGCCATTTTCTTGTAATGAGAGAATTTTCTCGATGGATATACAGGAATATGTATGTACTACAGGAAGCCTCGAACTTAACAATTCACTCATAAAAGTCAGAGTTACTGGAAGTAGACCATCAGGGATTTGATTCCTAAACGAGGTCGCAAACTTGATGCTATCGCAAGTCAAGATCGGAAACCGTATATTGTCCGGTTGCTTAGATGCACTTTCCAATTCCGGAATAATATGATTCTTATAGAACTGACCTAAATCTACCAGTTGATTGACAACAGTGGCTCCAACTCTTTCTGTGCCGCCTTTCCAACCCTATCCAAGAATATGAGACTGTAAGGTTTCCATTATAAGATCTTCAAAGTAAAAAATAAACATACAATAGCAGTAACTAAATAGATAGCTGCGTCCTTGCCTTTCCACTTGTTTGTAGGATCTTTGGCAAATTCCTGCAACATACTATAAACATAATTTGAAAAGATTTCGGTGATAGCATTCTATTCACTGTTTCAATAAAAAGAAAAGACACAAACTTATTGTAAATACTACCTCGTAATGTGTACAAAGTCCTTTCACCAACTCACAAACTGCCCTTCTACGTGTTTCGGCATCACTGCCTTCCATGTCTTGACGAATATATTCCATAGGATTTTCTTCAAACAGGTCTTGGTCATCTTCTCTTAATTCTACATTTGGAATAATAATATATTCGCAAACCTTAAAAAATTATAAAAGCTTAAATAATGTTACAAAATAACGAAATAATTCTTACTTGCTTTAATGTATCAGGCTCAGAAAATAATCCAAAGTCAACCGACTTGCTCACAATCGTCAACAACCCCATTCCAGCTGTCACAACCTGGTCATACTTTGTTGAATTACCGTGTCGAATAAGAAGTGACCAAGTGGCTGAAACAAACTGACTCAAATATGGACGAAATTCTTCTTCATATTTCTCTGCACATAAAGTAACATTATCCAATGTTTCTGCCTGAACTTGGTCAAAGAGGGAGTTATCCGAATCTTCACTATCCGAAGAAACTGACGATAAAGAAATATTCAAAATCTTCAAAAAGCCACGGGCCCATTCTTCCATGTGGTCTTCAAAGTATTCTGGTAAATCCTGATAGCACAAAGAATAAAAAATACGACAACAGCGGAACAATATTTCTAACAAAGTATGGGTATATTCGTTATCTTCCTTTACAACCTCTGGAGTAAGATAACTTTCTGAGACGAGTTGAAAAGTTTTCAACAGAGGTTCCTTTCCATAACTTCAATACATACTTGAAAAAGCAACGTTTCTTTCACTAAGTACCTGCATATGACCCAAGACATACTTGAGTTCCAGCAACAGATCGTCTGAACGAAACAAATGGCGATAACATTCAACAAGAGCATCCACTGCTTCCAAGACGCCGTCACAAGTTGACCAACTTAACTGATGTGGAAAAGAGTTTATTGCCTGTTCCAACTTGGAACACAACTCTGGAAGTAGGTATTCCCAGTTGCTGGGGAAGTCGCTATCGGCAATGACTGAAATGGTCTCCGTAAGTAGCTTTCTCAACTGTACAGGTAAGTATAATAAACTGTCGGTCAAACTTCGCTTTAACTAAACAGATACAATTGACAAACTAGGAAACTCATAAAGCAGAGTGCTCAAACCTTTTCTCGTTCCATCTCATCCACGTCTTCCCACGAACGTTTTATATAATTCTTAAGATATACTGCAGCAGCTTGTCTGGTAAAAAACTGAAAGTTACTATTCGATATTAGTTCAACAAGTAATAAAGAGAAGCCAGGTCCTTTTTCGTTTGATTGTAAAAAGGCTTCAGCGTTGCGACGCATAGTGGCATTAGGCGACAAAGTTGCATCGATGTAGCTAGCTAAAGTTGAAAGCGTAGAAGCTTCAAAACCGTTAGCCATTATACTCCTAGACACGTTCGAAAGTTGTTTTCAAAGATAGCTGTCGTCAGTCAACCAAGACCACCCGCCTAACAAAGTTGAATAGTTTGCCAATGACCCAAAGAAAGACGGGCAGAATTTAACATCTTTTTCTAAGAAAAAATGCAATTGAAGCGCGCATATTTTTGTTATTATTTGAATTGTGTCGTATCAAATAAATACTGTTTGGAATATTTATTGTTGATAAAGACCAACAAATGATTTCTTTGTGAGCTCGAAGCACGCATAGGAATAGAATTCATTCTATCTCTCTTTGGGAAAGCTTTTTCATTAGTCTCTTTTCCCCTTCCTACATAAACTTTTCTTCTGATGCCACATTGTTGTTTCTCAGTATTGTGTCTAGGTTGTGGTAGTAATATAAACAACAAGCATTTTTACCGAAAATATATCTTATTAGAAAGAACTCGTTCTAGCAGGTTTGGTGGTGTTAGACTTTGCCGTCTTGAAAGAGGTATCGGCCACGTAGCGCAGTCTTCGTTCCCGTCTTCGAGTCAACGCTTTGCTTTGGTTGCCTCCAGTGTTCAGGATTCTGCAAAATCTGGGAAGGAACAGAGTGTGGTAGAGGAAAATAGAGCAAGGTTTAGATTGAGTTTCGGGGAACAAGCGAGAACCGTTGTTCAAGTTTGTAAAACGGTGAGTTTGTTTACACAGTCCTGAAAGGTTCTTTCATTGACGTTTATTATTTCTATATTTTTATGTGCTTTTCAGGGTACGCTTTGCACAAGTTCCGTTGAACACGACGACACTCCTTTTGGATCCCACGTCGATTATATACTAGATGACTTTGGTCGGCCCATTGTTCTTCTAGCACAAAACGCTGCTCATATGCGTAACTTGAGAAAGTCCCAAAAGTGTTCCCTCTTTTGTCAACCTGTAGCTTCAAGTGGACAAAGTGGTTGTCGTGCCACTTTGGTTGGCTTTATGGTAAAGCTTCCTTTGGAACAGGTTTCAGAAGTGATGGAAGCTTATATTGATACTCATCCTCACGCAGCTATAGCTTTGAAATATCCCGAATTTTCGTTTTATCGTATGGAAGTTTGTGACGTTTATTTTGTTGGTGGTTATGGTGTAGCAGCAACTTGGGTAGATCCTAAAGAATATATTTCTTCTGAACCCGATCCACTTGCTTTTCAGTCTCAGGATTTATTGAAATTAATGAATAGCGATCATATGGAAGACTTGCTTCGTTTTTGTAATGTTTTCCTTCATTTGAAAAACATAGAGCAATGTGAAATTGTTATGGTTGATCGTTTAGGCTTCGATATGCGAGTTCAACTATCAGAGACAGACATCAGAGAATACAGAATTGGGTTTCGTGAACACGTTGTGACTAGTTTAGATGCTCAAAGTGCTCTTGTTCAAGCCATGCAAGAAGCTTGGGAACTCGAAAACGGTTATGAGAAACTTTGGTCGGAAGAAACTCCAAGACCAGCCGTCTTGTATTATTCATTAAGTAATTAAAGCAAAACTAAAAAGGTGCATATATTTATACAATTCAAAAAATATGCTGTTTCAAACTTTGCTACATTTGAACCATTGGAAATAAGTTATCAGTTGACTCTTCAATTGTTGAGAGTCCTTAAAATGAATAGTATGCAATCCTAGTTGTTGTGCAGCATCGCAATTTACTTTCCTATCATCAATGAATAAGCAGTGCTGTGGAGAAACTCCAAGTGTATTTACTGCAAACTGAAATATCTCAAAATCTGGTTTGCGAAATCCGATATCACAGCTCACAAACGACCATTTTAGATATCTTGATATTTGTAGTTTTTCTTCAATCATTCTATACAACGGAGGGTAATTCGATAGAATATGCAACTGAATAGTTCCTTCACTCTCTTGGAACGCCTTCAAAATCATTTCTATGCCGTCCATCCACACATAATGATCCCACAAAAATGCCTTTAAACGTTTCCAGTCAAACTGCGTTGTCCCGTATGCAGCCTTGAAAAACTGTTGCGCTACTTGTCGTTCATTTATCCTACCTAGTTCAAACTCACACCAAGTTCGATGATTTGTTGCCTCGACAAACTCTTCAAAACTATCAAAACCAAATATTCTATGCATTCCTTGGTGAAATGGGTCCTTAACCAACGTATCCATAACATCGAAGAATACTATATTAATATCTGGAGGTTGTGAAAGACTTTGAGTCATTCGAACTCTGTTCCTTGCCTTGCTAAAATAATAAGACGTAAAAGCTGAATTGAAACAGCGATAAAGTGCAGTATTTAGCAGATTCGACTTCAACTGAAAACGGAACTTCAATGAATAGGAACAGGAACAAAAAGGACTTGTCAAGTAGAGACAGACCAACTTGGTCATTCTTTTCTTATTGACGATTTTGTTAATTTAAATCAATTAAAATCATACCCCAAATCTACCAATTCTACTTGGAAAATATATTGAAAGTGATCAAGGCTCACGTGAAAAACGACTGAAAAACATTCGATTTCAAGTTTATGACCAAAAATTCCATATAAGACAGACAACTCAAATGTCGATTATCCAATGGCTCTAACCACAGCAGCCACCAACCATTTGGATGGGCTTTTTCTATCTACACAAACCTCCCAACAGAGCTATCTCTTTCTGTCATAACTTCAAACTTTCACAACTTTTTGAATTCTTACAACGATGACCTATCCTCTATATTGCGCTTCCAAGGCTCTTGCCAAAGGATCATCATCACCTATATCATTCCAAGTTCTTCTAGACGGTAAACCAGAGTAGAACATATATGGAGGGTTATTGCTTTGTGGTGCAGGGTTATACGAATCATTCTTATTATTATTATTAATATTATTATTATTATCTGCATATATATTATCAGTATAACCTCCTCTGTTATTGTACTGATATGTGTTATAAGAGAAAACTTCTGGAGAATAATTCCGATTATCGGACATCGTTACATGAGTATTCTTATTGTAATCATTAGAGTTGCCTCCAACGAAATGATCAGTTTGAGAATTGTTGGAAGCAGGAATAGAAACTGATTCAGCTTCAGAGGCAACCTTATTATTAGCAGTTGGAGGAAACCACGATGTTGTCCGTGTATTATGGTCCACATAATAGTAACGACCAAGATTGGGTTCGTACCTTCTCTCCCATCCAGGAGGTAAGTCTGCCTGAGACGATAATACCAGAGCATTTTGATCACTTTCCGCTGCTGATTCTCGGCTTTGTTTTGGTTTATCATTCTGATAATTCGTTTCCACATCGACTTCATCATCACTGGGATCATTTATGTTGATTGCTGTCAATCTCAAGTCTAGGGTCTTTACAAAATACAAATTGGATGAGACTAGTGAACGAAGTGGTTCAAGGTTCTCATTCAAGGCATCCGCAATTTGCATGTTCACATTCCAAAACTAACATATTGAGACAGATTTAGTAACTTCCAAAGAAGCATAATACCCACAAACTTACAGCAACAAGAGCGCAATGTAGGAGAAGGGGGTGTTCTCTGTAAATTTCTTTCATGCGCACAATATATTCTTTGGTGGCTTGAACAAAACGCGCCTTGGACTCGGATAGCTTCTTTCTATTTCTATCGAGTCGTTCTTGTTGCTTTCCTGAATGTGAAAGATTTTCCACTTTTTCAACATATAACTCATACTCTCTTCTACAAGCATCACGCTTCTTTTCATATTGTTTCAGATCCTTTATCTGCTGGTCGTAAATTCGCAGCTGTTGAATCAAATTGGACAAGTTCTCAGGCTATATATCACTACTGAGTATACACTGCAAAACGAAGTGAGAAAGAAGTGATACCTTGCTGAGGTTTTTCACCGCTTCAAAGAAGGCATCCGCACAATTGACAGAATAAAGTACTGTTGAATACTGTTGTGAAGACGAGTCAAATATTTCATGAACACTATCGCAAACATGTTTCAACTTGCTAGCAAGGTCTAGAGATAAAACCTGAGTAAAAACCCTAGGAGCTTTTCAAAAACTACAGACCATTCCATTTACTAAAGGCCACTACTAACTTCTCCTCGACTGTGTTTACGACTCGTTGCACTTCAGTGAGTCTGTCCTTCCAAAGCTGCACCTTGTAAGAAGCTACAGACCTGTCTTCTGTTTTCGAAACACTTTCTTTGGCTTCACGAAAAAATAACTTGGTTTTATGAAACATAAGAGTGGAGTTGCCTTGGTTCAGCGCGTCCCAATATGAATAATAAGAATTGACAACTCCACACCCAAATGAGAAATTGTTCAAATTGCAAAATCTTGAGTATTTCTATAATATGACAATAAATTCTATGTAAATCATATTACTTTTCATTTGCCTTGAACACTTTTATTAGATCCCAAGAAACTAACAAAATCTATTCATTCACAAAAAGAAACCAACTTATACCACCGTTGATTTAGCACTTTGATACTGAGGAGTAGATGAAATAGAGGGTTCTTGTTCTACTAGCTTCTCATATTTTTCTAGCGATACTGAAGAGCCATCTTGATGTTTTTCTTCCTCTACTGTATCGGTCAATCGGCTGTTTTGTAATAAGTTCTCAAGATGATCGGAAGACTTGTTTCCATCGTGGGTGCTATCCAATGTTGAAGAAGCAGCAATTTTGAGGGCTTCACAGTATTGATCTCGATATGGTTGTAATGAATGGGACACTCTTGATAAATCTGATATCATATGAAACTGGATGTTCCATAAGCACATTGTACATTCTGCAAAAATAGAAACATGTTTCTTCCAACAGCGTTCCATTTTGTCAACAAGCTCTTGTGTTATGGAGTCATAAGCTTCCTCTGAATCTTTTAGCTTTTGTTGATTTCTTTGTATACGTTCCATATCCTTTCCCTTCTTCTCAAGCCCGTCCAATTTTACTCTGTAGTGGTCGTAGCGTTCTCTCAATCTTTCTCTTTCTTTGCATTCTCTCCGCAAGGCTTGTATTTCCTCGCGATACTTTCGAAGCAACAGTGATACCCGCTGTAAAACTGGGTCATTCTGCAAGGTGAGGTTAAATAGAAGAATTGAAACGACTCTAACGAACAACATACTTTTGAAAACTCTTGCTGGGCTGCTTCAAACTTCTTCGAAGCACTCATCGCTTCTAAAAGTACTTCATAGTGTTGGTCAGCTTTATCAAAGACCTGGCAAAGTTCTGTTGAAGTTTCTTTATTATGAACAGCAATGCCTTGAAAGGTTGGTTTCTTAGTTATGTAGTTTCATTGCGCCTTTGTCGACTTACTCTTCCATTTTGAATTTGTTGCCAGTAACTTTGGCTCTATAGAGTCGATAACTTTTTCTACTTCCCCCAAGTTGTTAAGCCAATGGTCAACTTCACGGTTTATGGTTCGTGGAGAAGTAGTAAATATGGGGGATAGACGTTCCATGATGGGCTTCACAAGATAGGACAAAAGAGACTGCGCATTCCGTCCCTCCCCAATACGTGCCTGAGGGACATTCCTCAGTGAATACGTGGCAGGCGGAGATTCCTTAACCAATCATTCTTTCCCTCTTCACACGCTAATGCTTTATTCTGACCACAAAATCATACAAGACGAAATCATCCAAAACTACCAATTCTATTATGCATCGATAGGGAAACCCCAATACTCTCGCATATCACAAACCACTTGCCCTCTTTCAAGTTGGTCAATCTGTTTCACAACTTCCGAGTCCAATTTAAAAGTACAGTTCAAGTTTTCTTTGATACGAGTGGGTGTCACACTAGATTTTAGGGAAAACGCAATAAGAATTTGCCAATAAGAATAAAGAGTGTTCATACTCACCTCTTTGGAATTACTGAAGTTCCTCTCTGTAAACCCCACGCTAATAATACTTGTGCTGGAGTCTTTCCAAGCTTTTCTGAAATAGAACGAACAACTGAGTCTTGAAGCGGTCCTTCCTTCCCACTACCCAATGGTGAGTATGCAGTCACATGAATTCCTCTACTTTCACAAAACTCTTTCAAATCCTTCCTTTGATTATATGGATGAACTTCAATTTGGTTCACTGCTGGAACAATCTACAAAAAAGAATACAGTCACAATTGCAAACAACACAAATAAACTTTCCTCACCTCACAGTAACTGAGCAAATCAAGCAATTCAACAATTCGATAGTTCGACACTCCAATAGCTTTCACCAAGCCCTGCTTTTGCAATTCTTCCATTGCCTTCCAAGTTTCTTGTAGAGGAACCTTGGCAAAAGCAATTTCTCCTTTTTTGTTCTTAGGGATAGTGTTTTCTTCAGTAATTGGCAAACCAGCAAATTCAAAAGCACAAGGCCAATGCTAGATAAAAAACAGTCTCAGTTCTCCACAAGACAGTCCCACTTAAAAATACTTACTATCAAGTAAAGATCGAGATAATCTAACTGTAGATCCTTCAAGGTTTGCTTACATGCTTCAATAACGTGTTCTTTCTTGTGACAGGTATTCCAAAGTTTCGAAGTAACAAATACGTCACTCCGTTTCACCTTTCCACTGGAAAATATCTCCTTGAAGACTTGACCGATCTCCTTTTCATTTCCATATACTGCAGCACAGTCTATATGACGGTAACCTGCTTCCAAAGCAGTGCGTACAGCTTCACCGACCCGACCGGGTTCCGCTTTCCACGTTCCAAAACCAACTAATGGTACTTTCGCACCAGTATTTAAAACAGCAGCTGGCGTCGCCATCACAAAAATTTCTCAAACTAGAATACTCAATCGTTATGCTCTCTTCTTCTAAAAGGATGTCCAAGCGATTTGAGCCAACTAGTCGCATCGAGACGCTTCCACCCGTTGAATTTGTTTCGGAATATCAACACTGTCCATCATGAATATCTTGCTCAGTAGCAACGATTATTTGTTTTGATTGCAATATAACATTCATAATTATAGAATGCTGATAGGCCAAACATGACAACGAGTTGTCCTTTGCCAAACTAAAAACATATGGGTTGTCAATAATTGAAAAGATATGGTCAAATATCACCCGCTAACTCTCTCGCTTGCTCTAAAGAAACGTGCTACTGGTTACAAACTAATAAAGGGTGGAATTTGGTGGATAATAAATATATATATATATATATATGATACTGAGAAAGTTTTTACTGTAATACAGGAAGGAAAGAGAGAAGACATTTATTTCGTTCTATATGTTGATGCTATTTCGAACAGTGTCTCCCTATTTCATGATGGTTACAAACTTTGTGAACAAATGCTTGTAAAAAAGGAAGAGAATATTAAACGACTCCACTATAATCTTCCGCCATTATCAAGAGTATCAAGGAAGACCATCCACTAAAACCTCTAGTTCTTTGACCATGTCCGTCCACATCCGAATACTGTTCCCAAAAAAACCCAGTTCTTTGATATTCCATGACAATGTTTGAAACCAACTGTTCTCGAATGGTTGAATACAACTGCTTAGCAATTTCCATGTATGGACCTTCCTTCATATATTTTTCATGAAGTGACGCTAAAACCAAATAGTTGATAGGAACCCAAATAGGTCCTGTCCAATATCCATCTCCTCGTTGATAAAATGGATCATTTTTTGACAAGGAGCGCAGCCCATAACCGGAATGTAGTTTGTTGTCATCATCAATCAATTTGAGAATGCTACCAACATATGGTGAATCCACTGGCAGTAAGGCAAGTGCCAAAGGATAAAGTGTGACATATCCTTCATGACAAACACTCTGTCCTTGTCCATCAAAGTCACAAAGCAAATTTCCAACAGAACCTATATCCCCCATGTTTTTAGAAGGACGATGTAAAGGCTCTAACAAAGAAACAAGTCGTTCCGCTCTTTTACTCGCGCTAATTGTTTCCTCGCCTGCACATGGAAGAATATCTGTGGACGCATTCCATGCCCAACTCATCCAACAATGTAAATCCAAATGTCTTTCTCTTTCATTAGGAACCTTCGTTTTGCCTAAGGTTAAAACAATATGTCATTTTGTTTTAGGATATTGTACTTACCAATGCTCTAGGGTAATCATCTAAACCTGACGCAAATGTTAATGGCATATTTCCATTGGAAGCAACTTTAGATGTGTGGCGCCCTATCCATCGATAACCATTCCAATCGCCATTTGAAGAATAAGAAATCTGAGTGTTCTCAAACCATGATAAAATTTGTTGCAAGCGTTGTGACAATACTTTCCACAGAAAATGGCCACAACTGACACGTGAAGAAACCAGTGAAAATTGAGAATATGCATTCTCTTGAGTGAATTTATTAGAATTCACTCGCTGCAACTCTTTGGCCAACCTTCTCAAAGGTAGTAGTAATGTGGGAGGATTGGCTATGTTCGGGTCCTGCATAATAAATTGTTTTACATGCGATGGGAAAAGATTACGTATTTCATCTCCGAGTGCCTTGAAAAGAATAACTTATCCAATGAATAAGCTGTAACAAAATCATAGAAATACCTGTTCCCTTGGAATCCAGCCAGTAGAAGCACAACTTGAAAACCAATATGAGAGACATTCGAAAGAAAGTAAGGGATCCCAAGACGCAATGAGCAACTGGTGAAACCCTTCGTCCCACAAAAAGCCACGAGCAAAAGAATGACGAGAAGGAGTGGCTGTTAGAAGTGATACATTAGGAAGGATTAAATTATTGATATCGTCCTTTGCTCGCTGAGAATTTTGTAGAGGTTCGCTCAACAACGTACTAAAGTATTATTACAGGTTACAATCGAAAAAAAGAAAACAAAAAATATCAAACTATCTCACCTTCCATGAAAGAAACCAATGCCACCCAACACATTTGCTAAAGCATATTGAGCAATCTGAATGGATTCCAAACTATAACCTTTCTTATCCAGTTGATAAGTTTCTTGAAAGTTTCTCTCAAATGCCATTTTCTTGTGCATAAACTTCTCTGTTAGTTTGTCTCCTGTTAGGGCCGTAATTCTGGAAGTCAACCACTCAGAGCCAAAATCGATTTGCGTCATTGTTGGAATAAAGACAAATTCCAGTTCAAATGGCACTGATAGAATGCGTTGTGCTATGCTTAAGGTTGCCTTGTCATCACGATGTTCCTTTAATATAGGAATAGTTCCTGTTCTAGTCTGAAAAGCTTCTTCGACTTCTTCATCATATATCTCGGGTTGATTATCTTCCTTTTCTTGAACAGCCTTAACCTCATCTAATATCGTTTTAATAGCAGCTTCATATTTCCAGGATTCAGTCAAAGGCAAAGATAAAGAGACCGAATATGAATGTGACAAGTCTTGAGACAGTATAGAGCCAAATCCCTTCCTCAACTTTGTTCTTCTCGAAGCTCTTGTCAAGTGAAGTAAACCACTTTTAGGTTGCCTTAATGAGGCATAAAATGGTCCATTGGCTTTCGTGTTTCCTGTCCAATGAATATCTGTCTGCGTGTCTCTACTTTGAAAAGATATGTCATCCAACTGTTGAATAAACCCTAAAGAGTCCTCGTTCGATGCAGATTTACGATGTTTGCCTTGTTCATTAAGTTCACTTAAACGTTCCACAAATGATTCATCTCGTGCGACGAACAAGTAGGGCAAAATACTGATCATCTGAGTTTCTACATTGTTTGATCCAGCCGATAGACTTTCTCCTTTTATTCGAATACCGATTCCTACGTCTGACTCTTTTATCCACTCAAAATGGATTCGTACACCATTGCGCTCTTCTTCTACAATCTCGTGACCATAATTTCTTCCGTCGTGAGCAAGCCAACTGAAACGAGTAACACCATCGTCACCACTACTAACATAATTTCTGAAGAGAAATGAACGATATCCTAAGGATGTCTTTGAGGATCTTACCGAAGACGTTCATAGTCGTTTTCTTTTGACGCTACAAACCATGTAAACCCAAACTGAAGTGAGTTGGGGACTTTTGCGCGCATTCCAAAATAGGTTTGAGGTCTAAAGGTACCCCAGAGATCCACTTGTGAAGCATTTCCAGAGAGTAAATACAGAATATCCGAACCAAGAACAACGTGCGATTCTATAGAAATACAAATAACAAACAATACGACACATAGAAAGTCAAACTTATTGCAGTCAACTCCACCCATTCAAAAGTTCCCTCAAAGAATAATTTCATAATGAAGTTGGCAAGTGTGCTAACCGAAGGCGAATATCGTTTGTTTCAATGGATAGTGTTTCTTGGAGGATCGTTCTACGGAGGCTGGCTACTTTATTCTGACCATAAGAACAGCGCAGTTTATGCTGCTAAGGAAGAAGAATTTATAGCACAAGAAAAGAAGAAACAAAGACCTATGACTGAAGAGTATTGGAGGGAGTTGCAAGAAATCAAGCCTAGAAACTTGGAAGAATTGTACAAGATGAAAGAAGAAAAAGCACGGCAGAGAGCAGAGAAATTCCAAAAGTGGAAAGAAAAGCTTTTGGGTTTATTTGGTTTGAATAGGAATTCTCGTTCGAGTGAGGAAGACAGTTGCTAGACTGAAACTTTTTGTGGGATCTTCCAAGTTAACTTCTAAGTTTCTATTATTATCGTCTCACTTTTCCAAACGGTTTATTTAAAAGTTTTCTCTTATAGAAAGAATACACTATCGAGTCTGCAAGTTGGATCCTATAGATAGCACTGTTAATAATAAATAAGGCGTGCTTGTAATTTACTCCAAATTCGGTTCTCTCTTTTTATGTGGTCATTCAGATAGTAAGTGTATGATTTCCTCATTAGAGCGTCCAGAATAGTTAACCTGAGTTTTCATGGATTTATCTGTCAAATCTAACGCTGAGTTCAGTGGCCAAGAGTCACTATTTGCTCCAGTTGTCTTTCTTTTCTTGCAACAGCTTTGTTCTGTGCCAAGCATGACGTCACCATCTTCGCATAACTTGCGTTGCTGTGAAATGATTACCTCTCTATCAATAGGTTCAAGTACCTGAACTAGATATCTTTGGAACTAATCAATGACCACTACATTATTGCTTTCAACGATACTTACTGTTCAACTTCGAGAGTTTCTCCTGGAACTAGTGACTTTGAATGCAAAGTGGTCGTTAAAATTAAAAGACCATCCTCGTCAAAAAGTTTTACTCTGCTCTTCGAGACGGCTGTTCCTTCTTTGTATTCCGCATGTAGACTACCATCCTTCCATTTCTTATGTTTTTGTGTTTTTTGCTTGGTATATAGTGCCTCAAAACTTGTAATCTCCAAACTTTGACTTGTCATAAGAGCATTTTTCTTTGATAATGGTTCAGAAAAAAGGCGCCAATTTCAAGAAATGGACAAAAAGAAATCACACAATCCTTTTTATTTCCCCTTTTCATCCAATTTGACTTAACACTCGTTCTGCTGCCGAAGTTTCAGTAAATGAAGTACCATTTTCCAAGTTAAGATTCTTAACAACACCATTCTCAACGTAAGCTGAAAAACGTCTGGCACGCCGACCTCCAAAATTTCCTGTGTTTACACTCAAACCCAACTCCTCCAAGACAGCTCCACTACCGTCTGAAAGCATCAAGATCTTTCCGTCTACTCCTTTTTGCTTTGCCCAGGCGTTCATCACATAAGGGTCGTTGGCGGCCAAACAAATAACTGTGTCTATTCCTTTTTCCTTGAACTTGTCAAAGTTCTCCGCAAATCCTGGAAGATGCTTGTCCGAACAAGACGGAGTAAAGGCTCCTGGAACACCAAATATCACTACTTTCTTCCCATTAAAAATTTCTGAAGCTTTCATCTCCTGCGTTTGTAAAATTTTGAGCACCAACCACTACAGGTTTTCAAGAAAAGTTTCCCTACCTTTACTTGACCTTCTTGCAACGTTGTAAAAGTAACATCTTCAGGAAACCTTGATCCGTTAGATATTATCATCATGAGGTTTATCTGCCTTGGAAAAGCTGAGGATACATAGATAACCATAAAAGGTCGTCGGTTACCTTGGTAGCGACTTTTGAAGTATTGGTTTCTGAAAAGTGTTCCCATAAAAGCTGACCTGCTTTGAACCAAATAAGAATGTAGTTCGTTTACATATTGAAACTGCCTTTTCTCTGTGAACTCCAACAACTACAGGAGAATGCAAGCCACAAACAAAACCACAAACCATGATAGTATTCTTCAAAATAATCGACTGATAATTCACAAATCAACCTATCTTCACTAATGGAATGATAGTCTTTCCAACATAAGCAAAATGGAACAAGTTGTATATAAAATATTCTAAAATGAATGAGTCGTCTTGTTTTCTTTGCTTCTCTCCACTTTTGTTGCTCATAAAAGCATCGAGATTCTCATTTAGTCACTAGGATATTTCTTTATTTTACAATCAGTACAAGTTCTCTTCAAATGAAAATGCACTTTGTCATACAATGTATATACAACGCCTCTGCTATGTGTTATTATGTAATTATTTCTTCGATATCATTAAGAACCATATTTGGGAACTTTTTCTAGTAGAAAAGCTATTTCGTAGATAAGATGCTCTGCGAGAATAACTCGATTGCAACCGAGTGAAAAACAATCTTCGGGTAAGAAACGACAGCATTTGTCACGTCTGGTAAATCCTTCCTTATAGAATGAAGCCCATAAATGCGTATTGTGATGAAAACTTAAAGTAAAAAATAACATAACCATTTCATAGTCAGTTGGGCTACTGTGATCAGGAAATTCCTTACCAATGTCTCTCCAAAATGAGCTCATCAATAGATTGAAAACTTTGTCGTGGCATAAATGGAATGCCTTCCTTTCTAGAAGGAAACAAATCCTCAAAACTCTTGTTCCAACGGGGATCAAAACCCAAAACACTAAGAAAAGGAATCTCGTTGGGAATAGAAAGTAACATTCCTGTCACAACATCGGCGACACGGAGAATAACTTGGTTTGGAATATTCTTCAAGTAAATGAAAACAAGATCGAATTTCGCTATCCTTTCATACTCTTTTTCGTAAGTATGACACAGCAATTGACAGCAACTGTGCCAAAGTCGTTGAGTCAATGAATCTTCGTCTTTCTCTGCTAATAGCAACAGATTGAAAGGAGAAAGTTGACTTTTGTGTTCCAATAGGTTCTCATCTGTAGTGAGAACTGCCGTTCGAAGACCAAATATAGTATCCCTATCCCACAAGTCCATCTCAGAGAACTTTAAGTTTTTTTCAACAAAGCCTACGAAGGAAAGTTTTTCTTGTGTTGATATCGATTCCATCTCGACAATCCAGAAACTTGCAGAAAGCAAGAGTCCTTTATTGAGAACTGAGGAGTAACATTCTCAAGTTCATCATACTCATACAAGGCACATATACCGGAGCAACCCAACTCGGCAATTCGGTCTAGATAAATGTCAAAAGTATTGAAATTCAACAAGAACAACTGCATACCCAGGTTTTCATATTGACTCTTTAAAAGAAAGTTGGAAAGGTCAAGTCCGTGTAATATCCATACAATACTCATTTCTTTCCTGATTGAGAAAAGGATTGGCGGATGATAATGTCATCCACTGTTGAAGATACAAAACACTTACCTTACGAAGAACCTCCACAATTGTCTTCAGAGGACTTGGAAACTCATATTCATTTAGAAGAAAAAAATGCTTCGCAATCCTTTCAAGGCGAGTTGAGAGTAAGAAGAGCACAGAAGAAACTCCTAGTCGCTACCGTTCTTTGTGCTTCATTTATGTTTGCGGAAATCTTGGGAGGATATTTGGCAGGCTCACTAGCTATTATGACTGATGCCGCTCATTTACTTTCAGACTTTGCAAGTTTTGTTATATCTTTGGTTGCCCTGCATCTTTCAAAACGACCAGGAAGCACTACTATGAGCTTTGGTTATGCTAGAGCTGAAGTTATCGGTGCTTTTGTAAGCATTCTTTTAATATGGTAATACTGAGCGGATTATATACCCTATTTTATTTATTACTAAACGAGGGTTATTTGAAAGGTCTCTTTCCGGTATTCTTCTGCTGGAAGCTACCAGACGTATTATGAAGCCTCAACCAGTAGATGGCCGTCTCATGTTTGCTGTTGCCTTGATAGGACTAGTCGTCAATCTTGTCATGGGTCTAGTATTGGTATGGAAGTATATATTTATATTTATGAAGGAATATTCATTTCAACTTGTTAGGGACACAAACACGAACATTCCCACCATCGTAACACTAGTCGCACTCGTAAAAGTCCCAAAGAGGAACAACGTCCTCTCTTGTTGGAACATAACGAGGATATGCATTCAGATGTGTCTTCAGAGCACAGTCGTGAGAGTTCTTTTCATAATCAACTCAATGAACAACCAAATGTAAATGTCACAGCAGCTTATATTCATGTACTTGGTGACGCCATTCAGAGTCTGGGAGTTTTGTTTGCAGCTTTACTTATTTGGTTCTTTCCAAATATGCAAATTGCAGATCCTTTATGTACATTTCTTTTTACTTTCATAGTGCTATTTACTACTTTTCAGTTGATTGGAAATACGTTAAATGTTCTTATGGAAGGAACTCCACCAGGAATTAGTCTTGTTGAAGTATATGATTGCTTATGTTCCATTCCTGGTGTTCAAGAGGTTGACGATTTGCATATTTGGTCAGTCACAGTGGGCAAACCGGCACTATCTGCTCATGTCAAAGCAAGTGAAATGCATCACACTTTATTAATGGCACAAGAGATTTTACGAAAACGTTTTGGGATAGTTCATTCAACTATTCAAGTGAATTGTGATCAAGAATGTTGTACAGATAGTTATTTGGGTTTAAGTGGTCAGATGAATTGTTTAAACACTTCAGAAGTAGAAAATGTTCGAAGAAATGGAGTTGCAGGATAAAACTCACTTTCTTTATGAGCGCTTCTCTAATTTTTGCTGGATGACGAATATGATTGGAATATTATATCTAACAAATTTAAGGCAGCTTTTCTGGGAGATATGGCACCCTTTGCAAGTTGTTGTTCCAAATTAGGTAATTCCTTTTGAATACTTGTTTGGCGTTTCATTCTAGGAACAATCGACTCGCGGATGACTGACCACATCCATCGACTTCTTTGCTTTCCCTATATGATACGATGTTGATATGGAGATAATCGTAGTATTATGTATATCTTACTCACTCTTTCAGCAGTTAGGACTCCATTTTGCGTGATCAATTGATGAAACTGAGTGGCTTCCTTCCAAATATCGACAGGTGAAAGTATAGGAGACGAGGTTGACCAATGATCTTCTGATGACATCTCTTGAGCTGCATTTGGTTCCATTTTCTTTTCTATACAACTGCATAATAAAACTGGAGTCTTCCAAAAGGATAGACGAGGTTGTTGGAGTTCAATGGCACTTAAATATTCTTGTCTGGTCTTTGCAGCCATCAGTTTAGTACTTCCGTCCGCACGATTCACCACAACAATATCAGCAAGTTCAAGAATTCCTTTTTTGGATCCTTGCAACTCATCTCCAGCACCAGGAGATACCAACAATATTAACATATCGACTGCGTCTGCAACTGCAGCTTCTGATTGTCCAACTCCTACAGTTTCAACTAGAATAACTTCATATCCTGCCTAAAATTGTTTTGCAAAATAATACAGTTAAAGCTCATATATTGCAAGACAATAATACCCAACCGTTTCACATAAAGTGATGACTTCATCGGTATGCCTTGCAAGTCCTCCCCAAGTACCTCCACTAGGTGAAGGTCTCACATAAGCATTCGGTTCCGTAGCTAACTTGTTCATTCTTGTTTTATCTCCTAATATTGAGCCACCTCTGATGATAGAACTAGGATCCACAGCTAGAACTGCTACCTTCTTGTTCAAGTCTCTGGTTATATGACAACCAAGTGACTCTATAAATGTTGACTTGCCAACACCAGGAGAGCCACTGATTCCAACTCGAAAAGTTTCCTTTGTACTACCTCGAAGTGCAATACATCGGTCAAGCAACTCTGCCGCAAGTTGACTATGTTCCAGCTTTCTCGACTCGGCCAAAGTGATGGCTCTTGCTAAAGCGTAAGTTTTTCCAGCAACTACGTCACGACTAAATTGTTCCAAGTCCAGCTTGGTGTTATCCGTTCGTAACTCTAACGTTGAAGATAGCCATCTACAAGAATAATGAGGAACGACATTTCTATAACGTTCTTTTAGATAACACCATATCTGTCCTCCAACTAGTCGAAGCATGTAATAGAATGAATTCAAGTATGGAAAAGTCAGTCTTAAGATGAAACTTCGTTCTAGTCGAGTCACCTTGGAAGCATTTAAAAGTTGCATAACGCTGCTAGAAAAGTTGCAACTCCAAGTAGAACTTGACAAAAATAGGAACCGAACAAGTACTTCTTCAGAACGACTTGAAGAAAAACTGCAAGATTACCAGTCGTTGTTGAGTACTCTCGAAGCTACTAAAGTACACTTTTGAGTTGTTTTGGACTCTCATTTGACTGCAAATATTTGTTTTAGGAACTTGTCGAACCTTTAGTTCAGTGTGAGTTGGAAATAGTTGGTGTCAACTTTGTAGAGCCCAAGAATGGTCCAGCTAACGGTTTCGACACACTACTCTATATTTTACATTCGTTGTTGTGTAAAATAAGAAACCTTTGTGAAAAACTATTGGATTCTCCAAGTGGTTGGAAATCGTTGTTTCAGAAAAGGAACATCTTGGAAAAGGTATGGAAGTGTTTAAGCTCTATCAAGTGCCACAAGAGTTGTTGGATTTAGCTATTAGCAAGACACGAACAACTGCGTTCTTTTTATGCAATATTGTATCTCGCTATCAAAATGAAGGAGGCAGTTGACGTTACTCAGGTATGTATTTGGAACAAGATGTTTTGTTGTTTGACTTTTTCTGGCAGACGCTTTTGGTGAGTGAAAAGATACATCCAGATTTTACCCTGAGTCGATGGAAACAAGTAGTAAGTTATATAGAGTAATAACAAGTGAAGAATTCTTATTGATAAGCAAGGTCAAAACGGATGCATTTTTTGGTCGATACTTTGGTTTTCATTATCAGTCGGATATTCGCCAATTGTTAAGAATGACTTTGGTTGCTAAGGAAACTATACATAAGACTTATGAAGGGTGTCAAAAGGAACCCAAATTCAAGACCATTTCTGTTAGTTGTTTCTGCTATTTATAGATTTACTATGAACTTTTGGTAGTTATTGGGTTGGGGTTGGTTTTATAGTCACTTGCAAATGTTCGAACAGTTAGGTTTAGATGTGAAACATGCAAAGCAATTGGGAATAGAATTGTCGAGCCCTCCAACTATCGGTGAGTTTTGTCGACTCTAGAAATATTGTATTCTTATTCAAAATCAATCCTTTTTCTAATTAGAGCAAATTCGGGCTTTTTGGAATTTAATAGAAGAGCCATTTTTAGCTGGTTTAACACAGTTTGTAAGTGCAGATGTTTCAACTGATAAGACTTTTTGCATTCCTCCGCCTTGTTTGCATTCTTTGCGTCGTTTTGAGGAAAATCTATCTGCATCACAGTGAGGAAGATAACTTTCCATACTCCAATCATTTGTTGATGTTTTGTATTCTAGTTTTCTACGTCTCCCTTCCTCAGAGGTTCGAAATCCTGTACAAATTCGATACATTAGTTATCATTGGCGAAATATTTCTGAAGATACCATTCAGCAAAGCGATGCTGTACAAGTATGCAAACAAATCTTTTCAGACACTGACGCAAAGAATTTCTAATATGTTTCTTCAGAAAATGGAAATGGAAGACTCGAAGCTTGTTTCTTCTGGTTTAACAGAAAAATTATCTCATCAAATGAAGAATATTGGAGTTTCATGGGATGGCTGGTTAAGAAATAAAGCAAATGATCCTGCCAAAGGTAGTTAAATATTGTTACACTACAATAATGAATGAAATTTCTCAATTCTTGCTTTGTTCCTAGGATTGATAGTCCATATTCATGGAGGTGGTTTCATAGCTCAGAGTTCCTCAAGTCATTCAATTTATTTAAAAGAATGGGCCGTAGATCTTCCCAATTCCTGTATCGTATCGATTGATTATAAATTATCACCGGAACACAAGTAAGTTATGTAGCCTGAAATGATAAGGTACTGAATGAATTGTCAGATATCCTGTTGCTCTTGAAGAATGTACTTATGTTTACACTTGGCTATTAGAGCATCATGACTTGTTATGCACCACAGCAGAACGCATTGTCGTTGTTGGAGATTCTGCAGGAGGAAACTTGGCACTTGCTATGGTTTTGAAGTTGCTGACTCGTGGACTACGAATCCCAGATGGTTTGAACTAGTCAAATGTTACTTATGTTAAAATTGAAAATATTGTTCTAGGAATTGTTTTGGCATATCCTGCTCTTTATCTATTTCCAGCATGGTCACCATCTCGACTCTTGTCTTTGTTTGATCCATTGTTACCTGCTTCTGTTTTGGAAATTTGTATGAAAGCGTAAGTTGTTCATAAATTGTCTCGATTTTTACTAAACACAAAGTTTCTAGTTATTTACCTGAAAATGTCAATGCATACGAAGATGTATTTGTATCTCCTGGAATGGCTTCGGATACTTACTTGAAAAAGCTGCCTTCTCTTTTAGTCATAGCTGGTGGTTTAGATCCTTTACTGGATGATTCAGTAGTATTTGTTCATCGCTTAAGACGATGGAGAGAGTATGTAGAGCATAATGACAAGTTATTTTTGAATGATGCCCATTTTTAGAGATACAGAAATACAAATATTTCCCAATCTTCCTCATGGATTCTTAAACATGGGACTAGTAAGTATTTCGGATATTTTGGATTTGTTATAATGACCATATAATATATATATATTAAATATATATATATAATCAAGGTTGTACCTCAGGCATTGGAAGCAATAAGACTTGTATCCAAATGGTTAGCAATACATTTGCAAGTAGAATGGTGCGGCAATACATCATAAATATTTCAAGTACAAACTACGAATAACAAACTCTTTATTCCATAGCTCCTGCAATGAGTTTATTTTGTTCTGCCTCATGAACTTTAGGCAAACCTGTCGCAGGTGCTGCAGAAGGTGGTCTACCAACATATTTCACGGACCTTCCGGATTTCTCCAATTCACGAATGGTAGTTTCCAGTCGAGGTTTCACATAGAACCAAGCGCCCTTTCTCACTTATCAATAAAACACACTTTTATAAAAAGGTCAAGTGACTTACCATATTCTTGCTCTCTTCTTGACACCAAACCACTTGAGCATTAGGATACTTTCCTATTTCCGAGGAAACCTAGTACAACATGAATATCTTCTGAGATTTCATAAAAATGGTATCTTACTCGATCAAAGGGAAATGGTGCCAACTGCTCTATTCGACAGATAGCAATGTCTTTGATTTCTCGCTTTTCTCGAGCATCCAACAAATCATAGTAAATTTTACCACTACAAAAGATCAACTTTCGAATATCTTTGTCCGAAACCAAATCACTGCTCTTTTCTGATATAACTCGTTGAAACAACCTATCGGGAAGAAATTCTTCCAAATCACTCTTACACCGAGGATGACGCAACAAAGATTTAGGAGTCATCAAAATTAATGGTTTACGAAACTAGAAAGAAAACCCAGTTCCAATATTTTGTACAAAATATTAAAATGCTTAGTTACCTGTCTGTGAATTTGACGACGAAGTATGTGGAATAAGTTTGCAGGAGTCGAACAATTGGCAACTTGCATGTTGCACAGTTGAATCTGACGAGTTCGATCGGTATGCATCTCAGGAATGACATCAGGATCATCGTCACATAATTGCAAGAATCTTTCTAGCCTTGCTGAAGAATGCTCTGGACCTTGACCTTCCATTCCATGTGGTAAGAATAAGGTAAGTCCAGACTGACGCCTCCATTTCCTTTCTCCTGCTGCCAAAAAAGTATCTATAATGACCTGAGCACCATTACTAAAATCTCCAAATTGAGCTTCCCATATCACAAGAATATTAGGACTTTCTAAAGAATATCCTAATTCAAATCCCACAACACCATATTCCGAAAGACTCGAATTGCAGACTTGGAAACGAGCTTGAGTCATTCCCAAATTATTTAAAGGAATATGGACTGCTTCATTTTCCTAGACGAGAAAACAAACAAGTCAATCCATATAAAGCTATTTAAGAATGTACAATCTCTCACTTGATCAATCCAAACAGCATGACGTTGTGAAAACGTTCCTCTTTCACTATCTTGACCACTTAGCCTAACACTTGTTCCTTCTGTCAATAGAGTACCGATGGCCAAGGCTTCGGCAGTCGACCAATCAATTCCCTTTCCACTCTCAATGCATTTTCTTCGTTCGTTGATAATACGAGTCAATTGATGATGCAACTAAATATACAAAATGAATAGATGAGCTTCTTTAAACTTCCATTCGACATCCAACTTACATGAAATCCTTCTGGAACAGTACAAATAGCTGCTCCTAGCTTTTTCAAAGTTTCTTCTTCAACACCAGTGGGTTGTATTTTACTCAATTGCTTTTCCGTCTTGAATCCTTCCCATAATGAAGACAACCAATCGTGTTCTTTTGGAACCCAATGTTTTGAATTTTCAAAAGCTTTCTGTAGACCACCGTTGGTTGCCTTTACCATCTTTTGATATTCCGATTGCGAAAGAACTTGTTCTTTTATCAACCTCTCTGAATAGATTGTCAAAATACTGGAGTGCTTTTGAATAGTTTTGTACATTCGAGGCTGAGTGAATCTGTACAATTTACGTTAGACAACAAAACTATTTCAGTCCAAATAAGAACTTACGTAGGTTGATCACCTTCATTATGACCATGTCTACGATAGCAGAATATATCCACAATAACATCTTTACCAAAGGTTTGTCTAAAGTCCACTGCCAATAAACAGCATCGAACCACAGCTTCCGTATCATCTCCGTTTACATGAAAGATAGGCATACCAACCGTCTTGGCTACATCAGTTGGATACGGAGAAGAACGAGCATGACGAGGGTCTGTTGTGAAGCCAATCTGATTATTTACTACAATATGTACAGTACCTCCAGTGGTGTAGTCTCTCAGATCACTGAATTCTAAAGTCTCTTGTACAACTCCCTAAATATATACCGTCAGTGTAAATATATTCATGACTAACGAGAGATAAATTACTTGTCCAGCAAATGATGCATCTCCATGTAATAAGAGGGCCATGGTATGCTTTCTTTCAGTATCTCCTGTAAAATATTGTTTAGACCTCGTCTTGCCAACAACTACAGGATCAACAGCTTCCAAATGGGATGGATTTGCAACCAAAGAAAAGTGCATTGATTTGCCTAGAAAATATTTTAACATTACAAAAATCCATCAAACTATAGGACTTGGCTTGTAACAAGTAATCTTTACCATTTCTCAGCTTTCGAGTGTTGGATGTTCCTAAATGGTATTTCACATCCCCACTTCCTTGATAAGTCTCTCCAAAAGGATCATCATGAGGATAAAACTCATGAAGAATCTTTTCAACTGGCGAACCAATAATATTGGCCAAAACATTCAATCGTCCTCGATGAGGCATACCAATAACAACATTCTCAATTCCCAAATCAGAGCCACGCTCTAAGAGAGCCTGTAAACCGGGAATTAAGCTTTCAGCTCCTTCCAGTCCAAACCTTTTTGAAGTAGGAAATTTAATCGCAAGAAACTTCTCAAAGAGCTCGGCATCTGCTAAATCCCTTAAAACTATTCTCTTCTGTTCAACTGAAAAAGGTGAAAATTCCTTTTCTATCCTTTCTGCAATCCAATCTTTCTCCACTTTGGACAGAATATGACGATATTCAATACCAATAGTACCACAATAAGAACGTCGCAGCATTTGTACAATATCACGCAAACTCCTTATCTGTTCAACCAAAATAATAAATAAATAGAACATCAGTTACCAGAAAATTCGGAGATAGCACACAACTCATACTTACATCCTTCCCAGGTAACTCTCCATTCAAAACAAAATCTCTATCCATGTCTGCTTCTGTAAAGCCATAAGAAGAAGGTTCAAAGTCTCTCTTTGTTCCAGATGGTATGACTTTTTTATAGAAGCCCAACTCTTCATCCAGTTTTAGAGGATCCAAATCAGCTATAAGGTGTCCACGATGACGATACGCCTTGATAAGTGCCATTACCTTCACAGTGTCACTAGCAACCTTTAAAACATCTTCCTGAGAGGATGCACTGGGACTAGACAAACCACCCTTTGCAGTTTCCAATGCACGAGACATTAGAGGTACAGCTTCTCCAGGGGCCACTCCTCTATCTACATTGGAGAAAAATTGTCCCCAACTAGCGTCAACCTTGACAACAAAGATCAGTATTTGGTCAACTTTTGCAATCTACAGAAATACCGAAGATGGGTCTGCCAACCACCTCTCATACATATCTTCCAATACCACGGCATTTGTACCAGAGAGAAATGATTCAGAAGGGTCTAATTTAGAGCCTTCTACTCTTGGTGTTGCTGTTGGTTCTGACGCCAAAGCAGTTGAAAAAAACTTTGGGAAAATAAAGGAACGGTGCCCGGACTTGGCTTTCTTCAACTCTTGTGTAGTTGCTGGTAAAGCCTGGTTGAAAGAGACGTTAGAAACACTTAGAAGCTTTTAGTGATGCACAAGGTGAACCAAGTTTAAACCTTACTCTTGCGGCTTTATTCCATAGGCACGGAAAGTTGTGATTCTAGCTTCTCCACTGGTACCTTTTAAAAATGGTCGTTCTAGAGACACAGTTGCACATAAACGCTTCGCAAACATTATTATATTTTCCTTTTTTTTAAACCAAACCAAACCAATATTCTAATGCTATCGGTGGTAGAAAACACATCGGCTCACCAAGCGAAAATGCTTCCATTGAGAATTTGACGTAAACATTTCTCACGTGGACAACTTTGCAGTTTTGGACATTCAAAAACGTTCGTTCAGTCTAGCTGCAATGGTCCGAAGTTTATTGTGTATTTTTCCAGGTGGAGAACCTAAACATTAAGCAAAGTCAAAAAAGTTGCATCTTGATAATTGAAAATGAAATACCGAGAATAAGACTGACGACGGCATTCTTTGCAAACTGAATGTTCTGATATGAGCCTAATATATGCACTCTAGTATCAGTCAATACTATTCGAGTCTTTGTTGCATTCTCTATTGTAAACTTCATTCTTCCATCTTTTCCAGCAACTCTACCAATAGCTCGAGAGTGGTGGTCTCCGTGTAGAGGTTTCACATCACGAATTTCAAACGTATCCAGAAACAAGTCGTCCAAACGAATCAACGCCAAGGCATCGGAAACTTGAAATCCAACAAGGAATGCCCGAACAAACTCTTCTCCTTTTTGGAGAGCTCCATAGTCGTCGGTTTCTGGGCCGTTCTATTTTAAACACGAATCAGTAGAGACTCCTAAACAAGTTTCAACATAGCAGTTACCTTGAGTTCCACCATTCTTGACTTCAAATTCATTCTGACTTGTAGTTTGAGATGCTTCACTAAAGGCTCATATATCTTTAACCAAGACTGTTTCAATGGAGTATATCGATTGGCAGGCACTGGAATTTTGCGTATTTCTGGTTGTTCAGTCTATGCAAACAATATAAGAAAAAAAATCAAAAGAGAGAAATACATCTTCCTCACAGCTATTCTATTACGTTCCTTTATAGGGGGAAACTTGGGTTTATAAACAGTTTTGCTGTTGTTCGTTAGTTTCTCAGCCATGATGGACGACATGCAGTTGCGCTCGTTTGGACGATAATCACCGTTTGCTCGCACAACTTCAATTGTTGAGAATTTTAACCCTTTAGGAAAATTTTTTGGGTTTGGTTTGACAGCCAAACGTGCTCTTTGAAAATATAGCTATTCTATGGAGAAGCTCATTCCTGCAGTTAATAAGCTACAAGATGTATTTGGACAGCTGGGACTTGACTCTCCTGTTGACTTGCCCCAAATAATGGTGGTTGGAAGCCAGAGTTCTGGAAAGTCTTCTGTGTTGGAAGCCTTTGTGGGAAGGGACTTTCTTCCTAGGGGTTCCGGAATTGTGACAAGGAGGCCAACTATTGTTCAAATGATACAAACAAAACCTGATAAGCTAAAGGGGGAACAAGAAGAAGTGGATAAAACAGTTGAGAAAAAGGGTAAACAGCAAGAAGACGAAACAGGAAAGGACACTGTAAGTTTGGTTTTCGTTCCAAAAACATGTTTTATGCATTCATCTTGTGTTAGAAATATGGTGACGAATGGGTAGAGTTTTTACATATCCCTAATAAGCGCTTTTATGATTTTGAGCAAGTTCGACAAGAGATTGAAGCTGAAACTGACCGTACAACCGGAAAGAACAAAGGAATTTCCCCAAAACCAATCAACTTGAAAGTTTATTCTCCCAACGTTGTTGACCTTACAGTGGTGGACCTTCCCGGTTTGACAAAGGTTCTTTACTTTATGGTTCTTGTAGCCAGCTGTACTAAAGAGCAGTATGATAGGTTCCCGTGGGAGATCAACCTGATGATATCGAGAAACTGATTCGGGCTATGATTATGTCATATATTGAAAGACCCAACGCTATTGTTCTAGCAGTTCATCCCGCGAATGCTGATTTGGCTACCTCCGATGCGCTGCAAATGGCAAAGGTTGGGTTATTATCAAACCTTACTATTTTCTTTTTGCTTAACAACTTATTATTGGTAGAGTGTGGACCCCGAAGGTGATCGTACTATTGGTGTTATTACAAAGCTCGACTTGATGGACAAAGGAACCGATGCTTTAGAGTGGCTGCAAGGAAAAGTATACAAATTGAAGAGAGGATATGTAGGCGTTGTGAACCGATCACAAGCAGATATCAATTCGCACAAAACAATTCAAGAGGTGAGATAGATATGTTTCCTGTTTTTTTCAGTTAATTCATATTCTTGCTTTGTTTCGAGTATAGGCTAGAGAAGCTGAGAAACGGTTCTTTAAAGAACATCCAGTTTATAAGAATTTTGCGGACCAAATGGGTTCAGAATATTTAGCAAAGAAACTTTCAGGATTGTTGATGGACCATATACGCAAATGTCTTCCGGATTTACGAACCAAAATCAACTCTCAGTTAAAGGAGAAACAGAAGGAGTTGTTGAAATTGGGTAAGTGAATGCGCTAAACTTTTCTATTACTCCTTTTAATATGCTTCCACATGTCAGGTTCTGCCCTTGGAGATAATGAAGATATTGGAGCTGCATTACTCAGTATAATCAATCACTATGCAATGGAATTTAATCAAGCTTTAGAAGGAAAAGCACATGAAGTGATTTCCGCAACTGAATTATATGGTGGTGCTAGGTAATTTTTATTGAAAACTATTTGCAAAAGACTCACTATTCTTGAAAGAATCAATTATATATTTCATGATATTTATGCTAAAGAGCTGGACAAAATGGATCCTTTTGAAGACTTGACTTTGGATGATATGAGAACAGCTATTCGGAATGCAACTGTTTGTATTCGCTTTAAGATCCTAAAAGTATATCTTGCTTACTTTTTATGAAGGGACACCGTTCTTCGTTATTCATTCCAGAATACGGCTTTGATTTACTTATTAAGAAGCAAATAGAAAAGTTCAATTTACCTGCCCAGACTTGTGTAGATTTGGTATATAATGAACTGCAAAGACTAGCAGTTGCTTTAGACCATGATGACTTGGCAAGATTTGAACGTTTGGAATCACGTTTGGGTGAAGTGACAGGAGACTTGCTGAGACGACTCAAAGAGCCAACCTCTCAAGTGGTTTGTGTCACTATTGGCAGTATAACAGTCACGAACTGACGAGAGTTCTTAATAGGTTGCCGATTTAGTGGATATGGAGATTTCCTATATCAATACTCGTCATCCAGATTTTATTGGAGGCAATCGAGCCATGACAAAACTATTTCGTTCCATGCAAGCAGCAGAAGAGCGACAACGTGCTGCAGCTGCTGCTGCTCAGGGTCAACCGCAAAATATGCCACAAGGAAGTGGATATCCGCCCAATTCTTCACAACAGTCTCCACCACAAGGTTCTCCTACTGGACCTGGAGGAAGAGGTCTTCCACCACCTAATCAACAACAGCAACCACAGACAACGGGTCGTCCTTCCTTTCAGGGACCGCGTCCACAGCAAAATGCTACTGGAAGTGGTCCTCAATCAGCACAACCACAGCAAGCTACTAATCAACCTTATAACTACTATAGTGGACAACCCAACAATAATGCTACCGAAGAAAATGCTGTGGATGAGCAAGATAAGAAGCTTGAAGATGGAGCTGATGATATTAGCTTGTATAATGTTCCAGAGCACATAAAGGTAAGAAGAATGTTGTTCTATTTGAGATCGTTGGTTTTGCTAACTATACAATAAATAGGCTGGAAATGGCCGTCCATTGAATGAAAGAGAACATATGGAAATCGAAATGATACGGACTTTGTTACAAAGCTATTTTGATGTGGTCCGAAAGAATTTGCAAGATTATGTGCCCAAAGCCATTATGAAATTCTTAGTTCTCAAAGTGAGTCTATCAAGTTGGTTCTCGTACCAAGTTTTTTTTGCTAATTTTTGTATATCAAGTTCCGAGATGAGTTACATAGTGAATTGGTGACGAGCTTATACAAGGAAGATAATCCAGATGAACTTTTACAAGAGTCTTCGGAAACTACCGAAAGACGCAAGGAATTGAGAAAGATGATTTCTATCCTCAAACGAGCCAGTCAAGTAATCAATGAAGTGAGAGAATCGGAGAATGCTGAATCATAAAGATATTTGAGTAACATCTGTAAAGTTTTGTGGTTTTATATAAACAAGAAAAACTCAATTTGCTAGTTAACTAATGTTTCTTCCCCTTTTTGTTTAGAGCTTCTTCCGGATTCACTTCGCCATGTCTTAATACCGATAAAGGTGCAGGTTCGTCTCCGTGCTTGGTGTATAGCAGGTTGGCTTTCAAATGATTAACATCTCGATGATTTGCTTCGTCTGCCCTTACTGCCAATACTACATCTCTTAAACGTGCATCGCTATCCAACTGCCAATAATCGATAGCAATCTGTGGGGCCTATTATGTCTTCAGGTCACTCATTCCGTAATAAATCTTTCAAACACTACTTACAGGAATATTGGCATGCAAACCACTATCAATTCCTTTTAGATATTCGGTATAGGATATGATTGCTTCTTCTTCCAAATAACCAACAATACGATGAGCAGTTTTCGGAGACCTAGTAATCTCATTCACAGCGAAAATCGCTCAGAGCAAAACACAACTTACAATATATAAATCATGGTATAAAAGGCAAAGAAGCCACCTTGTGTAATGAGCACTAACAAACGCTCAAAATAATTTGGCTTTGCAATGGACATAAATGTCACTAGATGCATTCTTTCATTCTCCGCTTCATCTAAAAGTACTCGTATCCAACCTCCTGAAGGTGCGAATCTTCTAAGGCATCGAAAGTGTGTCAGCATACCGCCTACCATTCCAGGCACAGCTGCTACAGTTTCTAATACAACAGCTCGGTGCCCATATCGCTTTTGGAAAAAAGCGTCGGCAAAGAATCTCAAAAATTTCACGATTCCCAAGGCGACTCTGTCTCTAAAGTCCAACGGAGTATGATGCCTTTGAAGGTCTATGCTCAGATTGGGTTTGTAAGTGTGTTCTGGAAGAAAACTTCTCCACTAGCAATATCCAAGTTTAAAGAACAGAGACATCATAAACATAGTCGAGTTCTTACCTTCCAAGGATATTTGGGATCCCTTTTATCCAAATTTTCTACTACAGGCTGATACGGTGTTATGGGCTCCTCAACTTGAGACCCCTGCTGTGTTTTCTGTTCTGAATATGAACGACTCCAAAGTGGATACGAGGCTCTCTGTATATCTTTGATACCCTTCTGGATACTTGTCCACTGCACAGGAGTATAAACTTTATAATACTTTATCGCAGAATAATTTGCATTTTGTGACAAAATATTTCTTCCAAACGGTGCAATACGTTTCACGAGTTGACGAAACAACATTTCAATAACAATCGCTAAATGGAAAATAGAAATTGTTTTAAAGGTAAATTTGTGTGTAAGTTGTGACATGAGAAGATGAATTGGACGAGTGGATATTTTCAGTACTCTTCTTACGAGTGTTGTTTTGTTTTCCATGTGGAGTTTCCTTTTCCAATAGAATATGCTTATTTGAAAGCAGCTTTCAGTAGAGACAGCCATCTGTCATAATAGTTATCAAACATACCTGGAACTCTTCCCTCCTGGAATAGGTTGAGTGAATTTTTGAATGGAATTTTCTGAGTCTCTAGTTGTACTGTTAGAAAGCAAGTATGGTCTCCAAACGATTGTCGTCCATTTGACGATAACTTTTGTCATCTGGTAGATAGTCTTGTCTAAAAGAGAGACTTGAAGCTTGTTTGTCACAAGTAGAAGAAAATGATTGAATTGGAGTTCATTTTTGTTGTGTCGAAATCCAAATTTGTTGTCTTTATATGAAAATAGCTTTCGATTGCAACAACTGTGAAGTCGTAAAAAGAAAGTGATTCTTGCTTCCATAAACAACCATTTTAGCCAATTAACTAATTAGAATGTCAATTGACGTTGCCATATAAAGTGAAAAGAGTAAAGAACAAGTTGTTTCATAGACTTTCAGGGAACATAAGGATACAAATAAGTCTTCGCACACAACATTTAATGACTTGATTTCTCTTGAGTTGTTTCAAGGTATGCTACTTCATCCATCAACTGATCTAGTTCTTTAGGATTTTGAATCTACAATAAAAATGATCAATTTATAGCAATAGATGATCCGATGGGATATTTGTTACGCACCTTGAGTTTGATTAACCATCCTTCACCTAAACTATCTTTGTTTATCAAAGAAGGATCTTCTTGTAGCTTGCTATTGATATCTAAGACTTGCCCAGATACGGGAGAGTACACATCACTTGCAGCCTATATAGTGATAGAATATTGATCAAATAGAATTCGTCTCTTAGTTTGCTACCTTGACAGATTCGACAGCTCCAAAGGTCGATTTTGCTTCTAAATCAAGTCCTTTTTCAGGCAAGTCGACATAAACAACCTCACCCAACTCTTCTGCTGCGTGCTTTGAAATGCCCACAGTTCCAACATTGTCTTCCACTTTAATCCACTCGTGAGTCGTTGCGTATTTGCGATTGCCAGAACCTCAATAAACTTTACTAAAAGTGATCCTGCTCAAAATAAGAAACTTACTAAAGTTTCTATATGTTTGGAGTATACGTGAAGGGTGTCTTAGTGACCACCCTTTGGAACACAACGTGTATCGTAACATACCCTAAACATAGATTTGGTCAAAATACTGTCGATTACAATATTATATACAGTTCTTTCAAGATAATCTCTTAATTGGAAGAAATATAAACGTCTACTTACAGAACTCTTTTCCCAAAACAAGGACATCATCTGAATTTTCTTCTTCCAAAAACACAATTCTCTTTTCAATTGTATATTGAGAATTGCAGTGGGATGGACTCGAAAGCTTTGGAAGAAATCGTATCAACAGCAATATCTTATTTATCAGTCCATGGCTCGGTTATGAACGATACTAAGGAAAAGAACTCTAAACTTGTGCATTCTCCTTTTGCATTATTTCCTTCCGTTGTTCCAAAAGATTGTTTCGAACTAGCCTGCAAGTTAGCACCAGTGTTCAACTTATTAGCTTTTCGACTATCCAACTGTCCCGAATATCTACTAAAGTAAGTACAGTTGATTTATTGTGTGTAGATCACTCATAACTTGTCAAGACACTTGGAAGCTCTAACAACTATTGACGAATTCAGTGGCAAACTTGTACTGCTTTATAAAGAAACAGTTCAGCACTTTGGAAGACAGCCACAACCCTATCAATTGGGTATCTTGCGTTCTGACTATTTCATCGATGTCTTAAAAGAAAAATCAACTCTAAAACAAATAGAACTGAATACTATCGCTTCCTCATTCGCGGCACTAGGGCAAAGAGTAGCAGAGTGGCATCAGGTGGCTCGTTCACTATTCGATAAGAGTCAAGCCAATGATGGAGAACTACCTCCTATTAGAAACGTCCAAAATTTTGTTGAAGCTATGAAGGAAGCGCATACTATATATGATGATGCGGAAAGTAGGATCTTATTTGTCGTGCAACCCAATGAGCGGAATACATATGATCAAGAAATGATACGATGGGAACTTTGGAAACAGTTCGGTATTAAAAGTTTGAGAAGAACTTTGAGGGAAATAGAAGAACAAGTTGATCACTCGAGGCTTCCGGAGAAACTCATACTGGTTTCTTGCAATGAGAGAATTCCTATTTCAGTTGTATATTTCCGAGCAGGATATTCACCAGATGATTATCCATCAGAACAAGAATGGAATGCTAGAAAAATAATTGAATGGAGCGATTCCATTAAGTGCCCCTCCTTAGGTTTGCATTTGGTTGGAATGAAGAAGATACAGCAAGTCCTAAGTGAACCTGGAGAAGTCGAACAGTTTTTACAAGATAGGCCTGAAGATGCCGCACTTGTTCGGTCTTGTTTTGCCGAACAACATAGTATGGAACCTTCTGTTCAACAATTTGCAGTAGAATTGGCACAAGCGCATCCCAATGACTATGTGTTGAAGCCCCAAAGAGAAGGAGGCGGTAACAATTTATATGGAGATAGAATGCTACAGCTAATTAATCGAGCTTCCAAAGAAGAACTGAGTGGCTATGTTTTGATGAAATTGTTAAGACCGAAAGACTATTCCAATTATTTGGTTCGAAATGGAGTTGCCTCATTTGGAAAATGTATTAGTGAATTAGGCATATTTGGAATATTTCTTTCTTCCGATGATAACGAATTGATAATCAATCGATCGATGGGACATTTGTTAAGAACCAAATGGACTCGACAAGAAGATGGTGGCGTTGCAGCTGGAAATGCCTTTTTAGATAGTCCACTTTTAACTAGCTAATATGCCTTGTTTCATATGCACGTTTGCTAAAATAACAACTAGTCTCACAATATTGCTTCCTAGAGGACTTGGAATAGCGAAGAAACAAAAGTGGGGAACTCAGCGTTACTTTACTGAGCGAACTCTCACTTGCCGCCACTCTCGAACCAAGTACACCACCAGTCAACGAGTTTGTACTTTGTGTTTTTACAGACATAAAAGTGAGAGTGTTGAACCAAGTGTGACTCTTCCAAATCCTATCATACTCCGGAACAACGACAAAACCATACACTTGTTAGGCACAGCTCATATTTCAGAAACAAGTGCTTGCGAAGTACGCAAACTGATAAGAAGAGTACAACCACAGCAGGTACATAGCCTAAATAATAATTACATAGTGAAGAATAAAGAAGACAACCTTGTCTAGGTAGTTGTAGAACTGGATGCTGACAGAGCTAGGAGGCTGAGAGAGTCTCCCTCAGAAGAAAGCAATCTTCGCGACTTTTTCCAAATGTTTCTGCAAAAGGAAGTGCCAGTTTCTGCCAGACTTTTCGAAATTTCCATTCGCACGACGTATTCTTTGTTGCGAAAAGCAGGTTTCGTTCCAGGACTCGAGTTTCTAGCTGCAGTTGATGAAGCTCAAAGAATTCGAGCTCAAGTAGTATATGGAGATAGACACTTCAAAGATACCATAAAAAGAGTCGGAAGGGAGTTGGAAGGAAAACGACTCTCCTTATTAAGACAACTTTTCCACCTTGAAGCTCCAGAAGTAGAGCATATTTTTAAGGATACTGGTGGTTTGCAAGGTTCAGTTGAGAAACTTTTGGACAGAAGGAATGTACAGTTATTAGTGCAGTTCATGAGAAAGGCAGTCCCACCACTAGCTCAGGTATTATTAGATGAAAGGGACTTGTATCTTTCAAGGGCACTCAAGTCACAACCTGGTCCTCAAGTAGTTGGCGTAGTAAGTTAGTTTTCAATTTGCAATATATTAAGTAACTGTTTTCTGTAAGGTTGGTATGGTGCGTATTTAGTTTGTTCCGTAAGAAATACGTTTTGAAATTGAGATAGGCTCATCTAGAAGGCATTGAGAGGAACTGGCACCTGGACTTGGAAGCTATCCAGAAAGCGATCGATGAAATAGAAAAGTAATCCATATTTGTTGTTATCGACTGTACAATATCCATAACACTAGGAGAGCTACAATTGAAGATCATTTTCTTCTATTGCTTGCACCTCAAAAGATCGCATATTTCCTTTTGGCACGGCAACGCAAGTACAAATGCTTTTTGCTCTCCTCTGCCTCTTCCATCCACTCATCGTACAAGATTTTGGCAAGTCCTTCATTGTTATGAAGGTCCATAATCTCTCTAGCGAGTCGTTCGGTTGTTGACTCCTCCAACCTATTCCTAGTAGCTTCCCTACACAATTGCTAAGTGATTCCTTCCCAAAACTCATATCAGTTCAACTCTACCAAATAAAATCTGCTGCCTTAGTCCACTGTTGTGTTTCAGTTAACGTGGCAGGTATAGGTATGAACTTCTTTTTGACTTTGAAGTCTTTGGTTCCAAGCGGAGGCGTGATTCTAAAAAAAGCTTCGTGAACGAACTTTAACGGACTATGCATAAAAATCAACGACCCAATTTTATCATAATAAATATAACCAAACTTACTTCTCCACTTTGGCCTCACTTTTGAGCAACTCTAAACAATCGTCCACCATCTTGCGAGTTTCCTTTCTACTTGCTACCAACTCACCATCTATCCTCATCATAGACTTTGATATTTTACTTAAAATAGGATCAGTCGCAGCCAAGGTGGAAGCAACAGGCATAGCAAATAAAGTCTTTATTATTCTCCAATCAAATTGTTTTCCCCAACAAACAAAATGCTCGAGCTTCCGTAATGCGTACTTGCACCAGTTTTCCCTTTTGACTTTTGATATCTCCTTGAAAATACACAACCTTGTTCGTACGAGTTCTTCCAGTTACTTGACCTGGAAACTTTTCACTTTCAACCAATACCTCTTCTATTCGACCAAGATATCTTTGACTGCGGGAATACGCATCGAGTTCATTTCTACGATTGATACGTTGTAGACGATCCAACTTGATGGAATGTTCTATTTGATCCTCTCTCTTCGCTGCAGTTGTATTCGGTCGAGGAGAATAAGCAGCAGTAAATACCTGATCAAATGTTACTTATATTCCCAGGACATGCAACACAACTGCAAACTGCTCCTCTAACGGCTCCCCTGGAAATCCTACTATAGCATCTGCTGTAATACTAGCATCTGGTATATACTACTTGTCATATATTAGAATAAATTATATTTATGAAATGCAGTACAGTATACCTTTCGAATCTTCTCCACTATTTGCAAATATCTTTCCGCTGTATAACCACGAGCCATATTTCTTAAAACTTGATTGTTTCCACTTTGAAATGGTATATGAAAGTTCTCACACACTTTTTCCAATTCCGCACAGGCCTTAATAAGCCTTTCCGTGAAATAACGAGGATGTGATGTAGTAAATCGGATTCGTTCTATACCTTCCACATCGTGAATATAATATAACAAGTTGGTGAAATTATCTCGAGGACGCCAGTCTCTTCCGTAAGCATCAATGTTTTGGCCTAAGAGAACAACTTCCTTATAACCCAATGATGCAAGATGACGAATTTCTTCCTTTATAGCTTCCTTTGAACGACTTTGTTCTCTTCCACGAACAAAAGGAACAACGCAATAAGTACAATTTTCATTACAACCATAAATAATATTAACCCAAGCAGTCACAGAACTCTCCCTATGAGGTTGAAACAAGTCCTCCATTATATGTGTAGGCTCTGTAGCCACCAACTGATATCCATTCCATACACTGACCAATAAATCTCCCAGTCGGTTTGCATACTGGGGACCAACAACTAAGTCAACTTCAGGCATTCTACGAATAAGATTTTCTCCTTCTTGTTGAGCAACACAACCGGCTACAATAATGGTCATTCTAGGATTGGACCTCTTTCTTTTGATAAACGAACCCAGATGAGAATATAGTTTCTGCTCTGCGTGCTCACGAATAGAGCAAGTGTTAATCAAGTATACATCCGCATTCACAGGATCATAGTGCAACCCTAAACCTCTCAACTCACTTTCCATTCTTTCAGAGTCTGCTTTATTCATCTGACAGCCTAAAGTCTCAATATAATATGTTCTCGCTACAGTTGATACCTCGCTAGTTTTCACAGTCTTTTCACGCCAAAAGGATGCTTCCAAATTGTACTGTATATCTTCGACTCGATAAACGAGCCAGCCAGCTGCCGTATGCAGTTTATGAACCGTTAACGGCGGTTGTACAAAAAATTGCTCTAAAACCCTACTATCTTTCACTGCAGATAAAATACTTTGGTTTTCCTCATTAAGTGAGGAAATCCAACCCAGGTCGCCTCCTTTATCTCTTGAATATGGGTCTTTTGATATGAGTCTTGCCAACTCCACCATTGAGGCTCCTTTCTTTATCTCGTTCAAACAATAGTCTGCCATCTGCTCCGTCTCCACCACTATTTGACGTACGCGTACTGCTAATTTCCTTTTCGCCCCTTGAAGAGGAACTTTCTGGTTTTCAGGTTGTGTCAACACTCCCATAGCAACTTTTATGCTTTTCAACAAGGCAACGTTTTGCTTCGAACAAAAAGCCTTTGTACAGCGCCTTCCAATATAAGCATTTCTAAACGAGTACAAGTAGTTCTTCCAAGTTGTTTGTATGAGAAAACCTTGAGTTGACCTATTCACGCGTTTATCCATTCTGAAGCAGCAGCTGCCAAGGATTGGTACCAATTCCTGGTGGAAAGATGAAATGACCTCGTTCGTCTTTTGTTTCTCTATGAAAAGGTGATGAGGAATGAATAGCATCAAATACAATAGGCTCCTTTCGATCAAGCGACACATTTGGACTAGGTACAAGAGATGAATTGGAGCGAGTTCTAGATACAATGCTATTTGAACGACTCTTGTTTGTATGAAATGTTTGTTTCAATGCTTTACCAAAGCCACTCAAAGAAGAGAGCATGGACTTGTGTTTCAATCCATCTTCTGATAGAATACGTTTGATTTCCTTACTTGCTCTTTTCTGGCCTCGAATAGCGTCTTCTTCAACTAATGAAACTCGTGGACTAGAAGATAATCTAGAAAACATTTCTGGCAATGACAATCTTTGTGAAGGATTAGATGTGTTGGATGACCTTTGAAGAACTGAACTTCGATGAACAGACGAATCCGATGGTTCGAGAGTAAATGGAGGCTTCACTTGCTTTAAAAGAAAGGGTTCTTTCATAGCTCTGGAAAGAAATGGATGCCGCCATAATTCTTCAGCATCATCTGTACCACTTCCTAATCGTTCCAAATGATTAGGATTGAGAAGACGACAAATAAAATCCACAAGTTCCTTGCTATAACAACTTGGAAAGTCTTTCATGTCAACTTGAAAATTTAAAATAGCATGCCGAAGTGTAGCTTCACAATTTCCCCAAAACTCATTTTCTACTATGAGATATTCATATGGTGTTCTGCCAAGACAAGTACAATATAACAATATACCAAGTGCCCACCAGTCACTTGATGAGGTATGTCCCTTACCATTCAAAGTCTCTGGAGCAACATAAAATATCAAGTCCTTAATATTTCCTCGGGTTTGGTCATCACTATTGTTTCCAGCTATGAAGATTAATCTTCGATATGTTTCCGGATTGGAAGGAAGAACAGCTTTCAAGCCTCTCAATCGTCCAGAAACTCCAAAATTGGTCAAGTGTATGTGACCACGAGCGTCTAATAGGATAGTTTCCAACTTCAAGTCTCTACAAACATAACCAAATTGATGAAGACGTCCTAAAGCTAGAGAAATCTCGGCAGCATAGAATAATATTTCTTTTTCCATCAAAAGTCTACGCTGTTGCTTCAATAGTGCAAACAAGTTACCACCAGATAAGTATTCCAGAACGAGTGAAGATCCTATTTTAGGTGACCACTCACTAAAACTCTCAACGAGAAAAGGGTGTGGATTACAAGTCGCTAGAACTTTCTTTTCAAACTCGACATGATTCTCTTGGTTCGAGTCAATACTCAAGAATTCGGGAACCAATTTGAGTACATAAAGTTGACCAGTATCTATCTTTTTTAATAGCAACACAGAAGAATATGTTCCTTCACTTAATAGTCTTACAGTCTGAAAACCAGGAACAAGTTGTAAAGAAACACTCTTCTTATCTTTCCAATGGCTCATTATTTGGATTGTTGTGATGAGTAGTGCGGCTTCTTCAGCAGTGTGGAATGTGGAAAACAGTTACAAAGAGTTAGGTGGCAGTGTTTACAAGTCATTGGAATATTCATGGTCCAATGACTATTATGTCAGGCTAAAGACACTTCAAAGACAGTTGGAATTTTTGGAAATTCAAGAGGAATATATCAAGGACGAAATGAAGAACCTCAAACGGGAATATCAACAAGCTCAAGAAGAAGTAAAGCGCATCCAGTCGGTTCCGTTGGTTATTGGACAGTTTTTGGAGATGATTGACGCCAATACAGCTATTGTTGGTTCCACTGCTGGTTCGAACTATTATGTGAGAGTGTTGAGTACCGTGAATAGGGAACAGTTGAAACCAAACAGTTCAGTAGCGTTACATAGACACTCCAACGCTTTGGTAGATGTTTTGCCTCCCGAGTCGGACTCAACTATTGCCATGTTGCAGGCTGGAGAGAAGCCGGACGTTTCTTATTCAGATATTGGAGGACTGGATATACAAAAGCAGGAAATTAGGGAAGCAGTTGAGTTACCTCTAACAGACCCAGATCTTTACAAGCAAATTGGCATCGACCCTCCAAGAGGAGTGCTCTTATATGGTCCTCCTGGAACTGGAAAGACCATGTTGGCGAAAGCAGTTGCTCATCATACGACGGCTTCCTTTATTCGAGTAGTTGGCTCTGAATTTGTTCAAAAGTATCTTGGTGAAGGTCCAAGAATGGTAAGTCAGTTAAACTCGATTTTATAGTATATCTTAGAAAGTTTGTATGTGGTTAGGTAAGAGATGTATTTCGGTTGGCTCGAGAAAACGCACCTTGCATTGTATTTATTGATGAAATCGATGCTATTGCGACTAAAAGATTTGATGCACAAACTGGAGCAGACCGAGAAGTTCAGAGAATTTTGATGGAGCTATTGAATCAAATGGATGGCTTCGATCAGTCTACTAATATTAAAGTCATTATGTGTACCAATCGCCATGATACATTGGATCCAGCATTATTGAGACCTGGTCGATTGGATAGGAAAATAGAATTTCCTCTGCCAGATCGAAGACAGAAGCGATTGATATTCCAAGTTGTTACAGGAAAGATGAATTTGAGTGAAGAAGTTGATTTAGAAGACTATGTTTCTCGACCGGATAAAATTTCAGGTGCAGACATTGCAGCCATTTGTCAAGAAGCCGGAATGCAAGCCGTAAGGAAGAACCGATATATTATACTTCCAAAAGATTTTGAGAAGGCTTATAAAATTGTTGTACGTAAAGATGAACAGGAGTTTGCTTTTTACAAGTAAAGTTTGGAATAAAGGAATTGTATTTGTTTTTGCATATTTCTTGTTTTCATTTCTTTTCTTAGAAAGGCGACATATCAGAAGCAATTATCTGGGAAATCCACTAAGATAAGTTCTTTGTAGAGACAAAGTGAAAGAAACTGAATTATGAACACTTGAATGACGAATATACGCTATTTCTATCGAGTTTCTGAATACTTTCTATACTATCCTAAGCCAGCCATCACACATCTTCTTCAAAACTCAATGAGATGAAAAACTTGGAGCTGAATTACTTCTTTTCATGTTGCTATGCATAGTAACCACTTTATTCTCATCGTGATATAAAAAATGGAGTGGATGAAACGACGAAGAAGCTTGTCTTGAGTCAGAACTTTCCTCCTCACTGGTTACAACTTGAACTTGCAACATTTGTGTCTTTTCAATACTGTTGGAAGCTAGTTTACTGCAATGTATTTCCGTCAGTACATCCTCAAGGTTATGAACTGTAGAATGGCTACTTAGACCAGCCAAACAAAACTTCAAATGAATATTGGAAGAAGCTTGGCAAAACAACAGTTCAATGTGTTGCAAGGTCAAATGCTCTTTCACTGCACGTACAACTCTCAATGCTGAAGAATCGATGGTGCTCATTCCACCAATGTCGATCAAAATCATTTCTATACATCGTATTCGTCTTTCCTATATGAAGAAAACAACAACATTTTTTCAAAATAATCGAGTTGAAATGTCATACGGAAGAATAATCATACCTTTTCTAATAATCGAAAAATTTTGGATTGGAATGATTCTGCATTTCCAAAATAGAGATTTTCCGATATACGTAGACACAAAATAAAAGGCTCCAAGCATGTGTCGTTCCATGACGAATTGGGACTACTCACTAAGTCATTCATCAATCTCCTTTGTGACACACTTTTAGGTAAAATCTGAACTCTAGGCCTTTTGTACAAGATAAATCAGTAGGAGCAACAATATAACATGTTTCTGCAATCGGAACAATACCTGTATGTGGCATACAACATCATCATCAAAGATACTGCAACTGAAGATAATAAACCGTATAAGGAACCAGCTCCCAAGGTGGAAATAAAAGCTATCAAAAGAACTACAAAGTCAAGTTTATCTACCCGCCAAAGAAATAAAGCTTCTTGATAGTCCACTAGATTGCTAACTGCCATGATCACGATACATGAAAGAACACATTTAGGAAGATGTGTAAAGAGTGGCATTAGAACCAAAATAGATAAAAGAATAATGAAAGAAGCAATAATACTAGCAAGCTGAGTGTTTGCTCCAGTATGTGCATTCACAGCTGATCGAGAAAAACTACCCGCTAAAATATTTCAATATGAAAATGGTTATAACGAATGAAATAAAAGAAACCGCACCCACTACATATGAATGAAAGATTGAGCCAATAATATTCGCAGAACCAAGAGCCACCAGTTCTTGACTAGCATGGATATTGTATCGATAGCGCAAAGCCAATGCTGACGCAATAGACATACTATATATAGAAACAATCAATGTTCAGTCATTCCATAATAACGTTGCGATAATAGTGCTCTACCTTTCTGCAATAACGAGAGCAATCATTGCAAACGTTGAACCGATATAAGAAGATAAAGTTAAATTGGACAACTTGGGAAAAGTTGGAACGGGAATACCCGAAGGAATATTTCCTACTTGTTCAACTCCAAACTTTTCAGACAACTCAATAAAGTAATTTAGACAAATGCCGAGAATAGTTGTAAACAATGGAGCCAACGAGCCAATGAGAGTTGGAGGTATCAACTGAGGCAAATGTAACCATCGATGCAGAGGTAAATGACGAAGACCAAACAAAACAATCAAACAGGAAAGTGAAAATAATAAAGTAGCAATGTTTGTCTGAGAAATCTTTCCAAATGTCTCATACAAAAGCTCCCACTAAAGCCATGATAACCATCTATACAAAAGCGACAACAAAACATACCGCAAATTCACTGGATTCAATTTCATATCCAAAACAAGAAGATATCTGAGTAAGTGCGATAGTTATTGCTGCTGCACTTGTGAATCCGCTGATAACTGGATGACTGACAAAATGAATGACAAAACCCAACTGCAATAAACCCAATCCTAACAAAATAACACCAGCAAGAAAAGTAATTGCGTTGGCTATCAACACTTTTTCCACTACAGTTGATCCAACTGGAAAGGAATTGGCTAACAGTAATGAAACCAAAGCTACCGGACCAACAGACAGATGTTTCGAAGTTCCGAACAAACTGTAAACTATCATAGGCATAGTGCAATAAAGACCATAAATAGGCGGCAACCCTGCAACTACTGCATAACTCATTCCTTGACTAATACACTCCATATCCTCAGAATATATCTTTCTCAATCACTTATACTTACGGCAAAAGTATTGTTCCAATAGTTAAACCTGAAATAACATCCCCAAGAAGATAACTTTTTTTATACTTGACTATCCAGTCTAGCATAGGCACAACCCTACTTGAATAACGATAGATCGTTCGTAAACACAAGTGCATTTTCCACAAAAGAGAATTTTAGATTTCGAAAAGGAGATCGTCTGATTTCTGTACAAAGTTGTCTTTATTTCTTCTTTCCTTCCTTTAGTCTTACTTCCTCCAATAAATATCTAATTCCTTTCCCTTTATAAGGATCTGGAGGTCTGATCAATCGAACTCGTCCTGCAGCATGACGCACTTGTTTCTCATCTATCCCAACTACGCTCAATAATGTCTGATTAAGCACATGATACTGGACACCATCCTTTTCCTTGGGTAAATATACGGGATGTGTGAAGCCTACGCGAAGTACAATGCGGTCTTCTTCTTCTTGGGCACGAAACCCTACTCCCACCAACTCTAACAAGACAGCATATCCATTATTCGCAACCTGCAGCCAAGATTTTGCTTTTGTGGGAAGATAGTGAGAACCTGACGCAAGGTATTTCACGGTTTCACCCAATTTACCAACGACGAGAGCTTTCGTCTTTTCTGCTTTGGAGGCAGGAACAAAGAAAAACCCACCATATGAACTCGAACTTGCCATAATAATATCAATAACAAATATTCGCGATTAAAATATTACAATGAAAAACAATACATAAACAAACGGCTACGACAAAAAGAAAGATACTTTACAGTAATCAGCGTCCAATTTCCCCGTCTGTCAATAAAGGAATCCAACAACTTAACTTGATCTAATCCATTATTTTGTTCAAAGTCTTCTCTTCTTGAAAATGGGTCTACATAGAAAGAAAAAACCTTTTGTCTGGAACCAAAATCAATTCAATTGTGTTCAAACAATGGAAATCTCAAGCTATGATTGGACCATCGCAGAATCTTTCCATTCAAGATACAGAGTTGCTGCTTTGTTTCTTATGATACAAACTATGACGAATAATATAACAATATACCGAGTCAGGTACCATATACTTAATAGAACCTCCTTTCCTTAAAGTATCCCTGTAAAGATTATCAAACTTCCCAAATATAATACAAAATGTTGCTGTTATTCACCTGACCATAGTAGAGCTGATTTGACATAATGGAGCTTGATCTACGATAAAAACTTTATCTTGATAACCAGGAAGATATGCTTTGACCTGTTTTTCCACTCGAGACTTGCTCAAATCTTCCATTCTAGGAATCACAAATAGAGATGCCATGTCCAAAAGTCGTTCTACCTATTCAAAACAGTTTCATATAGAGTAAATATCAACCAACCGTGTTACTCACATGATTCTTTGGCCATATGTCAGAGTTAAATAAACTACGATATAAATCACTACCACACACAAAAGCTAGCTGAATATTGACTCCATATACGAGGTCAAGTTGCGAACGAAAGTGCTCCACTACTAGAAAAGTTGGCGAATATTCAGAACGACAACATTCCCAGCTGTCTACCATTAACCAAGAAGAGTCTTCAACAGCAAGCTGGCACATCTCTAAACGTTGCCTACTAGTAATCAGGCCTGGCTTGTTATAAGAATCATGAACGGGTGATAGGTAGCCACCCAGGACTTGTAAGCCACTGTAGTGAGCGAAATTGTATGCAGACTCTAAAGCTACCGTTAGCGACTCTTTATCATTGTAGGAAGAGACTGGATACCCATCAAGATAAGGTGAGCAAGCGTTATTGGTGAAAAAGAACCACAGTTCACCAAGACGATGCCATTTCCGTTATTCTCAGTTAATTTGCTGGTTGGAAAGGTACTCATAAACCTGTAAAGGGTGTCTTTCAACCTTTGAGCAAAAACCAGTTTCTACTTGAAGCTTACAAGTGTACAAACAAACGGTTTCTCTTATCAACCCTTTTACGTATCCATACATCTTTTTACAATTCATTTATAAAGAAAGTCTCCTTCTTACTGGCATTCCTATTCTTTCCTATTGGTGTTCGATTGGGTGAACTGCCACTTTTGCACAAGTTGATCTATCTTCGAAAACTGCCATTGCCAACGAATATTATATAAAAATGGTCGAAGGTCATAGCGATTATCTTCTGGAGAATAGTTCTCAGCATGATAGGAAGGAGTAAGAGTTGTCATCTTATGACGGTTGATAGAATACATACGAAAGAAAAATTTGACCTGAAAAATGTTCGAGCCACTTTTCATATAAATGAACAAGAAGCTTACTTTATCCGCAACTTGTGTATAACTTAGATGCTTCCAGACTTTTGACAACTTGCAAAACATACTAACTGGTCCACAACGACTCAATTTACGAAGACGACCATACCAAGTTAGCTCTTCATAAGTCATTCCCATATCTGCTTCATCTGTCTGGGTATAAGACGCAGTAATAGGCTCTAGTTCTGCTGTTGGAGGAGCTTCAGTAACACTTTTCAAAGATGCATATCCCAATCCGTTCTCCTCAAGAGGTTTAGCAGCAAAAGAGAGAAATGCTTTCAGATCAACTTTTGAAATACCGCCTAAAGTATAGAAATGAGAAGTACTTCATTTCTTCAATAATTACAATAACTTGCCGATGGGATTGATATCTGCGCTACTACAATCATATTTTGTCAAATAACCTCGAAGTCCTTCATCCACATTGGCACTTCCTAAGACCAATAACGCTCCTCCTTTACGTCCTCGGATAAATGGCAACATTTGTGCAAAAAAATATGCAATAACCATTCGGATTCTAGCTTGAATATTCTGCAAGGCAAGATTTTCTGTTTCACTTCCTCCATAAACTTTAAACCGTGGCTCTTTGTCCTCTCCAAATACCAAACAAAAGAGTTTCACCTATTCCAACCATTTTTGATCAAAAATTTCGACAGGAAATTGAACTCATAATCAAACCAACCAACCAACCATTGCATCCACAACAATATCCAAATGAATATCCAAATGATATGCACCAATGTCTTTGGCAAGAACTTTGGACCTTTCTCTGGTGTCTTTCGATGAGTTTTTGGTACCCATAAAACAAGTATGAAATATACGCGATGCCAACTCTCGTGCATCTGTTGGTACATACTTTGAGTCATGTGGCTCTCCACAAACGCGACGAATATCTTCCAAGACCGAAATAGATCCTTTTTGTACTGCACGACATAGTAACTGACACATACTTCCAACTATTGCTGCTGTAGATGATGAATCAGCTCCTCCACTTAGGGGTAAAAAGAAACCTGAGGCTCCACTTCTACGCAAATAGTCCCACAACCAGCAGGCTGGTCCAAGAGCAATCTCCTCCATTGGATGATGAATACGTACCTGTCAATGGTCGAGAAAACAAAAATATTATCATATATAACCAATCAAATATGCAATCCACTATGGTCTTACCTGAATTGGTTGCGATGGAACAGTGTTCACAACACTATTATCCAAAGAACTGCAAAGATAAAAACCAGCAAGTGTAATCCTCGTAATATCTTCCATTTCTGCTGCTTGTACTCCAAGAGAGGCAAGTGCGACACGATGACTGGTCACTTCATCTAAATCTACAACACCAACGATAACTTCAACTTCCGTCTCCAAAGAAAATTGAGACCCTTGAGCAACTAATTCACCATTGACACAAATACAAGCACAGCCATCAAAATATAATCTTCCACCATCACATCCAAGTTGGTTTGAGTACAAATAGACTCCACCTCCTTTTGAAGTTGCTCCACGTATCAAACTTAAGCGTTGGTCAAGTTTTCGAAGATGATGATGCGATCCTGAACCATTTGCAAGTATTTCAACACCATTCAAAACATACTTAATATGTGGAGAGTCGACTGTAAATAACTCTTCACAAGTTTCTACAGCCAGACTTGTATCTTCCACTTCAATAACTGCTTCTCCAAAAGGACAAGTTGTTTGACCAGTTATATTCACTATAACTTCAGGTAGTTTGTATTGTTCCAAAACACTTCGTCTTTTCCATGCTCGAAACCAACGAGACTCCCTATAGTTACCATCGTCGGCAAGAAACAGCTTCGGTCTCAGAAGAACAATATGTCTATCACAAATAAGACAACGACAGTTATATGAAACACTCCGGTGTAAAATGGGCAGGCCAACATCTACCAACATACCCTCAGTTACTCCTGAAGCTATCAACTCAGCAACTACTTCCCAAGAATGTTGAAAGGTGTCCGGTTCAAGAAAGTGATCTTCACAACTGTAGCCCTAGTTACAAAATCAGTAAGCTCCTGAAGATTTCTCTAATGAAACGTGTTATACAACCGTTATTTCCAACTCTGGTCCAACACGATAGCGGGCACCTTTCTCTTTGGCTTCCACAATGGACTGCTGGATTCTTTTCAGGTTCCCTTGAAAGTCCATGGCCCACTAAATATATAAGAATCCAAAGATCAAATCCCAACAAGTATACGTCAAATAAAAATACCTGGTTCAAATTGCAAGTTGCAATAGTAGCGAGTCTCGTCATGGCAATGATAGAGAATTGCTGCTTCTAAAGGAAAATTTGCACAAATCGATTTTGAATTTTCTACGCTTTATCCAATTCCAGTATATAACGCACCTAAGAAAAGTCTAAAAACACAAAAATAAAACAAACCAGAATACAATATACCAGAATCTCTTGTCTTCTTCAATAACCCAATATCCAAATCGTGACCTTGATTCCCCGTGTTGTCCATATCATTTGTTGCTTTACTCGACTTGTTTTCTCTCAGTTTACTTGAGTTCATCTCCTCCACCTCATAAGCCTTCTTAGGAATCACATCTCTAATAATTTTCTCTATCAAAGCCTCAGCATCTATTCGAGTGGCTCGAATATGTGCAGGAATTTCTTCTTCCAGCTCCCATTCTAACTGTTCCATATTCTCAGAAATGTTCTTTGCATAGGAAAACAAGGAGTTTTCTGTGTTGTTTTCCAAAATATAAAAAAAGTTCTTTTCGGCGGTACTTGAATCCACTAGAGTAGATTCTACTTCAACCCATTCCTTATCAGTCTTCTTTACATGTATTTCTTCAATGTCAGGATTACTCTGTAGTTCGTTAACCGAAGAGTTTTGTGTATCTGAAGAAGACGGCAAAGTGACTTTGACACTCTTGAAAGGCCTTTTAAAAGTCGGGTCTCCAGAAGTTTGTCGCAAAGTGAGAGATAAACTTAGTACAGCGTTGGTGCGACTTTCTTGAAGCAAGAAATTTTTGCGAACAGTAGGTAAACCTGCATATTCTGCCAAGTCAAGTTCTATTATTCCATGTCTTATATGACCAATGTTCTTTTCCTCACGAATCGAAATTCTCAAGCCACAAGAACGAAGCTCTTCACCTCGTTCGCCAGCAGCACCCAACTTTACTGAAAACGTGAATCTATCGTTCCATATAACTGTGTTTCTTACAACTTGAGTTCTCTTTGTGAAACCAAAGTGAGGATCTGCCACTTGAGGTTGTAACTACATCAGAGTCAAAACAGTTACGAAGCAAGTACAAAACAAATAAAAACCTTCCACTTTGCAAATATCGTTCCATGACTTAAAGGAAACTGTCTCAACTCTTCCAAAACCAAAGTAACTTGAAAGTCTCGAGCTTGTCGTTTGGTAGCCAACATTCAATGAATGAAAAATCTTTTGAATCACTTTATTATTATAATTTCCAGGAATTTTTGGATACAGACGAGTCTCTACTCTTCTTTTCCGAAAACTTTGCAGAAGCTGCAATAGTGGGCTTCATGAACCTTGCTATACCAATATTCGGTTTTTTGCTTGTCTCTTTTTCGTGAGACGCTAGAAAAATAAAGTTAGGAGCTGTTATGGAGCCTTTCCAAGAAGGCAAATACCTGCTTGATTACCAGTTGGTTGTGTTGTTTTTTTAGAAGACCAGTTTCCTGTCTTATGAGAAGCATTATTAAAGATTCTTCCGTTATCCGCGTTCTCTTCTTGTTTTTTCTTTTCTTTGGCAGCCGAACTTTGTGTTGGTTTGTAGAGACTTTTGCTTGACGAGCGTCTGACAATAGAAGGTTGCGACATGTGGTGTTCTGAGCTGGCACTGTCTGCTTTGGAAGTTGTCATTCGTTGCTGTTCAGGACTAGTGGCATCACTTTGAACCGGCGAAGTATTCCTTGAAGCCTTTTCTTCAGATACTTTTAAGCTTCGAGAACTATTACGTCTTTTGAGAGGACTAGGAGAACCAGTTTGACCAGATAGAAGAGTAGCTGAATTTTTCCGACTTATCGAAGCCCGTTTGTTATCTTTGAGACCTTCTGTTTCAGTTTGTTTCTTTGTCAAACTCTTCTTTTTTGTTTCATTTGCATTTTTTGATATGGAATGTACTATGTCGTCGGAAGAGTTGATTTCTTGTATACCGTCAAGTTGCAGCTTTGGTAGCGTTTGGTTATTAGAATCAGTGGCGCTCAAATTTTGATTGTCTAGTGCTGAGGATAGTTGTTTGTCCTCTGCTGTTCTTATCCAGTTGTTGTGGGAGTCCTGCTTCTGAGAATGATTGTCGTTGTCATCTAAAGGATTTGTTTCAGAGGGAGATAAGTGAAGTGTCGATTCGAAATGTTCCTCTTCAGGTTGTTGGCTTTCTTTCGTTTTCGCTATATCTGTGTTAACCTCTATCGACTCAGTTTCAACCTGAAGTTTCTTTTGGCTTTCGACGCTATTTGAGTTTTGGAAATTTGAATGCAATTCATCGACATTTTGTGAGCTTCGCAAGTTTTCTGTAAGGTTTTTTTCTTGCAAGTCGCTTTGGTTATTCTCATTGAAGTCTTTTGGAGCTTGTTCCAAAGGCTCTGCATCTTTAGTTGGAGCTTCTTGCTCTACTTTCAACCCTTGAACAATATTATTGTACATTTAGAGTTCTTTAACATCACAAAAAAATTTTTCAATACCTTGCATATTATTGAGTATGTCAGAGGTCGGGCTTTCGTTTTGCATATTTTGTGAAACAAAGATGGAAATGAAATTGAGTTCAAAATTGACGTGGCCATTTGTGGGATTCTTATGTTCCCTCTTCTTCGACAGACAACTTTTTCCAATTAACTCCTATAGTTACATTATTCATGTTTATTGTTATTTCGAATCTTTCATACATATTGTTTTTCCGTTGATGCGCATGGAAGAATAAAGTTTGGTTATACAAAGGCAACTAGAGATATAATGAAAACACTTTGAAAATGTATCTTTGGAGGTAAATATGTCGAATGCGAGAGGGCCACTTTTGTTTACTATACACTGCTCTTTTATTTTGACCAAAACGTGTATTGGTTGTACTAGAGCAAGTCGGTGCAACTCCATTATTGGCAATACTTTTTTTTGTAACAGGAAAAAATACTTGGGTTCCCTTTCTACTATTGCGGAACGAAGTAGGCAACGCTTGAGAAGAAGAAAACAGTTAAACTCTAAGAAACCTCGCTCTTTTCATATTGCCTCAGCTTTTGCCATTTCTCCGGACGTCATATTGTTTTCTGGTGGTTTTGTTGCTTTTTTTCTTAGCGCCGCCTTAGGAGGAAACGATGTTGCAAACGCCATGGGAACTTCTGTTGGGACAGGAGCAGTTTCCATAAAAACTGCGCTTGCTATTGGTGCAGTTATGGAGTTTGCTGGAGCAGTTTTGCTTGGATCAAGAGTCACACAGACTATAGGAAGTGGAGTCATTTCCATAGGTCCTTTAGCAAGTTTAGGTGCTTCCTCAAGTCTCAACTACATGTTGGGAATGTTTTGTGTTTTATTGGCAAGTACTCTGTGGCTGATACTCGCTACTTTGTTGGGACTTCCGGTTTCTTCCACGCACTCTGTTGTTGGTGGATTACTTGGTTTTGGTATTTCGGCTGGCTGGAAAATCAATATAGCTCAAGTTTTAAGAATTCTATCGAGTTGGTTTATAAGTCCTATTTTTGGTGGCTTTACTGCATTTTGTATGTATTATGCTCTCCGAAAGCTTATATTCAAAAGGCCTTCGCCGTTATCCATGTTAAAACGACTATTGCCAATCTTGATCGGTTCCATTTTGTTTGTCTTGAGTTTATTTCTATTGATGAAAAACGAAGGCAAGCAAGAATTGGGTAAATTGTTGACTGTTGCTATGGGTGTTTCTATGACTTCGGCTGGTTTAGTAGCAGCATTGATGCAAAACCTTGGAATCTTAGACTCTTCACTTCCAATGAATGCAGAAGAAACTTTTACTCGTTTGGAAGTTAAAGGTGGTCATGGTCAAGAAGGAGGTGAAGTGGAATATATTTTTGGTCTTCTTCAATTCACTACTGCCTGTTTTGTTGCTTTTTCACACGGCAGTAATGATGTCTCCAATGCTATTGGTCCTTTTGCTGCTATTTATTCGTTATGGAAATCTTATCCTCTCATTGGAATAGCTTTACAATTTGAAGTGCCTCCTTGGATACTTCTTATGGGAGGCTTAGGACTTTCAGTTGGCTTGGTTTTATTTGGCCAGTCTGTCATGGATACGGTAGGTCGAAAAATCACACATTTGGTTCCCAGCAAAGGCTTTTGTGTTGAGTTGTCTACCGCAATGACAGTAATGTTGGCTAGTGAGTTTGGACTTCCTATTAGTACCACGCATACTCTCATTGGATGTATTGTTGCTGTTGGATTGGCTAGTGGGAATAGAGAGATTGATGTGAAGGTGCTTCGTAGCATTATAATGAGCTGGTTTGTGACAGTTCCTGTTACAGCTTTACTAAGTATGGCATCGTTTTTTATTTTAAAGCATTGGTTACCTTGACATTCTCATGCAATGTTTTGATTGACAACATTTGAAGAGAAATATGAAGTTATTGTTCTTTCTGCCTTGTCATGGATAATGGTTGTGTTGGTTTATTTCCTACAATAATATTCAAATAAATTCAATTGAAGTTAAACTTTTCAAGGCAAACTGTTTTTATTTCGGCAGATGGATAACGTTGCCCAAAAAACTCATCGTTTTTATGCATAGCAACAAGTCTTTTATAGATATTCACTGTTAGTATCTACACTGTACGATAGACAACTCAAACCATAGAAAAACCCTTTCAACAAGAGACAACTCATTATTGGGTCCTATTCCATTTACAAAATAGCTAACTCTTGAGATCAACTACAAACGATGGAACAAGTAACTTTGAAGTCACAACTCCTGGAAGCCAAATGAAAGTAAAAGTTCCATTTGCCAAACAACGGAAGAGTGAATAGAGAGAAGTGGACAAGTTGTATACCCAAGTGAAACGAAGGTAGGTTATATAGTTGTGACTCAACCAAGTCTTTTAACTCGTTCCATTTCCTGTCAGAGAACTACCAGTACAGAAAGTTACTATGTTCAATATTTAACATGCTAAGTCTCTTTTAATTTAACGTAACTTTCTTTTCCAATTAACACGCATCAATGAAAGTTAACTTCTATTAGTAACTTTGTCTAGACACTTGTTTTCAACAGGCACCTGATAGCAACAATAAAATTTTAAGCAGCTGTCTTATTTTTGAAAGAATGTGAGCTTTACCCGTTTTTCTTACCTGCTAGTTTGTTGACTTATGTGTATCAAAGAAGATCAAATGTTTCGTAAGTATTGCAAAGGAGGATTCTTTTTAATACTTAAAAAGTAAACGATTGTTTAGTTTCTACTTACTTTCAGAGTCTCTTTCATAAATGGCTTGCTGGAAGTAATAACAAGTTCTGTTGACAATTTTTTATACGTGGAGATGATCATTTTTTATATCTCTCTCTCTAATCGATCGGCAATCCACTTGTCATCGATACTATCTCTATTAGATATGTCGAGTAGTATAGGAAACAGAGAACTTGTAAGATTAAAATTTTTGAAACCTTTTACTACTTCTGTGGAAAAAACCAGCCTCTCGAGTCATTTGAGTGAAAATCAAGTTCTTGTGAAGACCAAGTTTTCTGGTATTAGTACAGGAACTGAGCTATTGTTTTATCGTGGTCTCGTTCCAGAATCACTGGAAGCGGACGCGTTATTCTCACGTGAACCTGTTAGTTATCCTATTTCTTATGGATATTCTGTTGTAGGAACAGTTGTGGAAGTCGGCAGCCAAGTAGATCCTCATATAGTTCCGTTTGCTTCCTTACTCTTCGAAACCTCATCTCACCTTTTTTTCTCCATAGTACAATCGCCGTGTATTTTGTTTTTCGCCGCATCAGAGTTATGTCACAAGTCAAGTTGACCAAGTCATCCTTATTCCAGATGATATAGAGTTTGAAGATGCCATCTTTCTGCCTTGGATGGAGACAGCTATTTGCCTTGCTCATGATGGTGCTCCCTTAATAGGCGACTGTGCAGTGGTTTTTGGACAAGGTGTTGTTGGACTGCTTTTAGCTGCTCTGCTTTGTTCTTTTCCCCTGACAAGCTTGAATATTGTGGAGAAAGGAGCTTACCGACTCGAAGTTTCTCGTTCGTTTGTGAAAAATGCTCAATTCTACTCGCCTACACAAGTCGAAGAGAGTGGCTTTTTGTTGGGTGAAAACAATAAGGAAGGTCAGAAAGCTGATGTGGTGAGTCGACTTGGTTGTATTGTTTAAGCTTTGATGTGTTGCAGACTTTTGAGGTTTCTGGCAGTGCTGAAGCCTTGAATCAAGCTATCATGTGTACTCGATATGATGGTAGAGTAGTCATTGGATCGTGGTTTGCTAAACAAAATATTTCTTTACCAGCAATTGGAGGTTATTTTCATAGAAATCATCTGACTTTTATCTCTTCACAAGTTAGTTTTATTCCACCTCATCTTTCGGGTCGATGGGACAAGCAACGGAGATTTGCAGTTGCCTGGAATCACATTAGGCAATTACAGCCATCTCAGTTGATTAGTAAAATTGTGAAAATAGTGAGTGAAGGATGAAGCAAAAGTATGTCAAAAATTAATGAGAGTGTTTGTAGGATGAATCCTGTGCAATATATAAACAAATAGATGCAGATCCTGATAGTGCTGTTCAAATATTGTTTTCATATGACTAGAAAGGATCATTTCCATTGTGTTTTTATTGAAGGAATGTTGTCCATCTTAATCCAATGTATTTCTACTTTCTTATCTATGGTTTGAATTTTATGAACTTGGACTTCTAATACTTTGCCTATCTGAATGGCGAGACGAACTGTTACAAATACATACATGATTGGCATGAAGTATTTGTATGTCCTTACTCATATTATGAAAGTTTCCATGCTTTGTTGTGTTTTCAAAATAATATATTTGCTTCTCTGGCAGAATGTTCTGTGCTCCTTCATTCTGTGACTCGTGGTTATAAACTTTGTTCTTTTTCAGCTGCGTGATAGAGTTGGGACCAGTAAGACTATATATTTTTCTCCTAAAAGTATTTTCAATGACTGAAGACTATAAAACTACATCCTCACTTGATACCTCCTCGCCAAGCTTCCATTCAGAATGGCGCCCACAACAACAAAATAAATAAATGTCTTTAGCTAAACAGGCCGAGTATGATAGAAATGATCCGTTTCCCGTTGAAGTACTCAGTCAGTTATCTAGTAAATTTGCATGCTATGAAGAAGCTATTCAAAATCCAAGGAAAGATGTTATTTTCTTGACCAAGGTGAGCTTGAGTTTTTTAAAAGAGTTTGTCGCACTCTCTGAGCTTCAGTATTCAGACCTTTCAAAGCGAATTCCATCAAAAGGCGCTACGACTTCGAGAAGACTTTTGTGGCACTGCAGCGATTTCACGTGAATTCATTAGATCTGACTTTGAAAGATTTGCCGTCGGAGTAGACATAGACTCTAGAGCTGTTGCTTGGTACTTATCTCGTTGTTTATGATTCTTTTCGTTTGGAAGGTTGATATTGGCTAGGTGTGTTCAACACGGTCTGTCTAGTCTTCACTCTGGTAGTGATCGACTTGAATTAGTAGTGGCAGACTGTAGAGAGTATCAGGTATGCTTGTATTGGCCTTGTTAAGTAATATTCTTCCCTTTTTCCGATAGGATGCAAAGTTCTATGACATTATTTCGGCAAATAATTATAGCCTATTCTTGCTAACTTCTCGAATGGACCTCGTTCAGTACCTAAGAAGAGTAAAGCAATGCTTGGATCCTAGTCATGGAATGTTCATTTGTGACTTGACTGGTGGTTCGGACTGTTTTATAAAACGGAAAGTAAAGCGTCAATGTGGTAATCTTGCCTATATTTGGGAGCAAGACAATTATAATTTTGTTGATGCCAGTTGGCAATGTGCACTTTCTTTTCTTCTCCGTGATGGTTCATTATTGAAACATTGTTTCAAGTATACTTGGAGGCTTTGGACAATGGCAGAAGTAATGGATGCCTTGTACGAAGTAGGATTCAGTAAAGTTAGAATATGGTTCTCTGACCTGGATGAAGCTGAAGAGCTTGTTTATGAAGAAACCACAAATATTCCAGGTTGGGTGAAAAGTTGGAATGCCATTATCGTGGCAGTCTGATGATTGACTTTGAGACATGGAGCGTTTTATTATCGTTAAAAGTTATTGTCCGGTAAATTATTTATACAAAAAATAAATACATCTATGGAACACTTGAACAGTTTTGCACAAAGGATTGAAAGAATGAGTATCTATCTTCTTCTTTCAAAGACCCATACAGAAAGTTTTCTTTTCATTTCTGTAAAAAAAGTATAATAACATTCCACTAAGACTCCTTAAAGTGTGTGTTTACTGTTAAAAACTCTCATACAACATTGTCTTTTAGAAGCATTCTGTTGTTATCTGACACTTTCCATTTACACAAACTTTTGTCGTCCGACAATTTCTGTTTCCACCTCTTGAGTTGGAAGACTTTCTGTTATTCTTGGATGTCTTAAAACTTCTAGCGTTTGGCCCCTTTCCAAAAAAGTCGTTCATGAAAAAGTCACCAAAGGGGAAACCCTGAAAAGCTTGCTCTGAAAAACGAGTTGAGGAGCCTTGGGCACGAAAACCTTCACTAGTGCCTTGTTGCAGTCCCTCTTCACCGTAAAGGTCATAAACTTCTCTCTTTTGAGGGTCTGACAAAACTTCATACGCTAAGAAAAAGTGAAAATATGTCCCTTGTCCATTTTTCAACATTCATACCTTCCGCAATTTCACGGAATTTCAACTCTGCTTGCTTTTCACCACCATTTTTATCAGGGTGATATTTTCTAGCCAACTGATGGTATGCTCGCTTGATTTCTCCTATGACAAGTCAACTGTGTATTCAACAAACTATGAAAACAACATACTATCTGAAGCATTTTTATCCACACCTAGAACATTGTAGTAACTCCGTTTCGCGTTTGCCAACGTAAAAACAGTCAAAATGGCTAAACAAAACAAGAATACTAGTCTCCGAGTACTGTGGCACGTTTCCATCACAACTGGATTGAACAATAACATTTCATACAGCAGCATTTCTAATTTTTATAGCTTTCAGAAAATTGTATCAGACAGAAACAAAGAGTTTCTAATATAATTGAAGAAACTATAGAGTTTCCTTATCAAAGCTATCGTTTCAAGATACTCAAACAGAGTACTTTATATAAAGTTCTGCGGTCCTTAGCGCAGTTGGTTTTTCCACTCAACTCTTATTTGCAACAGAGTTTAAATCTCGTCATATAGAAACGTTCAAGTTGTGGGATATTCTTGATATACTTGAAGTCTTGACCTGTAAAATTAAGTCACTATGAGTCACAACAAAAGGGCTTGGCTTTGTCCTTGCTTGTAATAATCTACTAAAGTGGCTTTTGAAGTTGGTTTGGCCAGCATGAAAGGTCTAAGATTGCGACACATTAGGTGCCAACTAGGACAAAAAGATACTGCAAGTATAAGTATCAGGCGTTTTTATGAATGAACTGGGCTTGAGACACTATATCCATTCTTCTTCTTCTTATTATTATTATTATTATTACGCTGTCGAATTCATTCTTTTTTCGCCACGTGTGAAATGGATTATCCATTCTTCATTGGCCATCATTGCTTCGAGTAAACAATTTGTGCCATGTCACTTTGCCCATACAAGTGGTAAGTAACCAAAACCAACAGTCTTCCTTCTATACTCAAAGCGCAAAAAGGTTCTTGTGGATATCTGGACTAGTCCTTGCAATTGTTACTATACTTCAATCCCTTATCCTCTACACGAGCTCAACTGTGGAGAAGAAATCGCTTTCCAAGAACATGTCTTCAAAGAAAGACTCCAACACAGAACGACAAACTTCTGGTTGCCCCTTGAGTTGGTTCCAATAAAACTCTCAATACGCAGCTTGCAGTTCTTTTCCACTGTTTCCTTCGTCGTCTTTAAAAAGTTCGCATAAAGTTGGTAACAAAGATGGTAACTGAGATAGCTTCGAGAATGGAACTCTCAACAGGTCAAAAGCAACAAACAAATTGGTATCTGATAAACTATCTATCACAGGTAATTTCGAATATCGTTGTGAAAAATGAGTAAGTATTATCCAATGAGGTCTCATTGCTTTGCAAACATCCAATGCCTGTCTATAAGTACAGTGTCCCTTTTCTAAAGCTACTTGTTCCATAGTCGACTCAAACGTGGCCTCGTGTATCACAAGATTGGCATCTTGTCCTATCAAAACGTAGATTTATTACAACATCAAAGAAAAACGATGCCTCATCTTACCAGCACGAATAAGAGCGTCACAAGGCATTGTATCACCAGAATAAACCATTTTCCATTCAAAGAGGTTGTCAAACAGCACAATACCATATGCATGGAAACAGTGCAAGACAGGTACAGTCTCTATCTGCAAGCCGATATTAGAAGATACATAGTTTACTATAGGTTGTTGTGGACAAACAAAACTCTCATTATCCAAAAAGACATAATGAAGCAATTGTCCATTCACTTGTTCATATTCCTGTAACCAAACATTGAGTTCTGATGGACCCATAATGATCAAAGGCTGTTCAGCATCCAGTTTTAAACGATATTCCAAAATGCGCAAAACTCCCAAATGATGATCCGCATGCATATGGGAAATGAAAACAAGCTTTAAATGAACAATGAAATAGTTCACTTCACTTATACCAAACACTCGTAATATTTGTCCAAAAGTTCCTTCTCCACAATCTAGCAAGATACCGCCTCGATGATACAAATGAAGGTAAATACCACTTACGTTACGCAACTTGCTAGGAATGGCGGCTCCAGTACCAAGAAATACCATTTCTCCGACGTCTTCAAAACAGGAAGGGCTTTTCCTTGAGGATGCGATGTCTTTAGATTTCCAAGTTTCTGATGAGAACAAAGTTTCATTTTTGCTTTCCGTATTTGAGTCAATGCCATCTTGATATGCTCTTCCTGTTATAGAGGTAGGATCCATTCCAAGCCTACTTATTGGTGCCAAATGATATTTCAACAAAGACTCACCAAAAATGGCATCAATGTCATTCCACTTTTCCAATATATTTTTCTTTAGATCACAAAATACTTTTCTTTCACTTTTCTCCAAATTCGATGTATCCTTAGGTATTTGAAACATTTCCCGGTCCACACAACCAGATAACAATTTGAGCAACTCTGCTTGTGCCTCAAATATTAATGGAGCATCAAGAGAATCTTCTAATAATAAAATATGATGGACATTATTCCCCAAGGACTTGGCCCACTCAATATAAGTTCTATTCTCTAATACAGCACAAACAGCCATATGGACTACACATAAATGACGTTCCTTTCTTTTTGGATTTTCGATGGCTCTCAAGGCAAAACGATTCAATCTCGAAGACGAAGTTACTGAGGATATATAATGAATATCAGGACAGAATATAATAGCAATACAAGGTCCAGGAAAAGGTTCTGATACAACTTGTGAAGGCATAATTTTCTTTCCATCAGATAATGTGATGGTTTCTCCTTTTGAAAGTCTACCAAATAAAGGACCTTTTGGTACATTCAGTGCTTTGGCTGCAAGAGGATCAAACTTCCCAGGAATATCTTTCATGGTTATAACATAACATAGAATCGATGTTTGAAAAGTTGTTCGTGGCTTTTTTTGTTTACTACTGGGAATCTCCAAATTAGTAGGAGAACATTCACAAACCAACGGGACAGCGGTCACTTCAATATTCTCGTCTCTGTATACCTTTCCATCTATAGCACCAGTTCCAACTTCTTTTAAACTCAACTCAAGTGAGGGTCTGCGATAAAAACAACTTGAAGCTGCGAAAAATCTAACCAAACCTGTGGGTCCAAACAGCTCCAAGTGAGTCTATTGAAGTAACTTTTGGTCAGACAAAAGAACGCTTTGGCATACATGTATTCCGAAATATTTATTACCTTACCTGCATCAGCTAAAGTCAATAACGTACCAAAAAGTCCGCCTGCACAACGAGCGTCTAGTCCAGTAAAGAAGACTGTGTCGACGCGGAAAAGATTCAGTCCTTTTTCTGCACATAGACGCTGTGTCCCTTCACCACAGTTGAACAGATATCGGTGGTCGTCGAAAAATAGGATAATACTCAACCCAGTGTCTGCCTTGCCACTGCCGACCACTTGTAAATGACACTGAACCATCACAGATTAGTATCATCCATCCACACCCGCCCAAAGATCATCATTTTTAGCCAATTGGAGCGAAATGAAAACTGGACAGCAAAAAATTTCAGAAAAGATAATACAGTGTGTGCAACGGTTCTGTCAATTTTGATTGACTGGTGGTTTTATTTTGGTTGGAAGCCACACTAACTTTGTTTTCTAGTGTTTGAACCAAGACATAGTTGGTTATAGTAGTTTTTTGAGATAATGGCTGAGGAAGAGGACGGTCATACTAAGGACCCTGTACCAGACGTTGTGGGTGACGGAAAAAGAAGGTTTCGAGTGGAAAAAACTCGGCACTTGGGAAGTGGACACTTTGGAGATGTTTATGAAGGCGTTCAACTATCGACAGGAAAACCCGTGGCAGTCAAGTTGGAGCACAGGAGTGGTTCTATAGCACGGAAAGAGTGGGAAGTTATGAGAGCGCTCTCTGGAGAAGGGGCTCCTAACGTCTATTATACTGGTGTTGCTGGAAGATACTATGTTATGGTTATGGACCTTTTGGGTCCAACTCTTCAGAAAATTTTGGAAACTCGGCCTTCAAGGCGTCTTCCTTGGGATGTGGTTTCCAAGATTGGTCAGCTTTGTGTGCATCTTTTACGAACTGTGCATTCCAAGGGTTATGTCCACGGCGATGTGAAGCCTGAGAACTTTCTTTGTGTTTATGAAGAAGGTGTTGCCCCTTTTCAAGCAGATCCTTCCAAAGGTTTGTACATGATCGACTTGGGTTTGGCTAGTAAATATCGTGATAATACAAGACCCAATGGTCATATTGCTTATGGTCAAAGGATTGACCACTTTTCGGGGACAGTTCGCTATGCTTCGTTGAATGCACATCTTGGAAGATGGCTATCTAGACGTGACGATATAGAATCTCTTTGTTATATGCTTTTGTATTTGCACAATGGCTCCCTTCCTTGGCAAGGGTTTTGTGGAGATGATAAGAACATGTTGGTTTGTGAGCACAAAGGAAAGCTTCCTCCAGATGAAATATGTAAAGGAGCTCCTGAATGCATGCAATATTTCCTTGCATATGTTCGTTCTATGAAATTTGAAGAGGAGCCTGATTATGAATATTTATTAATGCTTCTGGACCCTACTAAAGGTTTAGTGGAAATCCATCGTTTGCTTGCTGAAGATCGTGCTATTGGTGATGTTAGTAGTGCCAATGGAGCTCTTGAGACTGAAGATGATGTGAACAACAGTGTCTATGACTTGGCAGCAGGTGGGAAACGTAAACGAACTGATCTTGATAATGGTTCACAGTTTGCACCTAATGCCAAAAAGCATCGAATAGTTATTCCCAAACGTTATAAGACCCATCAATGGATGATTGTTTCTACTTCTGCTAAAACTGGCAATGTAAGTGAGTCGATCTTTAGAAGTTTAAACTTAACATTTTTTTTGGATAGGCATCTCCTGCTACACAATGCTACACTTCACACACTTCTTATCAAAATCTCGTAAAGGAGGTCGAGAAAAAATGGAGCACCGGTATGCGTATTGTATTGTTGAGTTTTACTGCTGGTATGTGGACAGCAGTATTGAATCAGAAAAGTACTGGTTATCAAGAACAAGCGCTACACTATTGTCCAGGTGCTGACTTTCCACGAGACTGGGTTCGACAAAAATGGGACGAAGGCTTTTTTATTACTGCTTTAGCAGGTAATGCCACTTCATGGGGCGTTGTATGTTCAACGATGACACGTAATAAGCGATACAAGCAGCAAAGTTATATTGTTTCTCCAACATTTCCTTCCAAATGGGTTGCGGATAAATGGGCAAGTGGTTATTATATTACATCAGTTGCTACTCAAGGAAATGCTCCTCATCAGCAATGGGCAGTTGTTGTTAGTCGTGGTGCACCTTATACGGATCAAGTTGTAGAACTGGACTTTGTTTATCCTAGTGACGTGATTCATACTAGATGGGATGACAATTATATGGTAACTGCTATAGCATCTACTTCAGAAATGAATGCCTTTGTGATGAGTCGTGGTTTAACTTTTGGAGAAGAACAGAGATGTACACGTACCAGTCATGGCCCTTTACATAAAGTAAGAGAAGATTGGAATGACAATTTATACGTCACTGCTCTTGCTTGGGGTCGAGTTGCTTGAAGTGTATATTACATTCGTGCATATACTGACATGTATTCTATCGCACAATATTTTATCATCAATAACCTTGTTGCTTTTTCCATTCTCGACTTGATAATAAATGGAAACTAGTTTTAAGAGGAATAGAGTATATTTTGGAAACCGACACATGACATTTCGTCAGATTTCTCTTCGAAACTCTTCTTATCTAGTAGAGTTTCGAACAGAATATTCCAACAAGAATTATCGTTTCCATTTCTATTTAGAAAAGGATCATATTATCTTTGATAGGACATTATCTCTTTTCAGGAAAGTTGCTGATATAAGGAGAGCTTTCACGATCATCAAGTGACGTTTGAAAGCTGCATTTAGAAATTGATTGACCGACCAACCGACCGACCGGTGGACAAGAGGAGCCAATGACTATGTTGAAAAAGCAAAAAGAAAGAAAGCAAAGACCACCTCCTTTGAGGAGACAACCGTACAAAGAACAGCAGTTGCCATCAGAGATGTTTGAGGACAAAGTTGATGAGTCGTTCACAAAGAGAGTTGATAACTTTGCTGAAAGTACAGAGAGGGAGGAACGTGAATCTTCCGAAAATGTGGATTCACCAGAAAACTTTCGTGAGTTATACGACGAATCTTCTTCTAGTGACGAACAAGACTCAGAAACAAGCGTATCGGAGGTTGAAGATGAGTTCACTGAATCCGACACTTGGGGTACTGATAGAAAGAACTATTATGGTGCTGATGGCGAAGACGTAGAAAGCCTAAGTGGAAGCGAAGTAGAGTTGATTATGAAAGAAGAGGAGCAAGAATCACGTCGTTTACAAGAACGACAACTTTCTACTCTGGATAAAGAAGACTTGGAAGTTTCCCAGTTGATGGATAATAATAAGGACCAAATCTTGGAGAAGGAAGGAGCTCTGCGGACTCAAGGAAAGGATTGGGAGACTCTTACTACTGCGGATAAGCTACGTATCATTGAAAAGGACTCACCAGAGCTTGTAAAACTGTTACAGGACTTTCAAGAGAAGTCGGGAGAAGTCTTTGACAGTTTGGAACCTGTCATAGATAAAGCGAAAAACTTTAAAAATATGTATTCAGATGGAATGAGTTTGTTGGAGCTAAAATATCATTTGCTTCTTAACTATTGCATTAACATTGCTTTTTTCATGTTGTTAAAGGCCCAAGGTGTGACAGTCAAAGATCATCCTGTGTTGGATCAACTGATCGAACTTCGTGTAATTATGGAAAAGATGAAGCCGTTGGAAGAAAAATTGCAGTATCAGATTCATAAATTGGTCGATCTTGCGAGAGGCAAGAAGGAGAATACGACAACTTATGATAAAGATGATGAGAAAACTCTGAAACCAAAACCAGCATCTTTAATTGCGTTTGATGATGATAGCCAAAGTGATTATGATTATGAACAGGATGCAGATGGGTTAGAAGATAAAAAACGACTCTATCGACCTCCACGAATTTTGCCAACTGTAGACGCCAAGTCAATGCATAAGACCCATGTGCGTCAATTGGAAGACGAAAAGCTTGAAAAGGTGGAAGAGGAGAATTGGAAGGACTCTTATATGGAACTAGAGGAACTCCCAGAAAGTCTTCATGGAGGTCTATTATCCCAAGACACGGATAAATTAACAAATTTGATAGAAACAGAAAAAGAAAGACAGAAATATGAAGAAGCTAATTTCACTCGTCTGTTTACTGAAAAGAAGGAACAGAAGTTGCAGCGCAAAATGCGTTCAATGGAAAGAGATTTGATAGTAGGATCCGACTTTGGACAAGAATTTGATACTTTGATATCAATGGCTGATCATTTAGTTTCTTCAAAGCCAACGGACCACAATCTTAAAGAGGTTTCATTCAAGAGCCAAGAAGATTTCGCTTCTTCTGTAGGCTCCGAAAAGGGTGACCAAGACTCCAGTGAGAGTGATATTGAAGATGACTTGACTTGTAGAAGAAGGTCCAAAATCATCGATGGAAACTTTCCAACCTCTATAGTTTCAGGAGAAATTCCTAAAGGTTCAAGAAGAAAAGCACAACGAGCCCAGTTAGAGAATCGAGGTTTGACACCGAAGAGAAAGAAGCTTTTGAAGAATCCTCGTGTGAAACAAAAGAAACGTTATGACACGGCACAAAAGAAACGAAGAGGAATGTCTAGAAATTTTATTAGTATTAGTAACTCTTTGTATCGTGGAGAATCTTCGGGTATTAATATTCGTAAATAGAAATCCAATGCAAATTTGAAATGGAAGATGTGGAAAATCAAAAGTATACAAGCTTCAAGGATATTATTTATAAAGGAAATATTAGAACAAAAAAGTAGTTTAATAGGAATAGCAGTAAAGTTTATTGGACGGTTAGTTTTGTTATTCACAAGTCATAGAGTTGTATAACTTGCATACTTGATAGAGTCATCTTTTATGACCCCGCCAAAGACTTTGTTATTGTAGAATATCAAAAAGCTCGTATAGCGGTATCTACAGCGTTGACCGAGACCATAAAGTTGCGTTGTGGACAGTTGCTACAACTTATTGGTGAGATATCTCCAAGTGATGAGGAAAGCAACAAGTTTTGTCAACAGGTGTGTATGTGTCTCAAGGCATTGATTCCTTGGGCTTCAAGGTCTTATCGAAATAATAGGAAGTCATGTTGATAGCCAGAATTATAACTTGTGCAGATGGAATGGACTTGACTTTGTATGAAGAATATGTAAAGTATCGTCGTGAGTTTGAACAAGAATACCTTGGCTTGATGTACTCTCAAGACGCAGCTAGTCTTTATTGACCGATGGTAACTCCAAAACCAAATTTATATTCTTGCCTACTATGATCAATTTCTCCTGATAACAAAAAGCTTAGACCTGGATTGATTTTCTCTTCTAAAAGTGCAGCAACACGACCGTTGGTATCTATTTGACCTGTTACTGTTGCCTGCCTTAGGTCGAACTTGTATCCAATAGTAACCAAAGAATCTCTACTTCTCAAGTCCCAAAAAAATTCTGTAGCCAACGTCACTCTTGGATTTACCCTGTGACAATAAGAAGCAACCAGAGGACCAAATGAAGCAATTGTACAAGTTGCTACTCCGTCGTGTGTAACATATCTTCCCGCAGCAGTTATTGCTGAGAAACCGGTTGCACCTTGATAAAATCCTTCACCTCCCAAAGACAAGTTTGGCGTAACACTCTGTAAATAAGACAAAGCCACGATACCCATGTTTCCAAATTTTAACTGCCCACAAAAGTCACTTCCTCTATAATCCAGGTCCCAAGTTGCTTTGGACTCGTTTGGTTGTGATGAGGTTTCTGCCACAATCTTGGAAGTTAGGAATGGAGAGTGGTTAATAAAGACTCTACCGTTCACGTGACCACTTAAATCTACTCGACTCAACATCACCAGATGGTTGGATAAATAGTTGGCTGAAAACGCATAACCGGGAGGTTTTTGTAAGGAACCCATTTCGATAGAGTGACCCATAGAAAACATAGCACTCAACGGGTAATTAAAGTCAAAACGAAAACCATCAAATAAGTTTGGCCTTAATACAGCTATCCAAGATCAGACATTGTCGCAACATATATAACACTGACCCACTAACCAGATGCCTCTTGATTGATGTCTTCATAACTTCCAGGGTTTGGCAGTTCGGTGCGTTCTATACGTTTCCAAAACCAAGGTCTTCTCGATGGCTTGGTTTGTGTAGTTTTCTCGTCCATACTTGTGTTTCGTCCTTGACTGAGTTTTTGTTCAGCGGACGACGAAAATGCCTCACATCGAGACACAAGTCCACCCATAATCAACCAATTTCTATAACTAAAAAGGATGGATTTTGGTTCAGTTTTGTTGGATAGATACCAGTACTCTAGCAAAAGTTGTGTTGAACAAATGGATAGAAAGTGTCCTAATTTCCATAATACAAACAAGCGCATTTCCTATATCTTATCTTCTTCAAGGATAGTCTCTTTAAGAATGTTTGCATTATGACTCAAAGCAAGAAAAGTCTCCTCCCATGAAAAAATGATATTTTAATCTCATTGGCTGGAGATGACAACTCTTTCAGGAACGAGGGGCGCAACCTTATGGAACCCTGTTATGGAAGATTATGAACAACCCTATTTGGCTTATGGTGACGTTTCCAATTCTTCTATGGAAACTTTAGAGTTAAGTGAGTTTCTGCCGCCTCAAAGAAGTTCAAGCGGTCGGCTTTCAAATTTCTTTCGGTTTTTCAGAAAACGTCGATTGCACAGGACACAAGTTGCTGGAGATTTTCAGTTTGCTACTGCAGCACAACGAGAAAATCCATTTCGTCAACCTTTTAGACTTTATATCTTAACCATATTCGCTGCATTGGGTGCTTTTATCGTAGGAATGGATATTTCTCTCGTTAGTGGTGCTCAAATATTCTACAATACACAGTTTGGGTTAAATACCAACTATCAAGGCCTTACTGCATCAGGAACTTTAATTGGTGCTTTATTTGGATCTATTTTGTAAGTAATTTTATCCAAAGAGACTTTATTGACTTGTTTTTATAGGTCGATATTTGCTAATAATGCTTTTGGAAGACGAGGAACCATCTTCTTTGCTTCCATGATTTCCATTGGTGGAGCTTTATGGGAAGCCTTGGCTCCTTCTTGGCCAATGTTGTTACTTGGAAGGTTCATTGTAGGTATAGCCATGGGAATGTTATCGTGCACGGTTCCCGTTTTCTTAGCTGAAACAACTCCTGCTTACATTAGAGGAGCACTTACTAGTCTTTATCAACAGTCTGTAGCCACCGGTATATTTATTGGATATGTGGTTGACGCTATCTTTGTTTATGTTCCTGGAAATATTGGATGGAGAGTTATGCTTGGCTCTAGTATGGTACCTGCCATTGTTGAAGGGTGTGGTATTATATTTCTTCCAGAAACTCCACGTTGGTTAATCAAGAAAGGTTATGATGAATATGCTCTAAATGTATTGCTTTCATTGAGAAGTACGAGAGAACAAGCGTTGAGAGACTTTGAAATGGTAAAAGATACCGTTTTAGAGGAAAGACAAGCAAGCGAGGGAAAGAATTTGTATCTGGAAACTATTCGTGTTGCGAGTAATAGACGTGCTTTGATAGTTGGTATTATGCTTCAGTTGTTTCAACAGTTTTGTGGAATGAATACGATCATGTATTATGTTGATTACACTTTTCACCATATGGTAGGCGTCTCTCGAAGAACTGCCGTAATTGCCAGTATGGTTGCTGGTTTTGCCAATGCAGTTTTTACCATTCCGGTTTATTGGACTATTGACAGTTATGGGAGACGTATATTAATGTTGTTTACATTTCCTATTATGGTTGCTATGCTTTTACTTGGAGGATTTTCATTCTTTGGTTCGCAGTGGCTCAACTTTACTCTTGTGATAGTCTCTATAGCCGTTTTTATTGCTGCATATTCACCTGCAAATGGTCCAGTTCCTTGGGTTGTTACTGCAGAAATTTATCCTTTATATATTCGTTCGGAGTGTATGAGCATTTCTACTTTTTGTAATTATATGTTCAACTTTGTCGTTTCATTTTCTTGGCCAGATATGTTGGCATCGATGACAGCACAAGGAGCATATGGTTTCTATGCTCTGACGACTACTATTGGCTTTCTATATATCTTTTTCTTTATGCCTGAAACAAAAGGATATACTTTGGAACAAATGAAAGTGGTTTTTGAGAAGAGTTCTTTTGATATTGCTCGTTATCATTGGAAGTGTTTGACTCGGAATGCAAAGAGACTATTCTGTTTGGGTGTTGAAGAAAGTCATATTCCATCTCCTTATGATACTCCTTGGCCCGAAGAATTGTGATATATTTTATGATTCTTGCAATATTCAGCACAAATTTCAAACGAATAACTTGAACAATTGAAACTGAAAAAAAACAGAGTTGTTTGACGAAAAATGGGAAGCATACGTCAACATCGACGTCGTATAAAATACTTGATATGTCTATGATCAATCATTTTCTACCATAGACTCATTGCCTGAGGTTTATCGTAACCATATGGATATATTCATTATATTATTCCTTTCAATGGAAGCGAGAGTCTGAATACTTTAGAAAACAAATTCACACTTGAGGGTATTCATGATAAACGAAACTTGCTTCAGTTGGAAAACCAAAATAGACTTTCTTCTGGACTACTGCATACTCCATTGTGCCATTTTACTAACACGTATCATTTCTTCTGTAGGAGCAGGAGCAAACTCAGCAGCATTCGATGTTTCTTCTTCATAGTTTGTAGGAGCACTTAAAGACCCTGTTATACGCATAGCCAAGGATAATATTTCAGAAAGAGTCGATTTTTGCAATAATGATGAACTCTGCAATATGGGCTGAGATTCCGTCAAAAGACTATGCAAGCTTTCTAGTGCAAGCAATAGTCGTTCCAATATTTTTGCAATTCGACTATCCAAGTCTCTTTCCACTTGCATCAAGTATTCCAGATATGTCTGTCTCTCCTTGTGCTGTTCTACTAAAAAAAAAAGGGGTCAGAATAACCAAAAACAATACACAACAAACAAGCACTTGCTTACATAGCTCAACAACTTTGGGAAGTTGACTTTGCAGATGAAGCAGGCGACTCCACAACGTCTGGAGTTGACTGGGTCGCTCAGTTGCGTCCAAAGAGTGGGATGCTTGCCTACATAGAAAAGTAATCAATCAGTACATTGACTAGTAGCTGACTACCTGGTTACTTCTAAAACAAACTGAAACAATTCTTGACAACTAGAACGAAATTCAACTAGCCAACTTTGTGCATGACTCGATGCTGACAAAGGACATGAGTCCTCCTCCATCATCATCATCTGCAATAATCAATAATAGAATTCAAGATGCCTTATTTATTTCACAATTCCTTATTGATACAAGTGCTCATCTAACCATAATAAAGTATGCATCCACGCATCGTCATTCGCTGGTGAATCACTTATAGAATGATCCGCATCAGGATACCACAACAATTTACTAGGAATATTTTTCGATCGCAAAATTTGATGCCATTCGATACCTTGAGATGGTGGTACTCTACGATCGCTCCCTCCTAACAACAACAAGGTTGGAGCTTGACAGTTCGTAACATGAGAAACAGGAGAGTGCTTCCACATTCGATCGAGTATTTCGGGTTGTGCCAATAATAATGATACTATTTCGTCCTTGGTTTGCCAATTGGAATAACCCAGTTCTGTAAAACACCAATCTCTTATATCCGTTGAAGAATGCATTGAAACAATGTTCGTTACTGGATTGCGCAAGACAGCTACTTTATATATGGATGGATATTGCGAGGTAAGATGAGCACTTAAAAAGCCTCCATGACTGCCACCCAGAGCAGCTACCAATGTTTCCTCAGAAAGGGTTGGAACTATCTGCCGTGCCCATTTTGTTGCAACAACACATTCTTCTACATCTTGATAACCTATTTTGCCAACTAGACTATTCAAAGATTGTTGTCCTCTTCCCAAAGACCCTCGATAGTTCACCATTAATACAGCATAACCTCTCAAAGCTAAAAAAGCCACACCTAATTGAAATTGTATTAAATGACTTGAATGTGGTCCACCATGTGGAAAACAAATCAAGGACATTTTCTTCTTTTCATTTAAATAAGATGGACGAGGATATACAATAAATGCTTGAAAGGTCTGATCATGGAGTTGAAACGGTTCTGAATGCGATAATGTTAACAACTTGACTTGTTGTTCTTCTGTCAACTGTAAACCAGTTGGTCTTATCCACTCCAAAGCAAATGAAAGATCCAGAGGCTCACTAAGTCGGATTCTATCCAACACACGGTTTCCTTCCGATGACATTCTCAACAAATAAAGACATGAAGAACAGAGAGGAGTGCTAATATTCAACAAAATATTGTTAGAGAGAACATCCAAAACAAAGATATTCTCCTGTTCATCACCTGAAATATCAAGTCGCCGAATATTTACTCTTAAAGGCTCTGTTAACGATATATTGTTGATTTGTAACAGAACTGATTGGGAATTCCAAATGGAGTCCAACCATACAGTTTGCTCATCTTGCCATGGATGATTTGGCAATGCGTGTAAATACAGACCTGGAAAGACATCTTCATTACTATCATTCTTCTGATGTACCACATCGATTAAAGTAACTATTCTCGATGCTTTCCAATCCACTAGACGAAGTATACTTGTTCCATTATGAACATCTTGCGGCGTTTTAGGAGTAGAAACATATAATATCCAATCTCCTGATGGATGAAAACGAGGAGAACGAACACACCAATCCAAGTGTTCTTTTTGAGGATTCGTGAGTAACTGAATGTTGTCCACTTTGGCAGAATCTTTGGATAGGACAAGATGTGCTAATAGAAGAACACTCGGCCTATTGTAACAATATTTGACTCCCAACGGATAAGATTCCTAAGGTTTCTCTCATGTTGAGCAATGACAAAATAGAAATAGATATCTTTCCTACCAAATGTCTACCAATCAGCACGATATGATTACTATATGGTGACCATTGGGGTTCTGAAACTGCCATTTGATTGTCCAATCCTTGTACTCGATATATTTGAAACATATCCAATACATACAGTGCTGCCAACTTCTTGCCGGTATAAGTTTCTCCAAAGTCCATTTGACGAACAAACTGTTCTCCCTTTCTTTGCTCCGGCTTACAATCTGTAGAAAAGAATGAAGCTGTAAGATCGCTAGGTTGTTCAGCCAAATACAACAGTTTCTCTTCATCTGGAGACCACGCAACTCCTCCAAACCATTCATCGAAATAAAAAGCGCCGTGCAATGTCTCACTACAACAAATCGTTCTTTCCAAGGTACATTTACTCCATATTTCTAATCTTCTATTGCAAGTCTTCTTTCCGTTGGTCTGAAAAAATTTTACAGTACGATTTCCAGATGGACTACAGCTCATATAAACACAATCATCCTCTACAGAGAATAGAGTAGAATCAAAGCTTTCAAAACAACATTGCCAGTGTAAACGCAAAAACTTGCGTTGTTTCTCTAAAACTGGATCTCGTGTAGACCACAGACTTGTTATCTTGAAACTTGAAGAAGTCTTCGACCTATCAAACCAGGCTCGTGTTATAGAAGGTGCACGGTGACATAATAACGAATATAGTTCTGCTGGACTTTCACATAAATATTCTGTCAGAGATGAAAGAGTCATTCCAAACATTCTATTCTTCAATTCATATTCCGTTTGCAAAATGATGATGAATGAAAAAGCAATTGTAATGTCCAAATATTGGAAAGAAACGAGTTGCTTCTCATGGTCTTGTATAACTGACTGGCAAGAGTTCTCGGTTGTTATTGAGGAATCATCAAAAGACTCTTTATCCAATATTGGCGACACTATTGAACTTTGGAAATATGGTGGTATTGTTGGAAGTATAGAGAGAGGGACTTTGTTTGCTTGGAGGTTTCAAGAAGACTTTCTAGAGATAGTTTCCTTGAGTGCTCTATATTTTGGCAGTTATCAAGGTGTGTGTGTGTGTGTGTGTTAGAACGAATACTTTATATTGCTTATTAATGGCTTTTAGGAGTACGACTTGTGTTTCGATCTCAAGTCTTTTGTTGTCCTCCAGTCCTTTCTGTGGTTTACAAATCTGACAACGAAGTAGAGTTGTATATATTTGTAGCGCAGTCTTCAGGATTGGTTGTAAGTGAGCTTTTCTTGTTGAACAAAATTATTTTTGATTTATTTTTTGGCTAGTCGCGAATTGCCTTGTTGTGGCTTCGTGGCCTATTTTGTGAACCACACAGTGTACAAAGCTGTTTCTTATCCAAAGGGATTACTATGAAACAGCTGAATGCGATAGCTACGAATGTTTGTTTTGTGGTTGTTGCGAATTGGCCCACTATTTTTCGAATAGTTTTTTCAGATTCGTCCAGTTCTTTCCAGTTGCTAGAGATACCTGAAACAAAAGAACCAGTTATAAAAACAGGACTATTGGGTCGTGTTTTTCGCAAAAAGTATTTTTCAGAAGACAAGGATTCTGAGAGTATAGTTTGTGCCACGATGGATAAGCAAAGTCGGTTTCTCCTTGTTCTTGACTCGAGTGGACTCTTTTCGTTGATTGATGGTACTTTTTTGTCTTGTGTTGCACAGGTAAATAGCTGTTGATTCATATAATTTTATTGAACTTTTGATTTTTTAGATGAAATATCGCAAACTGGCTAAGCATGAATACGGCGAGATATTTTCTCATGGAAGGGAACATTTCCTGGCAGTATTATGTGTCGAAGATACTACATCTTATTCACTACATCTCGTGGATATAATTATACAACAAGATTCTAGTGATGATAACCGCACTATTTCCTATAGTCTTCAATTACAAACCCGTTTAATCTATAATACTCCTATTCATATTCAAGGTATGAACTTTCTTTTTTTTAATACATTTTTTGAATCGATTTAATTGTCATTAGTTGGTTGTTATATGGATAGAGAAGAGACACTTGTGTTGGAAGATGAAGAAGGCAGGATGTTTTCGATACCTATTTCTTCAAGTCACTTGCCTAGTCACAAATCTGATCCTTTGTATGCTATATTTGATTATTATAGTGAGTGGAATGACTTTGGCGGTCTTGGTTGGGCATTAGATGAAGTATATGAGAGGATACCCATTCAAATGTTATTTTCTCCTTGGTAAGTTTCTGCAAGTTTTTTTTATAACTTGGTTCATTGCCATTTTTCTAGTCGCTTTTCGGATGATATCTTAGCCAAAATATTCAATCAACCCAATTATACAAGTCGGATGAGTTTATATTCCTATGCAAAATCCCAATCACTTTGGTAAGTTCTATTAAAATGGCAATATTGTTTTGATCATAGAATACTGAATTTTATGTTTCAGTACTGAAGAGTATAAACGATTGGTATTATCTGCCACCAGATTGTCTTGGGAAAGAGAGTCTTGTTTGTTGACGATAAGCATGGATGAATCTCTTCATGTTTGCTTTGTTATGCGTCAAGGATGTATCGGTGTACTTCGACAAATGGAAGCTTTCGAAATATTTTCTCTTGAAGATGATGTTGAAAATTTTTCTGAAATTTCTGAAAGGGATTCCTCTCTTTATGATATTTCTTTATTACCGGATCTTTTTAGACACTCTAATAATTTTGAACTTTTTTCGTATCCCTTATTGTGGAATTCTTTACCAACCTTATTAATTCAGTTGGTTACATGTTTGAAAGCACAGAAGGAATGCCATGATATTCAAAATACATTTCAGGTTGGTTTTTCGATTCCATTTTTGTTTCAAATGATACAAGTTTTCATCTTTAGGAGGATTTCTTATTATATCATGCGAATTATCCCAGCGAGCACTCGATTTCTTCTTCGCTTGTTGACGAATTGATGCGGTTATGTTTGAAGAAACTACCCTTTTCACTTTCGCTATTTGACCATCATCCTTTGAGTTTGTGGATGAAAGACAATTTTTCTTTAGGAAGGAATTATGACAATGTTGATTGCTCTGTTTTATTTTCTTATTTATGGAAGTTTTTTACACCTAGTCCTAACATCATCGTATTTCTATATGATCGAAGTGAATGGCATATTTTGTTACAAGTTTGTGAAGTTTTGAAAGAAAGTTACCCAGTCATATGTTATGGCATTGGTTGTTGGATATATCTTAAATTGCAACAAATAGAAATGGCAGAGTCATTCTTAACTCAGTTGCTAGGAATTCTAGGTAGAGTGAATTGACTATATTGTTTTGCGAAGAGGACTCATTCCAAATATCCAGAAAAGAAGGAAGAACCTCTGTCTGAAACTCAATTAGTGAAACTAGTTATAGGAATTCAAAGAGAACCGTTATCTTTCTGGTTAAGAGAAGCCTTTTTCAAGACTTTGGATAGATTAGGGTACACCGAGCGTGCTATTCAAATGGAAAAGGAAATGATTCCTATTGCAAAGGATGAATCAAGCATAGCAAGCATCAGAACTTTTATTTTCAATGGTTACATGAAGAATCGAGAGTGGAAGAATGCTTTCGAGTTGTTGCTCTCAAGTTTTCATGGTAAGGCTTTCTTCTTATATTTGCATAGCAGAAACGGACTAGATTCATGATGTTGTCTTTCTAGTTGGTGCTTTGAGTTCATGGATGGATGACTTCAATTTGTTGATTCATTCTTTGGCTGAACATCACCAACTTGGATTGCTTTATACAACTCAACAACTGCCTCCTATTCTTTTTTATCGTATTGGAGAAATTTTGTATCTTCGTTTCCAAGGACAACAAGTTAGTCGTCATTCTATGTCGACTAGTTTTATGGAGTGAGTAGTAACCAAGTGAAGAAATGAGAAATTGAAGTTTTTATTATAATGTAGACATTTATTGGATAATTATAGATGGTATTATTTTATCAAGGAGTTTTATCTTGCGAGTAGAATAGCTTTGGAAGGATATTGCAAGTTGTTGGAAACTTTTGATTCCATTTCAGGTTTATCTTGGTTGAGAACTTGTAATCGTTTGATAGGATTGATTTGCACTTCTTTGACTATGATTTCTCATCAACACGACCGGTATTTATTATTGAGTGGTAATCTCTTGGAGACGTTGTGTAAGCAATCAGGTCTTCATGATTGGTTATCTATGAAAGAAAATCAAGTTGCTGTTCACGTGAAACTTGATATTTTCCAATTTGTAGGTGTTGTACGTGGAGGGCAACAATGGTTGTTGGAACATTTCCCATTGGAAGTAAGAATGTTTTCTCTTTTTTTTGTTTTGAAAGATACAACATCATCCATAATAGGAAAGGAATGATTGTCGGCTTATGCAATCAGTAGATATCTCATCAGTCAAATGGTTGTTGAGTAACCTTATTCAACACAAAGAATGGGATCTTTCATTTCAAATTGCTTATCAAGGAAGTTCCTTGTTACTCTCTGATCAGTTGTTGGTGTTGTGGTTTCGACTAGTTGGTGTTTATTTGATGGAACATGAGTCGTCTATGATTGCAGACAACTTATGGGTACAAGTGCTGAACTTTTTATTGAAAGCGGAGTCTCTGTATGGAAAATTTTGTCTCGATATGTTTTCATATGGGCACTTTGGTATTGTTCTGTTACAAGGTATTTTGTCACATGCGCCTGCAGATTGGTGCATTCCTAGATGGCTTCTTGAATTTTCGGGATGGTAAGTTTTATTTTATTCTATATTTCTTTTGAAGAAAAAACATTCTCGTGTGATAAGGGGTGAATATTCAGGTTTTCATAAGGATTCCAACTCCTGTAAACGAAAAGGTGAGGAAAGAATGGAAATGAATTTCCATCCAGTTCATTTGTAATACTAATACTGGCATAGGAAACATATCACGTCTGATGCAGCTTTTGATACAACATGGACGTGAAAAAGAGGCATTAGAATTTATGTGTGTGACACTGGAGAACAAATTGTATTCAAATAATATTCTCATTACTTGGACTTTTGTTGATGCTTTACTTTGTATAAAAAATGACGATGATGATACCTTTGATGAGGACATTATCAAAGCCCAAAGACGCTTAAAAGATTTGGCTTTGATTTGTTTTAAAAAATCTGCAGTGTCGTCATGATGTAAGGATGACATGTTGGGTTGAATAAACTCTTATAATCTTCAATACGACTAGGAAATGATGGGTTTAGAACCATGTTATCAGAATAGTTTGTCTATTTCACAAAAGCACTCAAAAAAAAGATTGAGATGTTGGACTTTAGTTTTCCAAGACGACAAAACTACATCTTCTTTCAATGTGACTTTGTAAGTTATTGTGAAGCAACATCTGTACAGAATAAAATAATCATACCAGCTATTCTTCTATTTCCTTTTGGTAACACAAGTTTTGTTCATGACGGTCTTGAAGCAGCCTTTTCAAAGCATCTTGAGTTTACTTAAGAAGGCCATTTACGATTTTCTACTCACCTGAACTGGATAGACTGCTGGCGATTCCTTATTTATAATTTGATTATTTTCATCTCTATACCATCCCATCTTTTGTAGCATTTCATCACTAACATCTTCCGAGGGAAAGAATGTATATGATAGAGATATATCAGACACGTCATTCATCTTCGAATCTTTTACAAACTCAGGATCGATGAAAAAGAAAACAGGCATTTCAATCACTTCCTTTGCCTTTAAACGCTGTTCTTCAAAGCAAAAGCACTGGATTTTGTTGAAATAAATCCCAGCCTTGGGTGGTTGAACGTTGTAAGTAGCAATACCCAAGATATCTTCGTTCGACTTATTTTCAGCTCTATAGAAAGCCAACGCTGTTTCTCCTGGAAACACTTTTACTTCTCTTTGTTCTGGAACAAAAGTCCAAGGAAGATCAGAGTTGACGTCTGCAGTAAAATATATTGTAAGCGGTCTCTCAGTAGGAACCAATTTGGTTTTTTGCTAGTTTCATTTTTTCAGTATTCTGCAAAAGTTCTCTCAGTCAAGCTATCACTTACTGTTGGAGTCTTAAAACCTAGAAAACCTCCGGTGTCTTCTTTCGTTGTTCCACCGAAACCTGTCACCTGACAAAACATTCGATAAAGTGGTACAGTTCCATATGTCAGTCCAAAAACGCCCACAGTGATTCCAGCCCTACTCAAAAAGCTAAAGTGAAACAAGTCAAGACGACTCAAAATACTTACGCCCAAGCTAAAAAGTTTTTGTTCTTGGCTCGTACTTTTTCCATTCTTTCCGAGTCACTAGAGTGGGAGAAAAAATATTTATCCTGTTTCAGTGTACCATATTTTTGACGAATTCTTCCTATAGAAGCAAGATAACTCAACCCAACTTTACTGAAACAAACGATCGAGCGCATTCTCCTATTGTTATCTTTACAAGTTACAACTTCATGGGCATTAATTTTGTAATCATATGATCGTCTGATCGTTGCTTTTTTTTATAGTACTGTGATTCTTATTTCCTCCCTGAAACAAAAGAAGATACCTTGGAACGAGAGAAAATTGATTGCAAAGCAAGTATTATTTACTATGACATGGTATCATACTTGGACTAGTTTTTGAATGTTACTGGGATTTGTTTGTATGCAATACTCTTTTTCATAATGAAGTTATTACATTGTTACCAATAACAAGCAACAAAGATATTTGTGTGGTCATTCAGGTGAACTTGTGAGACGAATAGATAATACGAGATTGTTTGATTTGTATGGTGAAGCACTTGAAAGTAATTTTGGAATGAGATAAAGGAAAACGCACACACGACGACAATCAGCCTTCACTTCTTGCAATACTACGTTATTGTTTTTTACCCACGGTTGAAAGCAAATATCATCGTCGGCTTTATGTCACTTGCGAATGATGAGCAACTTTGTCAAGACAGGAACGTTCTTTTCTTGTGACACTGCTATAACGAAATTGGGTTTGGCTAGGCTAGTTACTGTCTTTATAGCTTCATGTGTGTCTCAAAGTGGAAATTTTCTTTTAAGAAACTCACTAGATATACAAGAAACTATACTTGTTGGGAAGGGAGCCCTTGTCATCGTTCCAAGTTGGATTGCTTAAAGGAGCCAGTGCTGTACAACTGTTGTAGACGTCGAGTTTGAAGTTATGGCCACTCAGATCCCAAAAAGGGTTTAAGTTGTAGAAATGAAGTTTTATTATCCAATATTCTCTTTGAATATCTTCCAAGCTCTGAATTGTTTCTGTTGTCACATTCCAACGGTTCCTTGTAGACCTTGAGTTTTATTTACCTTTTATTGTCTTTGGTCCAACATTGAGTACCTTTGTTACGCTTACGTACTCGATACAAGAAATCTCGTTATTTAAACTGTGATATTTTATGAAAGTTCTCTATTTACTTTGTTGAAACGAGAATCAGGATAAAAGATTCCAAGCAACATAACATTGAAGGTCAAATACTTGACCAATCTATATGTTTTCCAACTCAGTTTAGTTTTACCCAATATTATTTCAGAGTATTTTAACTTTTAAGGCTTCAGTACAGAACCTTGTCCTGTAGGGATCCAGTCTTTGTGGTTTAAGATTTTCAAGGTAATTTGTAGGAAATTAGCTAGATTCTGAGTTGGCTCTTATGTTTATTCTCTTTCCATAATTTTCTTTATTGTTGCGTCTTTTAGGCTATTCATGTTGTTACATATCCAATATACTCTCTTTAACAAGTTGAATTGGCGTTTTTTTAGGCTTTGACTCACAAAAAGGACAAACTTGATTCACCTCACATATTCAAAGGTTCCTCTTTTGTTGTCAAAACTGACTATTTTCTATGATTTCAAACGAAACTATTGAATTCTTCTATTGTTTAAAAAATGTCATATTTCCCAACGCAATGAAACTTGTCGAAAATTATTTAAACTAGAAGCAAAGATTTCCAATTTCTTTGGTTTTCGTATTGCATAAATGGCAAGGAGAGACAATACTATTGTATAGTAAATATGTGTACGAATAATGTCCAATGAACAATTGGGAGAGTATTTTTAGTTGTACAACTATTGTTCCGACTGAATTGCTTTCTGAAAAGTTTGGCAAAGTTATTTTAGAAGTAGCAATTGGGGAACAGAATTTGCCAGTTGAAAGAAAAGTTGCTCCATACTTTCTTCTTCCGTCTTTTTTTGATCATAGGAACGAAATAAAGTTGATTTATTTGCTATAACAGTTACAAAAGGGTGTAAAAAAAGCAATTTCTCGTTGAACACAGTAGTTGAATTACTGTATACCATTTACTTTCTTTACACAAGTCAACTCTTCAGATCGCCACACCCTAAAATATTCTAGACTCTTTGGTTACAGTCAAAGTATTTGTACCGCAAAGGTTGCTTGGTTTTTCAAATATTGTTGATCTCTTACAATTTGGACGATCCAATGGACTACAATCCATGTACAAGGAACTAGAAAGAATATCAAAAGAGTTGTTGGCAAAAGTTTCATAGAGGTACAACAACGACTCGAAAGTTATCAGCAATTAATCTATCTAGTCCAATTCCACCTCATCCTGAGAGCAAACGCAATTATAGTGAACTTGATACTATTGTTCTTTTTACAAGATGATGAACTTGAGCAAAAACGGCAGTAGCTTGATCTATTGAAGAAGAGTGTTTTGATACACAATGACGCTTTGAAATGATCAATACAAGCAAAGAAATTTTATAGCAGACAAAAGGTTGTACTAGAAATATTAATAGAACAGAACAAAAGGAATCACAAGTCATTGATCAACTCGTGAGTTTGTAGTACCACATTATCCACATACACTAGTAGTGGTTTAGACAATTCTAAAAACAGGCCTGGATATAAAGCCGTGAACAAGAAAAGCATATCTACAAAACTGCGACCACAAAAAACCACGAGGAAAGATGATCTTGCTATTTCCTTTGAACAACGTTTTCTTCTATTGAGAAAGACCAGTTGAGTTTTGTCTGTGAATTGTTCGACTTTGACTTGAGAATCTTTCCAGTCTGTTTGAAAACCCTTGTCTAATATCAAGTCAGTGTTTCTAATCACTCTCATTGACTCAACAGACGTATGTATTGTCTCCTAGAAACTTGAAAACCTCTCCAACTTTGTGAGTTTTGTTTCAAACTTGAAGAAAAGAGTGGATTCTGTTACCCTTTGAAGGATTTTCAACGCAATGGCTAACAGAAAGAATTGTAAAAAGAATCTAGAACATAGAAACTGCACAACTATTGGTTCCAAGCCTTGACTTGTTCCGTAGTTGACTGCAAAATACTTGAATTGTATTTTCTACTGTTGGCAATTTTATCTTGTCTGAAATTGTCATATTCTTTTCCTAGAGCGATAAAGAAAGTCAAGATGCATAGAACTGCCACCTATGTAAAGTAGGGAATAAAAAGTTTTAAAGTGTCAAACAGACACAACTGGCAAGTTGACAAGCAGAAAATCCAATGCTATAATTATTAGTCAAAACACACAAGACATTTTCTCTGAATGGTGGGATGTCATTTATAGTCTATCTATATGAACTTTTTTTATATGGGAAAACATTTCTCATATTG